TGTTTAAAACCCATTATTTTGATACAGCTAGATATTGAAAATGTATAGAACATATACCAAAAAAGAACAATACAAATGAAAGCGAAGGTATGAAGGTGGTAATTCCCAGCAAATTTCTGATACTGTTTAAAACCCATTATTTTGATACAGCTAGATACTGAAAATGTAGAACATATTCCAAAAAAGAAAAATACAAATGCCAGTGAAGTTATGAAGATGGTACACAATAAATTCCTGCAAATTTGGGATACTGTTTAACACCCATTATTTTGGCAGTTCAAAAATGTACAGCTAGATACTGAAATGTGGACATGACATATAATAAATGCACAACCAACAAATTACAAATGGTAGAGAAGGAAAGAAGATACACAATAATTTCCTGCACATTTGTGACACTGTTGAGGCCTATAACCCATTATTTTGATACAGATAGATACACTGAAAATGTATGGAACATATTCCAAAAAATTAAGAGAGGGAATAAAGAGCAAACTCAATAATAACCTGCAAATTTTTGATACTGTTGTCAAGTTTTGTACTTAGGCCAAAAAAAAATAGTTCTGCTTCCGAATACATGGCATTTGAAAGTAGGGTAGGTAGGTAGGAAAATGTCTTTTTGCCAATTTTTTTGTGTGTATGATCATAATTATGGAGGCGTCTGCGGGTAGTCAAGGGTAAAGGTAGAAATTGATGGTTTTGGGTGTTTTTTCTCATTTTTCAAAAAAAAATTAGGTTAGGGGCTGTCAGAATAGGGTAGGTAGGGAAACCGGAAGCAGAACTATTTTTTTTTTTTGGCCTTACCTCAAAATATTGTTTTTGACTTACCAGTGTTGAGTCTACCTTTTCCTTGAAGCACAAACCTTTATCATCGCTCAGATCATTCGACAAAATTCCACAGAACAATTCCACAGAACAATTCCTCATATATTTCACAAAAATAAATCCAAGAATCTTGAATCAAGTTTTTCAGAACATCAGTTCATAGTTCAGTTCAAGTGTTCATAAAAGTTTCTCGGAAATTAAAATAGTTAAGTTCTTCAAGTTTCGTAGCTTTTGAGTTCATGTGAGTTTGTGGCAGGCAAAACAAATGCAAAGTTTAAAGTATAGTATCAGTTTGGTTCATTTTTAATAAAGCTCGCCGAAAGTTCAGTTGAAGTTTTGTGTTCCACTATAAAGTGTCACTCACAGCAATTCCACGAACAGAAGTCCTGGGTGGGAAGGCATAAAACTTGGAGCTTGGAGTGATGTAAATTCCCAAGGGAAAGAAGCAGCGTTGAAAACCCATGCAGCCGTGGTTCATTTTCCAAAAAAATGTTCCACAAAAGTTCGGTTAAAGTTTCTGTTCCAGATAAAGTTTCACTCACTACAATTCCATGGACAACAGTCGGAGAACAGATAAAGAACTCAAAGTGAAGTGGAGAGCGGCAAATTCCAGAAGGCAGCAGCAGCATGGAAACCCGTCCCGAGCTGGGGCCGAGATCCGGGGTTTGGCCCGTCCGCCGGCAGCATCAGTGACCCGTCTGCAAACCTGCCTCTCTCGGAGACACGTTTCGAAACGCGACTCTTCCAAACAAATGTCTCACAGAAGACCACGAGTTATTAACCAAGTATTACCGACATTGTTCCCGTCGAGTCAGTTGCGTTGTACTTTTGTACAATCATAAAATCCGCTGGAATATGTTATTTGTTTGTTGTGGACAAAAAGCGAGTGTCGGACATTCCGAATTACACGAGGACTACACAATACAGCTCGCTCGCGCTTAATCACTAAAAGCAGCCGACAATAGGCTTCGTGTGTATTTTAAACGAAAATGTCGAGACTTCAGTTCAGTTCAAGTGTTCATAAAAGTTTCTCGGAAATTAAAATAGTTCAGTTATTCAAGTTTCGTAGCTTTTGAGTTCATGTGAGTTTGCGGCAGGCAAAACAAATGCAAAGTTTAAAGTATATGACAGTTTGGTTCATTTTTAATAAAGCTCGCCGAAAGTTCAGTTGAAGTTTTGTGTTCCACTATAAAGTGTCACTCACAGCAATTCCACGAACAGAAGTCTGAGAACTGGGTGGGAAGGCATAAAACTTGGAGCGTGGAGTGATGTAAATTCCCAAGGGAAAGAAGCAGCGTTGAAACCCATGCAGCCGTGGTTCATTTTCCAAAAAAATGTTCCACAAAAGTTCGGTTAAAGTTTCTGTTCCAGATAAAAATTCACTTACTACAATTCCATGGACAACAGTCGGAGAACAGAGTTGTAGAACTCGAAGTGAAGTGGAGGGCGGCAAATTCCAGACGGCAGCAGCAGCATGGAAACCCGTCCCGAGCTGGGGCCGAGATCCGGGGTTTGGCCCGTCCGCCGGCAGCATCAGTGACCCGTCTGCAAACCTGCCTCTCTCGGAGACACGTTTCGAAACGCGACTCTTCCAAACAAATGTCTCACAGAAGACCACGAATCAATGACCCAGTATTACCGATATTGTTCCCGTCGAGTCCGTTGCGTTGTACTTTTGTACAATCATAAAATCCGCTGGAATATGTTGTTTGTTTGTTGTGGACAAAAAGCGAGTGTCAGACATTCCGAATTACACGAGGACTACACAATACAGCTCGCTCGCGCTTAATCACTAAAATCAGCCGACAATAGGCTTCATGTGTATTTTAAACGAAAATGTCGAGACTTCAAAATGTGTTCATACGCCGCCGGATTTTCTCTCGCCAGCAAACAAACTGCTATTAGTTGGAAGTGGAACAACAACAATTCTGATTGGCCGGTTGGGACCGTACGTGTTTACATGGAATTTTCCAAACCACGGTTTCGTTTCCGGCTTCGGCTTCATCGATCGCTGGCTTAATCGATCACTGGAATCATTCAGAAGCCTTCAATGTCCAGACGAAATCGAATGTTATTGTTATAATAAATGTTGCCTCGTAATTATAGTATTTTGATGATGATAGGATTTGATGATGGGGGCTGGACACCATCTTCCCATGGGGGCGCTGTTCAAAACCTATATCATGGTTAATGTTAGACAATAACTACGGTTATTTGCTTTCCACGGACGTTAAACAACAGCCACTCGCGAAAAGAAAGGGTTTAGGTGGGCAATACGCACAAAACCGAGGAAAAAGGGACATTATGTTCTTCCAGCTAATCATGGTAACTCATACGGCTGTGCTTTTCTCCGGATGCCAAGTTTCAAGTGGGGGAGGGGGGGGGGGGGGGGCGACTGGGAGGGGCACGAACTTTTTATGGGGGCGTCCCCCAAATTGAAGGCATGGGCGTCGCGAGGGGGGGGGGGGCAAGGGGGTCCCCTGGAAAAGCAAACGTAGACAAAAGAAAAAGAAATGAAAAAAGAAGACGAGGGATGAATCACATCACTCTTAATTTAATGTATATTGAACAAAATGGACCGTTTTTAACAAAGCATTGAGTGATATCTAGCACCCCATCTCGATTTTCCACGGCCGGCAATTTCTCCCTTTGCTTCTGGTGAGTGCTTTGCCCCCCCCCCCCCGAAAAAATCCGAGCAACTCCCATGGTTGAAGGCCTAACAACTTCTGATACTGAATCGAAGTCTGAAACAAGGTTTCGAAAAGCCCAAATGAAAAGCCCATAATATCCATACCCGGACACGTTACATCTTTAATGACGGGGGCCCCTTCAATGGCGAAATGATATGTGCTAGCTATTGTTCAGAAAATCCGTCATGGGGCAGTTGCTTTGTACAATAGCATGCACAATCTCCATTGAGGGGGGCCTTGTGAGTGTAGACTGATCACGTGCATTGAAAGGTGCGTATCAAGGGTCTGGGTCCGGGAGAGGGGGAAATATGGGTACTTTTTTTCTAAAAAAAGACCCCCATTTTTTTTTTTAAATCGTTCTCAGACACTATCGAGCGTAATGCGGTCCTTTGCTTGGGGGGGGGGGGGGATAGCAGGCTTGTGCAACTATTTTTCTGCATCATTTTCCTATTGTTTTTTTTCCGAGGCCCCGGGTGCCCCCCTATTCCCCACCCCGTTGATCCGCCACTGTTATGTGCTCTTCGACTCATTTCCCTTGAACAGATGATAGACTAAAAAGACATTAAAAATTTAAGGCTTGCCGAAGAACTTCTCAGGCAAATTTCCACAGACAGAAAATAAATGTGGACTAATTATCAGCCAATCAGACCGACATGAAGACTTTGACTAACAGATCGAAATCCACACTCGGGTAAAGAGATGAGTTGTATTTCAACAAGAAACTATACATCTGAAACTGTTGTAATTCATTAAACACTCATATATTTATAGCAACTGATTATTACAGTGTATTTTGTCTTGTGTTCTTAATTGTTGTTATCATGGCAGCTAAGTTAAATGTTATGTACAATAATGTCATCTTTAACAAAACAAGAATGAGAAAGAAACAAAGTTTAATATTATTCATTCGAACTATTCCTACACAATTATGGAATAATGTTTCACAAAAACATTAAGCGATTTACTTAGTGAAAAGGAGCATACAATCTTTTAGTTGGATCTCATTTGATGAGGTTCATGCATTGTTGTAAGACATACACAAAGAGTTAAAGTTCTTTGAAAACATTGGCATTTTGTCAGGATGAATGTCACGTCTGCTTAATAAACAACATGACACTGTACTTGGTATAAATCCTTGTCAAGTCATATCTGATTCAAAAAATTTATGAGCAACACTTTTACCCCCAAATTATTGCAAGTTAAAATATATTCCTCATCACAAGTCTTAAGTTCGCAAAATGAAATAAATAAATAACGAGTGTATTTCTATTTTTGATTTTACAAAGTATAACAGACAATTGATAAATAATGATTGAAATCAGCAAAAACTATCCAATTATAGGCTAGAATAATTATATTACCACCACTTATTAAAAGGTTTTCGAAACCACGGCTTCGTTTGCTACTCGGCTTCAAGAGATATTAGGCCCTGGCTGGCCCGTCGGCCAATATGGATTAATATTGTGCAATATGAGCTTATTGTTACCAAATTGTATAGTATTTCCATTGGGTTTTGTGTCGTGTAATAATTACAGGCTTCTGTATGACTCGGACACCAGACTGAGGTGAACCGAAGCCAGAGACACAGTGGAAACGAAGCCGGGGTTTTCCAAACTCATTGTCTGTCATTACTGAGATAAGAAACTATGCAGGCCGAGTGCTGCCGCATGTTGGCGCGCTTTCATCCTCAAATCAGCGATGCTGGAGGTCTTGGATCCCCCAGGTCTCATCATGCTACTCATCAGCGTTGCCAGGGGAAACGCGTAGGCGGGAGGCGGGAACATCATAAGCGAGGGTGCGTGGGTGAAGATGGACGGCAGAGGGCGCGGTACAGGAGGGGCGGCCGTGACGTTGGAGGTCAGGTTCAACTGCAGCTGCTCCTGCACCCGGTCAAAGGGCATGCGCAGTGACCCCATGCTGAGATAGGGCGCCACACGGCAAGTGTCGACATTCGAATTGGCGCCAATAGGTGTACCTGCAGTGATCAAATAGACAAAAGAATACATATACTGATGAAAATAGCTGAAATATTTTTCGATTTCCAACACCTTATTTTTGAAAACCAGTTGTCCTTTTTTCCCCCCAAAATCTATTGAAAAAACTTAACTGATTTTGAAAGCTCATTTCATTTGCAAAACACACACACACACAGATCGGAAGATTTGTTGGAAAACTTATCGGAATGCTGGCCATAGTTAAAGCTATAGGGTCTTCTTCGCCTTTGACTTAGCGTAAGTACAAGAAAAGATTAATTTCCCCAAGCTAGCTAAGGGAGCTGAATTAGAATCAGACAAACAAAATTCCCTCGTAAAAATTTGTAAACGGGTCAGTAGTTTGATATAAATATAATGTAGGGGAAACTTGCTAGAATTTCCCTCAATCATAATAGCGACATGTCAGTGCCGGCCGAAAGACGCGCGACGCGAAACAATAAATGATGAGACAGAATAAGGACGAGCTTGGTGAGGTTAATTGCTCGTAGTGACTCTGAATGGTCAGCTCCATAAGAATGATTGTAGAAAAGAGTTACGTAACAGCATTCGTGTGTACAGCACGATGCCGATGCATCTTTTGTGCAGCTATGAAACACAAAGTAACTCTCCCACTGCGGAAATAAGGATTATGTTTTAAACGCAAAGAGAAAAGCACCTACTGAAATGGCCCTGGCCCTGGCCCCACCCGCGGCCGGACGGACTACCCAGTTTTCCTAACGCTCGACACCGATTCCGAACATTCCGAACACAATTCCTAACCAATTCCTAACGCGCCGTTAGGAAAGCGTTAGGAATTGTTGTTAAGCTGTCTGACGGCGGATCCAGGGTTAGGGGTTCGAACCCGCTTGGTGTCATGTTTTGGTTTTCGATGCCCGCAGTTCTGTCATTTAAGGGTATTAATTTCCCGTCGTCATTTACCAACAGCAGTTAGCTCGGTCGGTCGGTAAGCTGACTCACAAGTTGGGACTGTCTGCGAAGTCCAGGTTGGCGTCTGCGTATAGGTACGGGGTTCTTTTGCTGACTCGGCAGCAAGGCTTAGGGTGCCACCTCGTTTCCTCCCTTTATGGTGCCTGACTTTCGAGTTACATGGATGGACAGGGAAGGAGGTGTGGTGGGCCGAGTCCCGGAAGAGTTCTATATGGAAGTCGGTAAGGGGCTCATTGAGTTAGGGTCATAAGTCCGACTCCTGAAGACTTGGCCATCGCCACATAACTTTTTGTTTTATTTTCTTTCTTTTCTATCGGATGACAATTGCAAGAATGATTAATTTGTTATGTTGAGAGCTTGTACTGTAATTGTTCGAAATTAACTTTAAAATTGCTCGAAAATACAAAATTCAATCCAGCTATAATTTTTTTATTATTTCATTGTCGCAAAACTGCATGTACATGCTCAGTACCTTTGCGCATACCTTGTTCAGGCCTGTTCCTGATCTAGACAGCAGGGGGGTCTTTAAATCCTATAGTGGATTTTTTTTATATGCGATCGCGAAACCCTGAAGGCGTGGGGTCCGGAGGTGCTTAAGAGCCCTGGGAAGTTTTTGGACTGCAGAAGCTCTGTGGCGCAAATATCAAAATTGTAGCTTGACCCTCTATCGAAATATACCCTCGTTATTTTGAGTCCTCACTAATAAGAATCAGCTCAATTCGCGCAGCAGCTTGTGCTGACATGACAAAATGTACAATCTTTTGACAAGGGTTTCAGAACCGGATTTTAGCTTCGCGGAGTTTTGAGCAGCGGTGTTTATTATTTGCATTCTCCACTTTGTTCTTCCTTCTCCATTCATCGCAACACTGGTGCCTAGGGCCTACGAAACACTTAATCCGGGCCTGCCCTTCACAAATGAGTCTCCTCTACAGAGACGATTTGGAAAATGATTTTCATTTATGAGACTGTGCATAGGAACAGAAAAGCTGGATGTAAACATATGCAGGAGTGCATCAACAGTGAAGAGTAGGCCCACACTTGATCTTTGAATCATCAAAACATGCGTCACTGAGCCCCTTGTAACCAAATCAGCTTTGCAAACGAAGTTTGTGTTATGCGATTTGCCTCTATTTGGTCAGAGCCGAAATGGCTTTTGAACTTCGATAATTCGTGGGAGGTTGACTCGGTTATCTGCCGTTATTGTCTCAGTGTAATAGGAAAGGGGAAAAAAGTGGAAGAGAGGGCCCATTAATGAATTAAATCGATGCGTCTACTAATCAAATAGATTTGATTACTGATACAGGACCAGGATCCGGCATCCAATCCGCTCAGGATAATTCAATAATGCGCGACTTCTTCTCCACCGAGGCAAGAGTCTATTGACCGGGTTCCTCTCGCTGGAGGCCGCGGGGCGATGAGCCACCTTTCTCCCCGTCAAGTGAGCGCTGTCGGTGCGCTCCCTCAGCGGGCTTGATGACGGGAATTCGTTATGCCCTCCCTGGCTCTCTGGCGCTCAAGATTGCATATAACCCCCCTCTCTCTTTCCCTCTGTTCGCCCCGAGAGTGAATTGGATGAAATATTTTGATTCAATTATAAGGCAAGCAAGGGAGTGTATCGGTCGTAGACCATTGGGTAGGCAAAAGAGGGGAGAAAGACTTTCCTTTGGCGAGGGAGATAATCGAATGATGAGTGTTGGATGATGGCAGTCGGGCGCAAGCAAACTGCCCCATGGATGTGTGGGTTTGTAGCTACCCAGACAAGTGAAAATAATGAAGATTAATTTTCATTAGGTGATAATTTAGCCGGGGCTGCTCGCGGGGAGCCAGTTTATACTCCGCGACATTATCATAACTCGGAAATGTTAGGCACGCTTTATTCACTAAATCTCTGCGGGAGGGTAAGACTTCGATTTGAAATGTTTTGATTGAACTTCAGTTGGCCATTCTTACTCGTCTAAAAGAGTGACAATCAGAATTTGCCCCTCCCTCGAACCTCAACTTCGAATCCCGCCCACCTCGCGATGTTTACGTCCGAAGGTTTGCCTGCCGGCACCGCGGGCACCAAAGTGCGCCAAAGACAACAATCAGCGGAGATTGGACGGGGTCAATGGGGAGTTTTCTCCGGCGCACCTGTGGGTGACAAACACGGTGCCTCGACAATAATAGTCTCTTGCTCGGTAGATTGCGAGAAACTTTGTCCACCAGTAGGCAACCCAAAGAGGAATAATTCTCTTATTTCATAGAGGGGAAAATTCACTCTTTCCGATGGAAGCTTGGAAAAAGACATTTACATGCAGTGACATTTATTCAGGCGAGTACAGTGTAGATTGCGTTTTCACAACAGTGATTCCTTTTTTTTTCCAAACCAATATTTCGATTTAACAAAGTGATTTTCTTTCCAAATCGTCTGGTCTCTCTCAAGGAAGGACTTTTTTTAATCAAAACGACAAATAAAACGGTTCATTATAGACGGACTTTGATTTTTTTTACTCTCTAAATTCCAAAGAGTGAAAATTCACTCCATTAAAGTGAAGATTCACTCCCACAGTCGGAAACTAGGGACTAGACGTTTTAGAGTGAAATTCCTTCAATTGTAATGATCGAGTTTTCACTCGAGCTTCGACTGAAGTGGTTCTTTTCAGACCATTTCAATCGAAAATGAGAGTGAGTTTCACTCTAAAACGTCTAGTCCCTAATTTCACTCTTTGGAGTTTTGAGAGTAAGTAAAATTTTTACCTACATTAAACAAGCAAACCTGTCAATTCTTCAACAACTTGTTCTTATTTTAATTCACTGTTTCAGATAATTCTTAATAGGAAAATATAAACACATCCATGCAGCTGAGATATGGACTTGAGGAGAGTTACTCCTTAGGAAATCGCCAGGATATAAAAAAAAGTAAGCGTTTAGGAGAAACTGCACAAGCGCGAAATTATACTTATTGATTTAAATAGCCCTTCGCGAAATTCAATCAGTATACACTGTCCGGGCCAAACCCGAGCAAAACGCGGGAAGCCAGTATTTGCGTATGCGCTCGTAATCCCATTAGCTCACGGGGGCAGACTGGCCGCGGTGGCAAGCTCGTAAACCGCGTATTAACTTGTAAATGCTCCGTGCGCGCGCGAAGAGCGACTTTTATCAAAATATCATTAACACCGTGTTAAGTGTGTAATGCAACTATACGATAATGCGACGCGTGGGCTTATAAAACGCCTCAGGCCTGCCGGAACGATGCCTTGATATTATTGGATTATTATCATAGGATTTAAACAGCAGAGAATATCTGGATAGTATTACCGTCAGTCTGCTCTTTAAAGATTTACCAAAAGAACAAAACAGTGTCATTTAAAAAAAGTCAATCCCTTGCCCGTTTTTCATTTCAAATATCCCTTTGCACTACAGATAATCAATAATCCCCAAAACCAAGTTTTAGTTTCGTGGTAGAGCTTCGTTTTTAAGGGTTTTCCCGTCGTCTGCCCCGGACAAAAAAAAAGGAATCTTTTTGAGGGCCCCTTAAATTGGATTCGATCCGCGAGCCCCAAATCCACGAGAGATGTGCTATTAATTTACCGGGCTCCCCCGAAAAGGATGCCTAAGTGAATTTTGTGTCAATTAAGGGGTCGTTATATTGCTATTAGCGAAGGCCCTAATCCAATTGCCGGGACACTGATGCAGTGAAGAAAAGGGTGCTAAGGAAAAACAGGACTTGAAGAAAATAAAAATTAAACGATCTTCATGAGGAGGATTAGGATGCGTTCGTCTTTGGACTGTTGGCGGAGGACTTTGACCAATCAATAAAGCAAGCACCAAGCTCATTGAAAACTCCACTCCAGTAATTAAATCACCCGTGAAAATTATGGCTTCTTGATCATTTGCTGTACTTTTTTTTCAAACTAAAAGGCGTTGTACTTTGTTATAAAGGCTTTAGTGTTTAGCATTTTTTATTTAGCACTACTGCCAGCCAGTAACAATCCAGACATACCATAATGACTGCATGTCCTCTTGTTAAGGGAGAGAGCAAATTGCCACCCAAAATGGCATTTAGTTTTTAAAAAGAAAGCATGTCAGTAGCGGAGCGAGAAGGGGGGGGGGTGTGCAAACCCAGCGCTGACTAATGAGATGAAACTAGCAAAATGGGCCAAAATAAAAAAAAAGTGGAATGCTAAAGTTCCTGTAAATGTATTCTTGATTTGCCTTAGAATGCAGGAGAAATTATCGCAGATTTCAAAATTGTCCGGGGGCATGGAACCCCGACCCCTAAGCAGGGCTTTGCTTCGGCACGCCGGAGACTCAATCCCTGAAAGCTATAGATCCGCCCCTGATGGACATGTATGCATTCTCAAGGTAACATGTTCTATACGAATATTACTGTAAATGAGTTTATCAAGACTCTCTAAAAGAAAATCTCTATTAGAAAAGAGAAGTTACGTTATTCCTCCCTCTTCTATTGGACTTCAATTGAAGAACTATAAAACATTTTAAAAAGTTTTACCTGTACGATTTAACAAATGATAAATATTATGTTTTGCCTTTTAATAATTGCATTTTTTGGTTAAATTTTAAGTCACGTTCCCACAAAATTCATACTTTTGACAGCATTCAGAAACGTGTGTGTATAACTGCTTGTTCGTTAGTCGCGTGAATTACTTTTCTGGTAAAAAAATAGCCATTTTAGGTAAGGACTCCACACTGCAAAAAATGTGTTAAGCAATTAAACACTTTTCTAAACACTTTCTTGTTATCAGTTTGTAAACATGTTTCAATAGCAAACACGTTAAGAGTATTGATGGATAGTGCTTAGCAGTTTTATTAATATGACACGTAATGTTTAGCTTATAAACATCAGGGGCGGATCCAGGAATTTTCGCGGGGGGGGGTTCATCAGCAAAAAATCTGAAAATATAAACAGATTTTTTCTTCGGACACTTGGCCTCCGTAAAATAAAAAAACGGGGGGGGGGGGGTTGACCCTCCCCCTCCCCTCTGGATCCGCGCCTGAACATGTTTACAAAATGATAGCAATTCAGGATGTGTTGAATTGCTATCAGTTTTTAAATTGTAATTGGTATATAGAAAAATAATGTCACCGAGTATGAGAATGTAACATGGCACATTTAAACTGTGATTTGAATCAGTGGGTCTTTTTGTCCGGGTTTAAGTTCGTGTAAACCTACCGACTTGGTCAAATTTGTTATTAATTGCACGACAGCCTAACCCGGTTTTGGATGATGTTTTTACGACACACTTATAGGCCTACGCTTCAGCCATCCACACCGCACAGAATACAATTCCCAATCACGCGTGTGAAAATATCTCTATTGGATTATGACCTATTCTTACGCGCTCCTCGCAACGAGATTAAATATCATGAACACTCATTTTGTGACTCCTTTTAAGATCGGTCCAAAAAGCTCGGGGGATAATCCGTGACCACTTTTTCGAAAATGGGATTTTTTTTTGAGGGGGGTTGATGCAATTACCACACCCCTCCTTTGTGGTAGTAATCGCATCAATTGGGGGTTTGGTTAAGTACGGAGGGCGGGTAAGGGTCATTTTTTAAAATATAAATCTTGGCAAAAAAACAGCAAGGTCGTGCGGAAAAGTGCAATAGCATGTCAGCTGGAGCAAAGTCAATGCCATTGTGAAAAATAATTAAAAGCAAACTAGGGTCCGCAATTAAGAGCTACATCGTTAATTTCGTATGAGTTTATCTCCTCTAATTAATTGTATTCAACAACGCCACCGACAAACATAAACATTACACTTTAACAACACTGTTATGATTGCAACTTCAATGCGCATCAGGTTTAACATCGGGTTCGTGGATATTCCACATTAATTATTAAACAAAATTACATCAAATTACTTCTTTATTTAGTGGGAGATTTAGTTTACTGTATTGAACTTTGCTGGTTTCGTCAAACAATTAACGGAGCATTAAATCGGTCAGTCTCGCGTATAGTACGGCATGGGATTGTACTTTTGACGATACAAGCATGTAATTTGGCACACAGTCAGAGTATGTCATGAGACAAATATTTGGCCATAGGGCCATCGCAGATTGTCCTTTGCAAAAAAAATATAGGTAGAATAACAAGCAACGGCAGCCATTTTGAACATTTTGAAAATTGCTTGTTATTCTACCTATATTTATTCAAAGGACAAATCTGCGATAGCCAAATATCTTTCTCATGGCATACTCTGACTATGTGCCAAATTCCACGCCTGTATCATCAAAGGCACAATTCTCCCAAATAATTCCCGTATCTGCCCCACTGGTACGAAAAAAAGCCCTATGCTAGCTGGTCTCGCAATCAAACATGTTATTGTTATTTTTGGCACGAAAGAATTCATATTTTGTTAGTTTACTCAATTTTTCGTCATTCATATTTAGGTCATACTTCATAATTTGTTTTTAATCTTGCCAATATACCGTTATAAATTCTGCTTTTGTAGAAAGAAAATTTATCCACGAACTCGTGTGACAAAAAAAGGAATTGAACTGTAAATTATGACTGATCACAAATTATGGCCCAGTTGCAAATTATGGCCCAGTTGCAAATTCGGCCCCATGATATTCACACAGCACAGATTGCCGTAATTTCCGCCCCCGATTGCTGTTTTGCTTTAACAGGCTCACTAGTAATTACAATATTATGGGCGTCGCGAAGAGGGGGCAAGGGGGGGGGGGGGCGCCCCCCTCTGGAAAACGAAAAAAAAAAAACTAAAAAGAGGGGGGAAAAGGCAAAATGCTCCCCTGCTCACGCTCGGAAACATGATAAATTGAGAAAATAATGAAAAAGTTAAGGAATTTTGGGGAAAAATTTGCATTGCCCCCCCCCCCTGGAAAATATACCATGAGTAAGGAAAGAAAATTAATGTGATCTCACCTTTACCTCCAAGATGTTCTTGCTTACGACATTTGGCTCTTCGATTCTGGAACCAGACCTACAAAAAATGGAGCAATTAAAGGGTGATCTTTACTGATAAACAAATATGCAAAAAAAAAAATCTGAAAATATTGCATGCTTATGACTGTGAGAAATTGGTCGGGTTTTTTTTTTATTAGTGGTAGGCCTATATTTTAATTAAAAGATTTAAATTCAATTGATGGCTGACATGTTATCACACAGGATTTATCCTATAATTAACGGATGACCTTTCTTTCTTTAATGCAAAACAAATAAGTCGTAATATTTGAACTCTGACGCAGAGTATGTAATTAGCGGATATAAAACATAGTTTATTTTATCATTGATACTGTTTTAATTGGTAACGACGTGGAATATGATTGTATTATAACATACACTGCATTTTTTGGTCTGAAAATTCTGCTACGTGCGGAAATTTTTATATCAAAATCGATTTAAACCCTTACGTTATGGGCCTACACCGTGTACATGAAAATACATAACGTGTGGTATAAAAAAATTGTACTCCGACAAATGCGTTTGTTCTATCGAAGTCGAATGTTATCTAACATAAGAATTCTTCTTGTGGGGAGATGAATGAAATGAAATGAAAACAAAGCATAATATTTGATATGAAAAAAACCCAGAAAACCTGCCTGTGATCGAATTCGACGTTAGACATTTCAGGCTCACCAAAAGAAGTGTACATATAATCTATTTCTAAAATCAACGTTGTTGGCCGGAAAGAGCTTGAAATAATGTGGACAGATTAAGCGAATAGTGTGTTCCCATCGCAATCTGACACCCACTTAGTTGTCAAGGAAGGAGAAACCAGTCGGCATTTTGATTTTTGTTTTATAGAGGCGGTGTGGAAAGGAGATTTTTAAGAATAGCGGCTCCTGGATTCTATTATCTTTCTGAGGTAATATGCTTGGACACTTGATAATCGTATTTCTTTTGAAATTAGACTATCACTGTACGACGGATAGTGCATCAAAAGTGTATCGTACCTGTACCCTAGCTTCAGAGAGGCCAAGCTTACGGCTGAGCTCTTCCCTCATGAACGCGTCCGGATAGTGCGTTTCATCGAAGAGTTTCTCCAGCTCGCCCAACTGCTCCACCGTGAAGTTGGTCCGGCTCCGGCGCTGCTTCAGCTTGCTTGGATGGGTTGCCGTGACGCCTGGGACCGGGGAGGGACTACCGGATGCCGTCTGCTTCGGGTCGTGGGGCTGGCGCGCCGGAAGCCGCGCGTGATCGCCCCGGTCGGCCGATGAGAGGTCGGTGTCCTCGTGCAAGGGGATGTCATCATCGGGGTCGGTGTCGATGTCGACATCATCGTCGTGATCGACAGGAGAAAGGTCGACATCTGTGATTTGCTGAGGCTCAGAGACTTGACCGACATCTTCCCAAGGAGACTTGCGATCAAGTTTTCTCTTCTCTGAATAATTAATTGCAATAAATAAATAATTGAAATAAACAAATCGCTTTAATAAACGAAGAGACCAGAGTACGCAATGCCCCAAGTGCCATTTCTTTGTTAACTACGATAATTCAAACCACTAATTGAAGTCTAACAATTAAGAGGTCAAAGTTTAAAATGTTTTGTCCTATTTATTTTTGGATAACTGAAGTTAGAAAGGTGGATCAACTATGACTAATTTATTTTACACGAAGATTCCTTTTGAAATGTTTAAATTTGCCTGCGTGAAACTGTAATTGAATTGTTGTTTGCTACAACACTAAGAGACTTTAACTGAATCAAATCAAAGTTCAATATTGTTGGTCCTGAAATTCCCTTACTGAATTGGAAACAACAAACCTGTAGTTCCTTTCGGTCGTTTCGCAGACGTTGATTTGCTCAACTGCTGTGGCGTTCCTCTTTTGAAAAGCGCCAGTCGCTCTCTCGCCAAATCAGTATCGGCGGTGCCAAAGAGTGAGGTGGGAAAAGAGGGTAGTTTGGCCGCTACAGGTACTGCCTGCACCGCTGCCGAGGCTGTTAGGGGGTCAGACGGATCGCTGGCCCCGCCCGTGGGCCGTGCTTTCCCCGCAGATGACTTGGCTGGCCGCCGGTGTGTCGGCGTGGATTCCCCGATCGCGTTGAGCCAGGCCGCCGTGTCGAACTTCGGCAGGTTGCGCTTGACGGTGAGGACGTTCGCACCGAGTTTCGGACTCTCCGAAGATTCGAAGGATTTAGTGACGAAAGCTTGGAGTTCTTCCATGATGATGCCACCGTAAAGCACTGTCAAAATCTTAAATGTGAGTCAAAGATGACAGTGTTGAAAGTTCTGCTCACAATTGGGAGTTTTCTTACCTAATGATAAGCAATGATTTGCAAAGGATGTGAACAACAGACGGCTCAACACGGGTAGTAATTTGTTCGTCAAATGGTTCAAATATTGAAAGTATCATGCAAGCGATGTAGCTTGGTTGGTTTCACCAACTACCGCTCGTCGCTTCGTCCGCTCGTCAATTGGTTCCTAAATCAGCGCTGATCACATTGCCCGCTCCGAGAGAGACAGACCAAAAAGAAAAACTCTCTGCTCATTAACAGTCTTGACTTCCGCTAATCGAATCAAGACGATCACATCCCCCTGAAAACGAACAACATCGACCCACGACTAGCGGTGAGAAACTTAATCCCTACCGGAGCGGACCCGGGAAATACTAGCCAATGAAAACCTCGGAACGACCGGACACAAAATGACGAACACAGTTTGGTGCTGGACACTGACAGACAGTCCGTCTTACGACCAGAAAAGGGATTAACCAATGCCACAACTCTCTATAAAGCCGTGCTCTTTTCATTCGCCTCCTGAAGGATCAGTCGGTTATCAATTTATCATTACACAAAAAGGGGGTGTGGTGATGCCCCCTCAGATAGCCTACATACACCTGCAACTCTCCGATGGCGATGTGTGACGGGGGAGGTACCCATAAACTCGGACGAGTCGCACCGTGGCCTTCTCTCCCGTGAGCTGATATTGGATTATGCCCCGTGCGGCTAATTTCATCCCAGTGGTATACGTCACGGGGGCGATTGACTTTTAATGGCAACGTTATCCGCCAAAGTGATGAAAAGAAAATTGGGCCTTAACTCGATTAACTGCTCCATTATGGACAGTGTTTAGCGAGGCTGGTTTTTTATCCCTGCGAACCGTGCCCCGGGTACTGCCGATTCCACTGCATTGATTATTGTGCACTGTCAGTACTGTTGTGTGCAAAAAAAGAGGCTTCGAATTGAGAAGAGGTGTGCTGCAATTAAGGAAAAATACACACAAACACAAACACACACGTTTGTTTACGGTGTAAATCGAGGTTTTTCTATTGTTTCTCTTCCCTTTCCTTTGTTTATACTCTTAACTTTTTAGAACATCATTAGTTTTATACACATTTTCTAATAGAGGTCGTCTTCGATTTGGTTCCTGTCCTCAATACATCGATAATGTTGCACGTGTGTGTCCTCGATTTACACCATAAACCTACTCGAAATAAACACACATCTCGTGGAAATAGAGTAGCGAAGTGTGTCGTTATCTGCCTTCGTTCTGGTTCACGTGCTGGTTAGCGTGTTGATGTCAACACACAAGGGTCCATGAAAGAATTCTTCTGAGGAACACATTTTGTGCAACTTTCCAGTCCTCTTAAAATGTACGAAAACTATTGGACATCCCGTTTGGGTCAATTTTATTGAAAATTGCACCTGAGGGCGCTGTTGCTGTTATGTCACTTCAGGAAGACACTGTTTAGTTTAGAGGATTTCTGTTCAAACTGTGAACCCACAAATTTGCTCAGTGAAAACATTTGTGAGAAAGGGTCGCTCATTGGCTTATATTGCCATGTAGTGACACAACAACGAATCATCAAAGAAGAGAAATTGTACAACGGCAAACTATCCAAAAATTCTGGCAAGTTTTGGTGCTGAACTATAGCTGTAGGCCTATAACAGTGAGGTTTCTGCCTGGAATGACATCACACTTTTGCTCATGAATATTTGCTCATGCATGATTAGCATAAAAACCAAAAAGGCATTAAAACACCCTTGCAAATGGCAAAACGGAAATTGAAAATGAGGTTTTATGGGACACAAAGGTGTATTTTCAAGGATTGCATTAAAAAAATACATTGCATGGGCCCTTTCAGCTCTGCGCGTTAAACCAGAACACGACCAGGAAAAAACTAGAACTAGATTTTTTTACTTTAAAAAGTGTCTACATGTATTAAATCGGTTTTGATACGAGTGATTTCGCGCAAGGCATCGTGAGAAATAAACATGGCGCAGCAAGATGTATTCATGTATATCAGGGAACGAGGTTGCACTCCAATGGGAAAGAAATCCATACCTTGGCATCACCTGAAAAAAATCCAAGTGTTTTCTCAGTAAATGCTTCAATATTTCCCCTGCTAATTTTGACTTTTTATAGGACATGCTATCGCTTTCTGATGGCTGATAGGCCATTGCAGGGGAAAATTAGTGATGGCCAGGTATAGAATTCTTTCCCTCCAATGCAAATACCCTTGCAGGTGTCTCGTCGTCAATTTTCAAAACACGGACAAATTTATAAAAAAAATCAAGACACAGGAGTCACAAATAAACGAGCCTATTTTTTTTTCAACGCCGAGAAACTTTTATTGTCTGTACACGTGAAAAATAGATAGATGTCTGGGAAGTGCAAAATAATTATATCTATTTACAAGAACATGTATACCTTACAAAACCTTGCTTTGAAAAGCTAACTGTTGGAAAATATCTTTGACTGTTCTTTACAACGATTTGACACGTGCCAGTGTTGGCTTAAAAAGGAAAAAACTTTTAAGTCTAATCCAAAGAAAATATATAACTGTTTGATCTTCGGCTCTCTTTGTTCTGTGTGTTCTAGAATTGCCCGTTTTATATATTGCTTTGTTCATTGACAATTCTTTCGTCAGAAACAGTTTCAACCCCGCACAAAATATCTCCGAGATTTGTTTTATACAACAACAGCTGTACAATCATAAATTACGCTATCTCTGTACATGTATTGCTATTTACATTCTCACAACTTTATTATTTTTTTTTTCAAACTGATCGTAATTATTCAAATGAGTGTTGGAAATACAACGCATGGTGAATCGACCTCAAACTAATCTTTTGAAATTTATGAAAAACAACTGAACGGTCCTTAAAGCCTCTTGATTTAACACTGTTGACAAAATGTTTAAGCAGTGCTTCAAAACCTTACTTTTTTCTGTCTGAATTTTGGAAATGTATTATGAAAATCCACATTGGTAACGCCATTTGCCAAACATCGCTTCAGCTGCAGACATTCAGCGTCGTGATATGTTGAACTAAAAACAGCCGCCGATTTTGTCTTTTTAACACCATTATATTACGCTCCAGAATCGAAGGCTTTATGTTCAACTCATTTCAAACGTCTAGGCTTCCCAAATAAATATAGCGTAGTAGCCGAGGTGTGAGCCGGAGCCCTGATTTGGAAAATGGGGTTCTCTGTTGCCACCAAGTGTCCACGTTTGCTGCAACTTCATCGTTTTAAAAGGGGTTTTCGAAATCTCGTCTTCGTCTCCAGCTTTGGCGTCAGAAGGTTTTAGGTCTAGATCCATAAGTTGCAGAACACCGGCTTGATATTGGTTCGGTGTGCATTCCTGAACACTCGATCCTGCAACAGGAAGTCAAGGTTAGGAGTATTTCCATTTTTGGTTTCTTTCTTTAATGATTCTGAAACCAACGATGACGCCGAGGCCGGAGACGAAGCCGCCGTTTTGAAAACACCCAATAATCCGCGGGGAGTCGGACACTTAAACTCCAAGAGGCCTATAGTGAATAGAGGCAGGGTTAGCAGACATACTTGCAGACAACCTCCTGCAAGAACGCGTAGATCAAGAAGAGAACGTAGATGCAGACAAAGGTGACGCCGACCACCTTGTTGAGTTTGAAGCGGACCAGCGTGAAGACGAACAGAGTTAAGAGAAGGATGCCCAGGAGGATGAAGCCAAACTTTGCATGTGGCGTCATCAGCAGCTCGCCGCTGGCAAGCAGCCCCTGAGAGAGAGAGAGAGAGAGATAGAGAGAGCAAGATTGTAATAATTATTATATCAGTGCGACCTTCATATAAGAATATCGTTCTCTGGTGCATCCTGCCAGAGTCATAGTCCAGTCCATCACAACTGAAATCACAAGTCAATCACTAGATTCCCTAAAGGCCACAAGTAAATGAGGAGTCAGGTTGTTTAGCGGTACTTTCCTCGCCTTCCACCGCTGTGACCCGGGTTCGAATCCCGCCTGGTCCAACACGTTGATTGGGTTTTCAGTCCCTGCCTGATTCCGTGGGTTTTCTCCAGAATATTCTTCTGGGGTTTTCCTCCCACCTCTACAATTATTGCTTCTCATTGTCTTCTCTGTACAGGTTTCTTAAGGTTTGCGACAATGCCTAGGGCACTTTTGAGGAATCATTGGTTTCATTACCAAAATTAAATAATAATAATAATAACAACAACAAACAAATAACAACAACATCCCAGATTTCCCCTCTTAATTAAGTAAGGCCACAAGTCACATGGCAAGGGAGGAACGATGACAAAGGAGTAGAATTGTCACAGCCCCTTTAAAGGGTTCACAGTAATAACGTGTACATGTATTTTACTTTGTCAGTTGACCGTACTTTACATTGTACTTGTGTCTGGACTTGACTTAAAATCTGCGTTTATAGCTTATATTTTTAGTAAATTGAAAGGTATTCAGCGCACCGCATCTTGGGACATGACTTTTGCACTATTATTTCATACAAAACTTGCGATTGTACACAGTCAAACGATACTCCTGGCAAGTATGTAGTTTGTGCATGACGAACCTTTTATCTAGGTAAAACAGCTTTGAGTTTGAATCTAGCAATACGGATCGTACAACCCAATCAGTCCAAGTAGGTAAGGAGGATAATACTTACGAATTCATAATCAGTGAGAAGACTGAGTGGTCTTTTGTAGATGAGGATGCTAATGAGGAAGGGTAGACCAAGGCCTAGGTTGATGTCAAACACGTTGGATCCTATGGCGTTAGACACCGCCATATCACCGAAGCCGTCTCGGGCAACCAATACGGAGCTCAGTGCATCCTAGAAAATAGAACATAAAAGGCATCATCATCACCGATAAAATGATACTCTTCAAGTTCATGATGTAAAAAAATGACTTGATATTGCTACATTGACTTATTAGGAATGCAACTAAGTTAGGAAGAGGGCGCCACCTACCGGAACGCTGGTACCAATCGCCACGAACACGATGCCCATGGCGTAATGATCAATATTGAGGATGCAGCCCACCTTGATTACCAAGGTAACCATAGCGAAACTCAAGACGGCGATCCAGACGATGGATAGTGTGAAGGAGAGAACGTAGAATCGCCTGAAGAAAATACAAACAAACAAGAGATCGATGATTTCAGCGAAACAGGCAACATTTTGTCAATCAACTAAAAGTGAGCCATTGTTGAATGTGAGACTATGCAAAACTGTGTGGAACACCGCATTGAACTATAGCCTATGGGAAGAGAAGGAAACACAAACATGGCGTCCCAATTACACGGTCGAGTTTATTAAAGGTTCGGTTTATGACTGGTCTGATGCAAAGTCAGTGGTTGCAGTTGGCTAACAGTACAAGAATACCGGTCCATTCCGGTTTACTCACTTGTATTTGGGATTGCTGCAGTTTGGTATAGTCCAGGTGAAAGCGCACATGAAGGGAAAGCTGATGACGAACATGAGCCACTTGAGGGCGTACCGCAGGCAGCCGCACCGCGACTGCATGACCTCACGGTCCGGGTAGTACATGCTGATAGCTGGCAGACACGGGATGGGCCGAAGTGTCAACTCCTCATCGATGATTTCATCCTCCTGTTATTAATAGAATGGAATGTCATCATCAAGAGTGACACGAAGAAAACAACAAATTATTCCTAAGACTTGAGTTAAAATTTGACGTTTGAAAGAGCTCGGAGCAACTTTATTCGAACACCGTATCGGTGTTGTAGCAGTTCCTTCTCAAAGGTTCAGCAGGATTTCCATCAAACCTGTGACCTCTGCAGCTCAATACTGGCGTCGATAAACGGTGCAAATCCTGTTGCAGTCAATTTCTTCGTTCAGGCTAATTATTGGTACAAGGTGGTCTTGTTTATCGTGAGTGAGCTTCTTTTTTAAAACAAGTAATACCTCGATCATTTCTTGCTTGGCTGGTTTGTCATCGTCAGCCTTTGCCGGCACGGCGGGCAGAACTGGATGCTCGTGGTGGATCACGGTGATGGAGTGCCTCTTGCTGGCCTTGAGATCAGAGGGGTCAGGATCAGAGTGGACAAAGGGAGGAGGGTCATCAGAGGGGTCAGGGATGACAGGGGTGAGACCCTGGGCGCTATGGATGCCCGAGTCGGCATCGTTGAACCCAGAGACGGGCACGAGGAGGCGGGACCGGCTACCGAACTCGCCCGACAGGCCGCCCAGGCTGTTGGCGTCTGGCTCCCCCTCGCTGCCCACTGCGAATCGGATCTCGCGGACGGTGGGCGAGGAGGGCAGTTCCAACTCCTGACTAGAGTCGGTCACGACCACGCGGCCGCCGCCAGCGGCGGCCTCATTTTCGATGATAGCCGTGTCGTGCGAGGGCGACCCGTAGGCCGCCTCGTCGCCTTTCTCCATGATGACGCTGCCGGCTAAGCTGCCGATCCTGCTGCCAAACTGGCCGCCCTGGTGCGAGCCGCATTGCGAATCGGCATCGCCCGGCCGCCTCACGTCGATCTGAGACGACGTCTGCGCGCGTTTTTTTAAGACCGAGTAATTCGGGATTGGGCGCGGATCGCGAAACGGGCAGAGCGTGGATCGATTATGGATTTGGGTGACGGATCGGGCGAGGGTAGTGCGGTCAGAGGACGTTGTAAGGGTTGTGATACGAACAATGAAAGTGCAAGTGAGGAATAACAATGAACAAAAGGAAAACATGGAGGCAGCAAACAACAGTGGAAGAGGATTGGTTGAAAAAGAAAAAAAGCAGTACGTTTTTATCAATATGTTCAATAAAAAGTGATAATTTCTTTTTGAAATCACAATGTCACTGTATCCACCTACACCTCTTCTGGGTTTAGAATCATTAAGACGCCTTCAAGGTTCAAACAAGTAAAAAAGCCACTGGCCTCATAATGATAGTATTTGATGTTCCTCAACTAGATCAATATTGAACTAGGGTTTTCCAAATCGAGGCCTAAATATCTCCTGAGGTAGTTTCACGATGAGGCTGAGGTGTGGAATGAAAACGTCCACATTCTGATGACTTACGAAGTTGGCTGCGAGTTCTCCGTGCTTGACATGGTGGAATATGTGCTTGTGAGAGGAAGAAGACCTTGGCAAAACGCCCCCAGACGCTGTAGATATGATGGATAGCTTGCGATCCGTCTGTAGGTAGAGAGAAGAAAAACTAAATAGTATTTTTTCAGGTTTGCGAAATCTTACAGTTCGATTAGAATGATAGTTTATGCACATTTGGTATGAAAGCTAAATTAAGACACCCAACCTAGGATACAAAGACTCCAGCTATGTGCTCGAGTACCCCCTCAACGGCGACTATGAGAAGGCACGCCAAAGTTGACGGACCAGTGGGCACCATCTTTACTCGTGCATGCTGATATAGATAGGTTGTTTCAGTGTCACTGTGGAGGGGGGCATGCCCACTAACATGCTTCCCCTTTCTTTCTCACCCTTGAAGGGGCACTTGAACCGAGATCTCAACTTACATGAGGTGTCTGCTTCTGATGAGTAGCCGCAGCGGGCGTGAACGCCTGATCAGTCGGTGCGACCTTGTCGACTTCCCCAAGCTCTGCCTGGCTGTTCTCGGACTCGAGGGGCTCCACTTTACCCTTTCGGCACCTTTTGCTGTTAAATGAAACAAAAGTATGGAATGTGTCACAATCGAGCAAAGGCAGTGTGTTGTTTTACCCCTCCCACCGAGCAGAGGGCAAGTTGGTCATGCATAATAAGTTACCATTCGCACATAAACCAATATCGTAATTCACTGGTTCTCGTTGGTATTATTAGCACAATCTAATGTTCCAGCGGAATTACAAAATACCTTTAATGGCAAAATAGCCGTGCTGCTGTGAAGTCCAACACAAGTTACTCACAAGTCAAGTCACAACTAACTTTGAATGAATAGAAGGAATTGCTATTGTCACAGTCCATTCCAATTGCTTGTGAATTGGCACTGGTGGACGACTTGTGATGGACCTGTTCGGGACTTGCGGTGGACTCGACTCGAATTCAACACTTCAAATGAGGCATTTAACGGAAGCTCACCAATTCAAGTCCATGATTGAACTGTTGAACTTCATGATGGCTATGTAGACGACGTACAGCGCCAATAGCACAATGGCCTCGTAGATCTCAAATATGCCGTCCCAGGAGAAGATGATGAAACAGATTATGGACACACCGTAGCAGATGCTGTCACGGAGGAGTGGACGCCAGTCTAACTGGAGCACCTGAAGAACAATACAGAATGTACATCACATCCGTGAAAAGGTGGACAAATGTTGTCTTCATCAACACCGGAGGCATGATGCGACAGGATTGCCTCACAGTCCGATGGATTGTAGTTTCAACAACAGTCATTACTTGTCATGACTTGGGTACTCTAAGCCGAAGCCGGAGACAAAGCCTATATGTCTATTTGGTAAATCTCTAAAAGTATTGTGCGTTCCAGACCAACAAGGCATGCTGATAAACAAGATGGCATAATTATCAAGATCGTATCCATGGAAAAAAAGGTAGTCAACGTACCTGACCAGCAAGTGCAGCTGACAGAGCGATGATGATGAGGATGTTGAACAGCGCCGAGCCCACGATCGTTCCCACGCCCACGTCACTCTCAACGGTCACGCCAGCGAGTGAGGTAAACAGCTCCGGGGCCGAGGAGCCGGCGGCCATGAATGTAGCGCCCGCCACGTCCTCAGATAACTCCAGTCGCTCCGAGATGACCTCCAAGGATGGCACAAAGAAATCATCGCAGATAATGGCCAACGCTGGAGAGAACAGTATTAACGCAAAAACTATTCTAGATACTGGGATCAATGAACTTTACAATAATTTATTTACAAGGTTCGACTGTTTGATTATTTTGCGCTCTATATTTCATTCGGGCGCTTGACGGCACGCCACCAAGAGGTAGAAAGAGGGGCCAGTTTTCGTAGCGCATTATGGGAAAAGGTCAATATCCATGCATGTTAATGACGTTTGCTCCCAACCACAGATTATACGTCTCAACATCTAGTAAGAATACTGATCGGTTTTCTCTGGACAATACGAGAGGACTGGAAATCCAGTCGTTGTGGAAACACACGTGCCCGTCTTTTTTCAGCTTTTAACTATAAGTTTCCATTAAGAGTAGCTTTATCATTAAGTCAACATTCCCGACAAGAAAATATACCGACCATGCCTATTAGCGTCAATCAGGGGTAGAATTGGGCTGGTTTTTCTAAGTCAGATCTGATCTCACTTTTTTTTCCCAAAGGACCTCACTCCTGTTTATTTCTTGTCCAGCTGATTTTAAAGCGATGGTTATTATTAATCATGCACAGTCTCTGCGACAGTTTTCAGGTTTTCAAAAACAATGCAAAATCACCATGTAATTAATGCAGCGTAAAATGCAGACAACCCCCGTTGATTGCCTTGAGCAATACCGGTGACACATCACCGTCGTTAAGTTGATGGCGTGTGTAAAGGTTACATTTCCGACAGCGCGTTAATTACAATACACTGCCGAGACAGCTGATGTCGCAGAGTTCATTATTGAATCATCCGTTCCATCTCTCTTTCTCTTGGTTGTATGGCGCGAGTTGCTTCCACTTCACAACAAAATTAATGAATAAAATATTCGTCTGTAAATGTCACGGCCACTCGGAGACATAAAGGAATTCCAGCGAGGCAGCCATCCCGGGAAGTGGTGCTTTTCTTCTTAGACAGTTTGTGACCGTGGGTAACCGTCGTGCTTACAACAAAAGAACATGAATTTCCACCGTTAATAGCTACCTATACGTATTTAATGTAGGGCCTACTCCATTGTGCTGTAACACGACTTGGCCATGAAGGAAGCTTTTCTCTTTCCGTCTTTCCATTCTCTAGCTCACAAAGGAATCACTTCGCTTGTCGTGCCTGTATTTTAACATCTTAGTAGATGTTCCCGCCATGTTCAAGGCCGTTTTCACTGATACATTCTATTAACGCTGTTTACAGCTCAAGACGGTTTTATGATTTTTTTTTAATCAAAACGCCATATACATGTATAAGTGAGGCTAAGCTGCATTCATGCAAAACGAAGACTCTTTGGCGTCGTAAATATACAGGATGGCTAAAAAAACCAAAAAGTATATTTCCACTACCCTGAGACTCAAACCACTAATACCAATGCATGGAGAATCTTTTTAGAAGAAAAATGAAACCAAGATCGCCCGATTCGGTCCAGTAGTTTTTGTTCTACAGCCTATTTTGTGAAGCAAGGTGGGGGTCATTTTTGTCCCGATGAATTACTAAACTGCGCCCGGGAATTTTACTTACATTGTAATTGATAGAGGGATTGATTAGAGGAATTGGTACAGGTGGTTTGAGTCTCAAGGTAGTGGAAGTATGCCGGTTCGGTTTTTTGGGGGGACCGCCCTGTATATGGAGGTTACTAGCTATGGCGTAAGAACTCCTTCAAACTTGCCTGTGTAGTATCTAATTACGCATATAATTATGTAAGAAAACGAATTATGTAATATGAATTATGTACGCATATGATTTTGAGCACTTTTGCTGCTTCAAACGAACGAAAGCACAAATTATTGACAAAGTGGTCCACATATAGTATACTTTAAACATGCCGTAGACAATTGAAAAGGACCGGTGTGTTTGCTGCGTGCCATTAATCGTCTCAAATACTTACAGATGAAGAAAATGAGGATGAAAATGACGTAAACGACGACGAACAGTCCGGTCACGTGCTGCATCTCAAAGTCACATGACTCGATGGCACTGAGCCCCCCAGTTGCGTTAGATGCGAGCAGGTGTCTGGACCGGTATGCACTGTGTCCTGCGGGTTCAATACAGTGTAAAATAAATACATATTGTTCAAAAGAAAAACAACAACGAGATTTGAGAAAGTTTACAACGAGAACGCTCGGGACTCTGCGAGGATTCACCTTCAGCGGGTGATTTACATTCGCTTGTTACACGAGAGCGATTCACTGTCAGACATGGCTGCAATGGCGTCGTTACTACATGGTCACACATCTATGAAGTATATTTTCACGCCAATGTCATTTTACGTACGTCATGAAGATGGGGTTGTGATTATCGGAAACGTTTTCGTGGTAAATGTAGGAGGGTTTGGGTCGACTTGTTTGTTATTTCTTTGGAAAGGTTCTTTATAAATCATAATGGCTCATTGCAATTTGCAAGAATCGCACATGATGGAAATTACAACTGCCACTTATATACCGTGGTAACTTTTGTGCATCTTTACATTATAATGAGATAAGTAAACATATAGAAAGACAAGACAGAAAACTTAATTTTGACATGTTCATCCTGGTAATACATGTAATTGTAAGTGTTATTAAGTGCGCTGTGGTGAGTTTTTTTTCCATGTAGGCCTAAGATGCTCTCAGGCTTGTGGTAATCCTATCCTTTTTCCATCTCACTGTGTGGCAACTCTACGCACTGGGAATTGGCTTTCCATTAAGGTCTTAAACAAATCGCACTCGTCATGTCTTTTATTTTTTTAGTAGCTGCTTCTAGTCGGAGCAGCAGCTGCTGCGCACGTACTTGTACGATGCATTGATCGTTATTGGCCTTGGAACGTCGTGTAGCATCTAACAGCACAGCTAGACGGGCGTATAAAGCATTGCATCGGTGGGCAGCAGCCGCGTATTGCAATTAAATTGCATGACAGCTTTCGATAATCACTGCAGCGGACACAGTATACCAAACGTTGCATTACAACAGTATGGTAAAAGTCTCATTTAAACCAAGGCCAAACAACTACAAAGTTGTAATTGTATACGAAAATTACCGTGATGCTCCATTTGAATTTTAAATTTTCAGCTGGTGGCAAACAAAATGTCAAAAATTCTCTACACAAACCAACCCCTAATTTTTTTTTTTTTGAATGACGGTTTACGCGGGAAACGCCAGTTTCTGATAAACCACATCTAAACTTTGTCCCGATGACACAATCAATACAAAAGAAATGAAGTATAATAGAAGGAAAAATAAACATCATTTTCGCGTTTCCAAACCCAACCTATACTCTGATGTTCCCGGCCCAACCGACTGACAAGACCTAAAGAAAGTCTTGCAAGTTGTATCAATAACCTTGCCGCAGGTAGCTGCACTTCATTACCTGAAGTTGTTTAACAAAGCTATCGGTAGTTTTGTAATCCTCTTCCTGTACCGTTATATTGGAGTGGACAAAAAAGTCCTTCTTCAAGTGTTCGACGAAGGCCGTTCCCAATCGATTTCTCGTTGTCATCCTCGGCTCAGGAATATCCACTCAAGAAAGAGGATCAGTGAGCGACATGATCTCGAACAAAGCTGACTTCGGATCGACAACGACCGTTTCATGACTGTATCGAAATAAAATCACGTGAGCGGAGGTACTAGGTAAATACTCCCCTTCCATTCGTCGCGTTCTATAGTTGGCAAATGCGGAAAAGGCTTCCAAAGGGACGCAAAGCGTATACGTGTGAAAAAAAATTAACGTGTATAAATTATCATTCAAGTTTTCGCTACCTACGGCGCCACCAAGTGTCGAGGGTAAAGCCCACAGACCGACCCGACCCCATAGAGCTATATTAATTAAATATAGCTCTTTGCCCGACCCGCTGTTTGAATAACTGCAGCCCAACTCCATGGGCCTTATGCACAAGTTGGCCGTTTTTGTCGTGTTCCCTGAATGTACTTCATAAATTGTGAACTGTTGAATGGGATGGTGCCAGATTACATGTGTATTTATTCACTATAGCCTCACTTTCATTTTTTATTTAAATGTGGCTTAAAACATTAGAGTATGTTTAATTACAAATTTTAAATTATTCATCAGAGCAGACTGGTATTAATTTGTAACTGTATTGCTTTAATTTCTCTACACAAGTTCCAAAAATGAGGAGTTTACCTTATCCTCTCAATTTTTGCAGACTCGTGAATAATTAGGCCCTTTTTGCGCGTGCGCGTTCCTTCGCGCAAGGCATGATGGGAAACAACATGGCGCAGCAAGATCGTACCCATGGAAACGAGGCTGAAATAATCGGTTACGCAGGCCCGTGAAATTGGGTGTTACTTCATTAAGTTGTGCTCCGTAGCTTCGCAATTTCCCGTGTTTTTTTTTTCCAAACGGGACTGCGTACGGAAACAGTCGCGATAGTTTGACGACTTTACAGCTAGACTGGGTCCTTAAACCCTTGGCGATCGATACACCTGAATTGCTTATGAATATAAAGTCGCTTCTCGTATAATATCTCCCAGCGGTGCAGATTACACTAAGGATATATGCCAACACTGCAGGGTTGTGTATCAGATGATCTGGTCTTGGAGGATTAAAAAGGACGACTATTGAGAGGACGAGCTTGAATCGATCCGATTATGGGCGAAGAAAAGGGAGAAGCGCAACTATAGCGGTCTTATAAGTTAAGCCGACCGTGAAACGGGACGTGCAAAACTGTTAGATACAATCGGCAAACAAGCAAGCATGGAAACTTATCATCACGTTGGCTGTGTTTGTTGTTCTTAGTTGCTATAGTGACTTTGCTTGAAACTCCCAAGAGAGTCAATTTTACTCATCCTGAGTTCAGCTTTCCGTTTGAAATTCACAGTTCATCGTTCCAATAAAAAACTGAAATGTTTGAAACGAAGATCTTGTAGGATTATTTCTCAATGGTGTCCCACAAAAGAAGTTGTGCAAGCAGATATCCTTTTACTTTCTCAAAAACTACTGAACATGAGTACTTCATCTTGATAGAGCAAATACTCTTGTGTATATTCAGTAAAAATGCCATGGAAATCCATTCATGCAAACCAGAGATCCAACAGATTATAAAAGGCAATGGATTTTTCACCCCGATTCCAATGGGATAGGATTTTCACAGTTAAACTTAATTTACATCGGTGTGAAAAGACCAGTGACAATCTGATATGCAGTAATATCACTAACTGTGTAAATCCCATTGGAACAGGTGAAAAAAAAAACATAGCCTTTTACAATCTGTTAGATCTCTGGTTTGCATGAACAGATTTCCATGGCATTTTCACTGATTATACACAAGAGTATAATTAATAAGCTCCACCAATAAGCTCCACCAAGATGAAATACTTATGTTAAGTAGTTTTTGAGAAATTAAAGGATATCTGCTAGCCCAACTTTTGGGGGGACACCCTGTAATGTACGATGAGTAATTTGTTCCACATGAGTGACGTGTGACTTATTGCCAGCTTTACTTCGGTTACGCGCATCCTCATAACTATCTCGCGTTTTCAAATTGAAGATGTAATTTTTTTCAGTTTATGCTTTTCCGGTTAAAAGAAAAGAAAATCAAAATGAACAGTTGATCATGCTGCATTACCCGCTGTGATTCTTAATGATATGTTGCCATAGCAACGATAACATACAGTCGCGTTACAAAGCCGCACAAATCACAATCCGATTATGTTTCGCGACAGGCTCGGTAAATCGCAGTCCTCTAAATGAAATATAAAAATACAGAAATACTTTTGGCCAAACGGGTGTCATTGCACTGTACAACCGAAACTCTTCCCGAAAATAAATAAATCAACCCGAACGTTGCCCTTGGTTAATGCCCCCTAAGTACTCAAAGGGGTATGGATAAAACAATATATTAATTAGTGCATTAAGACTGAAGAAAACAAACACGTGTTTTGCCTTGCCATGTTAGGACCACACAACCATTTTGACCAATCCCCTTCACACTCTTTACCCAGTGGTTTGTCAGTGTGCTTATATCAGTGTTATAGCCGAGTCACCAACGTTGTAGCCGGGTCACCAACGTCGAGTCCGAGTCCGAGTCTCGAGTCACAAGCCTCGAGTCCGACCCCGAGTCTCGAGTCAAAAGCCTGGAGTCCGAGTCACGAATCACTTGTTCTTAGTTGTTCAACAAATTTATCAAAGTTTTTTTTATTATTTTTTCAATATCCATTCTGTCTTTTAAGTAAATCCCAGTGTACATGTATAAAGTTTACCTTGTGTGTGTACATGTTTAGACCCAAAATGTGTTTTCCTTTAAATTCCAATCGCTAAAAAACCTCCTCCATCCCTTCCCTCCATGTTCTATCATCCAAACATTATTCCTCAATGATCCTTTCCCATCCCTACTTTATGTTTTTTCTTTTGATGAAAATGCGTGTCTCGAGTCACGAGTCACCAAGCTCGAGTCCGAGTCACCATGGTCGAGTCCGAGTCCGAGTCCGAGTTATTTTCCAATGTGATTCGAGTCGAGTCCGAGTCAGAAAAATGTGACTCGAGTCCGAGTCCTGGACTCGAGTCCTACAACACTGGATTATATAGGCGGGCCTTACTCATGTTGTAGTTTTCACATAATCCCAGTCAAAACAATCTCACCTGCAGCATTATCATAGCTTGTTCCTCGGCCGAGTGCAGCAAAGTAGAGCGTGGAGATCGCAAATATCCCGAGAAGTACGCCCGTGCGGATCATCCAGCGTGCGCTGGGCCTCCTCCGATGCCGTCTGGCACCCATGGCTATGGGTCCCGCCCTGCGGCAGCCCCCGGGCGCCTGCGCCGATGATGCTAGTGACGGGTATAGCCCTTTAGTTTCCATTACTGTGGGCCAAGAGAGAGAGAGAGAGAGAGAGAAATAAACAAGAAACCAATATGATTATTTCCTTGTGGGTATTTTTCGTCGATAAATTCTCCGAGAAGCAGCGGAGTTGAATCTTCATGGGAAAAGGCAATCAGCATGCTCTAAGAGGATAAAAAAAAGGGTTAAAAAACTGGATGAGCCTTCGTACAGAAAAGAGTCCCAAAGTATATTCCTCAACATTGTAATTTGTCCGTGTGTAAATGATGTAAATTTGTCTTATTCATGACTACGTCTACGCGCAGTATAGGCCTACGCACTTCTATTGTTTAACATTTCTCTTGCACATTTTCTGAAATGGTACATCTGCGAGTAAAAAACACACAACAATTTTATTATAAATCATGCTTTATTTCATTAAAAATAAGAGAATGTACACAGAACCCAGGACACGGCTTTAAAACCAAAACACATGCAGGTTGGACACACAACGGAAAAAAATACTTGCAATATATAATAACATTACTACAAAAGCTTTAACTTCATTAAACATGTTACAGGCAAACTTTAGACAGGTCGATAAAAATGGTAAAGTTCATTAAAATGTCACAAAAAAGCAAACTTTAGGAATTTTTAACAATAAAACTGCGTACTGCGTGTGTATGAACAAGATGAATTTACATCATTTACAAAACTAAATAATAATTACAATGTTCTGCCATAAACTTTGGGACTTTTTTTCTGTACGAATTTCTCGTCCAGTTTTAACAATTTTAAATTGATATTTATCCTCCGACAGCATGCTTATTTGTATCGAAACAAATTTTACCACATATTTAGTGTGTATTTCATTTCACTTTTACCTTTTTCGTTCGTGACAAACATTACATGTATTTTACTCACTCAATGTACTTTTTCGTTCGTGACAAACATTACATGTATTTTACTCACTCAATGTACTTTAGTCTGTAACCTTATGTAACGTTATACCGGTATGGAAAATGTATGACATCACCATAACAACGAACCGACAATGATTTGTTTATTGCGCTGACGTTATGCCCATTTTTATTTACGGTGCTCTTAAGCGTCACACGCCATTTCGTTATCATGGCACCCGCAATAGATTGTCATCCATCTGTGATCCAGGCACAATTTACAAAACCAGTTATTGTGGGCGACAGTTTAGAAAAAAAAATGCATTACGCTGTCAGAAGACGGCATTTTGAGTTGAGTCAAATTGGGGTCAGGTTTCGCGGACTAAAATTGCTACTATTATTATAATAATTTATTGTAGCTTTAGGCATATGGTTGTGCGCCTTCGTTTATCTACAAAGATGAGTTTCATAAATGAAATGGTTGTAGGCCCCTATATCGCAATTGAAGTATCTTGGCCCCATGGACACAAAATTCAACGAGTGAATAAAACAATCAAAATATGTCCAATCACATATGCACAAAAAAAAAGAGGACATGTCACTAATTTATATATGTTTTTTTTTTTAAATCCGTTTATTTGAAGTTGATGATAAAATGCTGTTTTCACTCAACTAACGAAAGTGTCGGAGTGCATCGCGTAGCGACGAGCGGGGCATGCATGTTTACCGGCTAGAGTATCAGCCCATGCCTAGGGACCTGCGCTGTTAATTACATTAGCCTACGTATCAGATGTTTTCTTGACAATTCCATTTGAAATATGCCAAAAAAAAATATGCATGTAATGTTAACTTCTTAATGGTGTCTTTGTTCGGCTAGGCTTCTTCAATGTGAAATATCTGCCAATTAGCGAAGGACTTTGGCGGGACTTAATTCGCCTTCACAATAATGGAACGCCAACGGCGCAAATAAACAACAATTTCAGACACAACAATTTTGACTTTGCTAATGATTCAAATACAAAAGTGGTGAAAATCGGCGTCTATTCCTACCTTATCCATTCGCTTGTTACCTCTACATATCACCACTTCAACCTGGCGAAGTGGTGGTGGTGTTAAGTCGTCATTCTGTCAACCTATCCCCGGAAAAATGTTTCAAATTCTTTTCCTACGATACTTTTTTGTTCAGCCGGCGCATAAGAGAGTGTTCCTGTGCGTCCCGTTTGCGTTCTGTTACCAAGCCGGCAATGTATACTGCGTGCGCGATACGCGTATTTTGAAAACGTTCATTCTTATCTTACGCAGAGCGCAGGCGCGTCAACGAATCCGTGTTACACCATTCGCAGTGAGTCTTTGGCACATAGTGACGTCACAAGTGCGCACGTTTTACTTCGCGCACTGCGCCGCGCGGGTCTCTCTTTACGCATTATTTATCGGTACACGGTGATCATGGGCCAGATACACAAATATCATTATTCAGAAATAGTTATTTAGTCTTTTGCACTCAGCAGGCTATTTGTTTAAAATTTCTTCCTTTTTTTGTAGTTAAATTCATCATTCCACCTTTGTTCGGACTTTAATACGCCAATTAATATTAACGTGTCGTTCAGCCGCAAGAAAAAAATCGACTACACGCCGCATATCCCATGACATTTCTATGGTCGCGTGACTTCGTGCTAATACGAACATAAAACAGAAGCCGTTGCTTCTGAATTCAACCTAAATTTTTAATGAGTCAATTTTGTAGTTTTAACTCTTGTAGTACGGTCATTTGGAGACAATTACAACGGCAAGAGGTATTTTCGGGGTTGTTTACTTGAATAAACGAAGAAGGAGAACACATTGATGCCTAACAACCTGATGTGAATTACTCATTGCACAAAAAAGTTAAGGAAAAATATAGGGAATTACTGTAAAACTAAAAGTCCTTTTGTTTATAAAACAAGACATCGTCTTCAATTTTACCTTGCCTAAAAACATTCAAATTTTTCCAGTTTATTCCCAGCTCTTGTTTAGTATCAGTCTTAATTTTAATGAAATTGTGTAAATAACTGCAAATGTCTGAGTTTCTTTAATTTCAAAATGTCAAATAGGCCTAATACGTTCTTTACTTTTGGTTAATTAATACACACGATGAGAATGTAAAATATCTATTAAAAAAACCCTCAAAACCATTTGTTCATCAGTTTGCATTCATTATGGTGAGCGATCATAGAGTGAACGCATATACAGCTACAGTAGCATTGGCCGTTACATAAGGCTTTTCCTGTCATCTGTATAATTGTCTTTTTCTTTTCAATTCCTCCTCGGCGGGTCGTTGCTTGCTAATGGTTTCAAGCGATCTACTGTAATGGCAACGTCATATCAGCCACGTCCATTTTAACTGTTAGTGCATGATGGGCAGTCTTTTAGAGTGCCCACAAGCTCGAGGGTAGAAAGGTCCATTAGATCTAATATCACAACGACAAGTTCATTATGAATATAAAATTTCCCGTTTCTTTGTGGAGTCACGTTAAACGCAAACTTTTTACTTCAGGGGTTGACTCAACAAATCCTGTAAACGATTCAGCCTAGCTATAAACTGTACTTATTTTGTTCTCTTTCAGTCAAAATATTTTTTGAGTCGAAAATACAATCACAATCTGAATATACAAATTCACTTCGATTTTATCGGACTGTATAATTTAAAAAAATAGGCTGTACCTGATAAATATAACGTACTATCTGGTAAATATTTAACTTCGACACTCCTTGGAGTATAGTCGAAGATACATTTCAATTTCACATTTCAGTCGAATCGTGTCAAAAGACAATTTCAAGTTTGCAAGTTCTTTACGAAATCATTCCGATCTTATTCCGCATAAAAAAGGTAAACATGTTTTGCAGTGCACAGCAGTACGATTTCCATTTGATTTGTTTTCAATGCACGGAGATAACTGGCTATTAGGCCCTATAGTAATGGGTCAGAAAGAAACCTTGCGAGATATGGACAAAATTCAGGCGTTTTTTAAGAATAAGATTCACAGGGAACAAAACCGCAATTCTTTTGTCTCTGATACACATTCGATTAAATTCGTAATGTAACGACAGGACATGGAAGTCACCGAGTGCATTACACATTCATTTTTCAATTTTTTTAAGTTTAGACTCGACTATATAGCAGCCTGATTAGCTTCGTAGTTCCGCCCACATCAAACGTTAGGAAAGAAACGTCGATGAAGCAATTTTGTATTTTGAAATACACGTATAAAATTGTGTTTTCCCTACTCTAAAGAATGGCCTTTCATTATTTTCCGTTACGAATCTAATGACAGCCAACATGACATTCCCACAAAATAATGTAAAGCTTTCTGGTAAAATGAGACGGAACTCTGGGCACAGGCCGAAGTGGAGAAAAATGCTCAAAAAAATTTGAAAGGGGTGATTTAACCCCGATATTCAGATTGAGGCATAGATGTATTTGTATAGTATGACATGTCTACTATAAAAGTGTTAAGGAAAAGCAATCGGCATCTTTCATTCTCACGAATACAAAACTCGAAATGTATGGCCCTTAATTTTCTATGTATTTTACTTTTTTGACATGTCGATAAGTGAAAACTTTAATCAGTCGTAACTTGTCAACGGAATGTCCGCTTGTTAAGTACATCAAACAGTATTGTAAGACGATTTTTATTCTTTTTTCTAATATTTGCAAACCCTCATTTCGACCTCTGCCCGTTCTGTCTCATATTGCCAGAACGCATCACTTATTGCAGTTGCTATATATTACCCCGCACCTTTGCACAATTATAGCCTATAGTGAGCAGTGGGTGGCTTATTTCATTACAATGTTCGAGCACTGATTTATTCATCGCAAATCATATTTCCGAATGATCAATTTTGCATGGTGCAGTATAGTTTTTTCCCCCAAAATCATGAAACTGGGCATGGGTTTCGTTTGAGCACGCACAACTTGGCCAGCTCAATGTAGGGGATTCCTTGCTTTTTAGAAATGACACATGCTCAAGAATTCACGTCAATTTAAACAACACAAACATACATTCATTTCCTACATTTTGTTTCTTTTTCTTTCTTTAAAGTCATGCGATTACGATCATCCCGCCATTTTTTTTGCGACATCTTCCTCCATACTGGATATTAATGAATGTATCTTTCCTATATCTCATACCAATCTCACATGTGTCCCGACTGCCTTGTTATCGGTAAAGATGATGATGAACGTGTACACACATTGAAACAAACCCTACCTTTTCTTTATCGGCAGGAAAAACGCAAGTTCTCCTCCATCCAGTTTTTGTGTTAGCACGCACGTCTTAAAAGCTCAAGTTTTCCGTCTTGAACATTAGCAGCAAACCTCATCCGCGCACAATCATTAAGTAGCGGCCGGCCTACAGTTTGCCGACTTATTACTCCGTTCGCACGGTAGCGTTACAAAACACCGTCCAAACACGTCGTGTACACAACACTGTCTTCCCTTTGAGACGTGATTAGCGTTGTCTTCTTGCTCACATTGTTCTCAGGGATAAGAAAAATCATGTACAATGGGGCCCGTTGCCAAGGCCCCCGGGCGCATGCGCGCGCACACCCAAGGCGCACGGCAAAGCAATAACATAGCGGTTCATGCGTTGCACGCTCTAGAGTGAGTTCTTTATCAGTACAGCGTCGCTTATTCAGAGATGAAAATACATTTTCGATTTCATACCTAACCTTCTAATGGAAAAAAATCATTGTCTGGCACGAATAGAAAAAGTGGAGACAAGATTAAGTGGTTTTCAAGATTCAATAACGCGCGCAAACTGACCTCGCGTGGTTTGTTCTTTCAATGGGAATCGAAAATTTTCTGTTGCCGAGAAAACTTGACTTCTTTCTTCTTGCCTTCTAATTCACTGTGAAATTTCAAATTTCAATAGAAAGCAATTAAGTAGCGATGCTACATTATTTGATACAACAATTACTATGATTTTGAATATCATAATTATTCATGCACCTCATAAAATGCATCCATCCGACACATTACAAACAGTGACGGTATTTTGCAACCTCAACATATTTCGGAATAAATCAATATTTATTAATTGATACAATTATTATAAGTAGTGCAATTCTCTTTAAACAAAAATACTGAAGTCAGGCAGATTTTGCTAAATAATCGGTCCATCTTGAGCAGCCTACATTCAGCGAGGTGCAAAATCAAATCAGTATATTTTCAGTCATGATTGTTGCCTAAAAAAAATCGGCGAATGACATTTAACAATGACGTTTTGAACACCCGAGGGCCGGGCGCTATGCGCCCCGAGGGTGTTCAAAACGTCATATCCCACATCACACCAGTCAACAATTGTTTTGTTATACCTATGTCTTGGATCCTTTGGATTTTGATGTAAAAATCACGAAAACAAACAGCAGTAAACACAGCAATCATGAGAATCGAACGTCAACTCACATGCATGTCGCGTGCTCAATCGAAACAGCTGATCGGGATCGTCTGTAAATTCGCTGCGTTTTACGTGTGAAATGCGTACGTACGCGTACGTATGCGTACTACGCACCATACGCATATAGTCATAGCACACTCCCTGTGGGATATCACGTAGGCCTACGTGATATTTCACAGGGTGTGTGCCATGACCTTTTTTATAAACTGAACACGTGATCGTTCTAGGCCAATGAAAATACAGTATTCAAGACAGAGGTATAACAAAATTGTATGACCTAAGCAAATTATAAGAGTGATAGGTGTTGGCTTTCCGTGTCGACTAAAATTCCGTTCTTCTAGAACTATAGAAAAAAACCAGTTAGACTTTAGTACCGTGTTGATTTAAGAGTGTTCCGTTTCCCAAGCTACACACAGCATTCAATCCCATCTGCCTCGAGGGGAAGTAATTGAGGTAGAGTGGATAGCTCAAGGACACCAATCACTTTCTCCGTATACTTGCTGCTGTCACAGTCAGGTAGACGTACTTCGCTTATCTTTCAGAGAGGATTTTATAGATTGATCCCTGTCTATACGGTGCATAAAAAATGTTTTTCTTTATTTTTTTTCCCAGTTTTACCTTGCCTTAGAATTTTCTGGAAAAAAAATCTTCAGGGTCAATTATATTCACAAAACTGACGTGGCAATTTCCTCTTGACGGGCGGAACGGGTTATTTCTGACATGTCCTTTTAAAATAATTCAGTATTCTCGCCTTCTACTTTAACTTCCTAATTATGACGAGGATAATTATGTCCGGTCAGTACAGCGATTCTTCATTGGACAATTTAAAGAACACGACAAATGCCATGGGCGTCGCCAGGACTTTTTCTACAGGGGGGCAATTTTGTTTTTGCCAAAAAATGCTTGTATTTCTCAGCACATTATCGATTTAGTTTTAGAGGGGGGCAGGGACATCCCCCCCCCCCCCCACTCATTAAATTTACACCACTTTGTCTTCGCGCCTCTTTTTTTTTTTTTTTTTTTTTTGCTTTTCCAGGAGGGGCAATTGCCCCCTCTTTCCCCCCCGCGACGCCCATGACAAAGGCACAATTTGTGTTCGACTTCAATGTTTCAAGACAATGCTTGTTATACCATAGGTTTTTAGACAAGTTGCTTTATTGTCATACCATGCTGAATAAGAATGTGACATTTTTTTCAAAATTGCCAAATCTTGATTTGTGTACATGCAGCTGAAAGAATGCGGTGTTTATCTAACAGTTTAATCGCCAGTGATTTGATACAACAGACATCATGTTCTTGTGTATTAATTGTCTTACCTGTGTGCGTAGTTGGTTCGACCACGGAGTAATAATGAAGGGACTCTCTCCATCAGCGAATCAAAGTCTGGCAACAATTATACTGGTGTTATCAAACAATTACCAATCATTAATGATGATGATGATGCTCACAGCCTCACGAAATGTAGACGTACACTCATGGAAGAATAAAAGCATTATCCATCTATAGTCAAACACTCACTGGTAAAAAAATGTTGCACAAAAAAATGATTCTGTGTAGGCCTATATTTGCAGTCGTGGTTCCATGCTCTATGCATGGTACAAATCGTGTCTGCGTTTGAGATGGTGTGAGTGACGATGAAGCTATCCCGTTGGCATGAAGGGTTGGCCAGGGTTACCAAGGCATCGGTGATGCTGTCATAATCCTGCACGTTCACACTGCCGTGATAACTATAACATTGCTAGTAGTACGGTAGTAAATATAATCTACACTGTGCATCACACGATTCATTTTGTAGCTGTGTTCACGCTGCGCTGTTGAAACGGTAAATAAACGACCCAAATTGTGGCCGAGAAGCCAGGCAAGGAAACATTATACCGATGTCATGGACAGATTAGCAATCTGCGGCTGTATATACCGTGTTATAACACGCCTGATTAAAGCACCGCGCGGCCGGCTCAGGTTTAATAATTAGTGGTATATACACGGCCCGGCGAGTGGAAATGTATACATCAGTATATCTCACACGCGCTTTATTGAATGAAGGCCCATGACTTTGAAGATTTGGGCCCTTTGTGCGTTCGTATACCTAGTGAACTAGAAGATATTGTCTAAAAGGTCTATGCATATAAAAGTGGATACATTGTAATTTATTCGGTAGGCCACGGAACGATTTTGTTATCGCTGAAGCATTAATATGCAAAAGAAAAGGTGGCCGACTTTTCAGCGGCCTTGAGAAAAAAAGGGGCGTGGCTTAGGAATTTAATATGAGGGATGTCTGTGTCAATAAATAACAGTATTGCTTTATATTATTCATCCGTATTTTGCTTAATTGTTCCAAGCGATTTTCCTACAAGGGCGGATCTGGGGGAGGGCCAACTTGGGCCATTTCCCCCGCCCCCCCCCCCCCCCAAAAAATGAACACTTTTTTTTAAATGACGTGTTGCAATAAAGGCAGGCACTGCGTACGCCACCAACTTATCCTCAAAACCGAAATTGGTCAAAGTGGTCAGAAATTACCTCAGATCGCACCACAGAGCATCTAGAATAATAAAAAAAAAATGTTCGGGACCCGCTTGCCGTCATGTTTTTTTGGACCCACTCATGTAAAATGTATATGCTTCACATGTGTTATGTACGAAGTGCCGGTCGGAAGCACGGAAGAACGAAACACTCACGCTGATTTCATCCGCGAGTGATCGTGGGTCACTTTGTGTGCAATGCCTCGGTGAAAAGCTCATTACGTATGTTACAAAATAACACTTTTTTTGCGGTCACTTGGCCTGCACTATAGTAGTCTCTGCTCAATTCGCCTCTTTGCTTCGCCTCTCACCAGTCAATGTCCCAAGTCAGCAAAGTCTGGTTTTTTTTTGGGGGGGGGGGGGAGTGGGGGGACCGCCGGGAGTGGGGGGGGGGGGACCAATGGGAGCCATGCCCTACCGCTCCAAACAAGTGTCTGATTTTTATAATCAATAAATAATAATAATAACTCATTGCAACAAATTAAACAGGTGTCCAGGGCCCAATTTCATAGAGCTGCTTAAGCAGAAAATTTGCTTAAGCACGAAAAAACATTGCTTAGTAAAATGAGGTTACCGGCCAAAACTCCATGTGATGTACATTGCTTGTGACTGGTATTTAGCTGTTGTTTACTAAGCATAACAATCGCATGGAGTTTTGGCCGGTAACCTGATTTTATTAAGCAAGACGTTTTTGTGCTTAAGCAAATTTTGTGCTTAAGCAGCTCTATGAAATTGGCCCCAGGAGTGAAGACTTAAAAAAAATCTATGCTAGTCAGCCACTCATTCTCTCTCACTCCATTCGTAAAATATTACTTGAAAAAAACCGAAAGGGTTCAAAAGGTGCCCCAGCGTCAAATGAGGTACAACCCAACCCCCTCAAAATTCGGTGACCATAATAGACCCACCCCATGTGATGTTTTTACCAATCACAGCCGTGATGAATGATCGGACAAATTTAAAGTCTGACGTGCGTGCGTTACGTTTGCATATGACGCGCGCGTTAGGAAGAGGTGTCCATTCAGAGACTTCCTCTCAACGATCGAGAGCCGGCTGATGAAAGCCGATACAAGCAAGATAACTACTCGGTGTGCAGCGCAGGTGTGCTCAACTGTCGAGTGCATCATGGTCACCAACCACTAATGACCAAAATGACATTACCCTGTCCTTCACATGCCAAGACGAATATAACATCTGAGAGGATGTCACGCATAGGAAAAAGTGACATGTTTTGACATAATGGGTAATATTCAATGCTATTGAGAGCTATGTCGATGCTACATTAAGGGGAAAAAAACTCAGTCTGAGTGGGAACGAAGGGTAGCAAATTACGGGGGAAAAAGGAATTCCACTAATTTACCAAGGTTTCTTAAAATTGAAGGGGAAGGTTTTATCATTCTGGAGCCTACGCTTTATAGGCAGAGTTTTGGGGGGCTTTATCATTCCTTGATCTCTTAACAGAACTACTGCACCTTAAGTAAAAGTGCCAAGAAATAACTTTGAATTGAACATCACTTAATTGGCTCCAGTACATGTAGAGATTTATTTTATTTCACTTGTAATAAGACGGTGACAAAGAATAATCTGTACAACAGGAATGATCTCTATTTCTTTAAACGATGTTTGATTTTCCAGCTCTAAACATGCAACGTTTGCAAAGAAACTGCACATACAGGCACTCCATCAGGTCATGTCTATACTTTAACACCAACCTTTCCAAATCCTCCAAAAAACTCTTTGCAAAATGAAGGATTTTGCAGGATTGATGCAACATGGCAAATGTGTGTGGTTGATTTTGGAGGACCCACTGTGTCAAGGTCTTGGGCCGGACCTTGTGTTGTTTCTGCTCAGCCGTGCATAAATTTAGGCCTAGATTATACTTGAAATTCTCTCACTGCTCCAGGATGTCACTGACTCTGCCTCAACATTCTCTAGTGATTGCTGGAGGATTTTGCAGGATTCAGGCAGTGGTCACCCCTCCAAGGACCACATTCAAGAAATAACGGAGGATTTTGCAGGATTGAGGCTGTATGCAAGTTTTACGTGGAGGCAGTTGGAGGATTTTGCAGGATCAAGGTTGCGTCCTAGCAAAAAAGCCTAGGGAGTTAGGATTAAGAATAGTATTTCCTTTAGACAACACTGCTGCCATATGTTTTGCATCGAAGTACACGCCCAGCCATGAATTTGGATACTTTCAGATGTAAATTGGTTGTGCGTACTCCATACTTGTGTCCCACACACTGGAGCTGTGATGAGTAGGTCACACAGCGCAATGTACCATCTCCAAATGAAGTCCATAGACCAGTCTATTTGTCCCAAGAGTCGTCTGTTCCGATGGTCAGTAGTTTCTTGAAGTACTCTGGGTTGGCCTGGATCTTTTCTTCTCGCATCCTCGCCAGCTTGGCGATCCATGCATCCATCTTCTCCTCGGAGGTCTTGGCCAACTACTCGGAGACAGACAGACAGTCAGCCCGAGAGAGAGACAGACAGACAAAAACGGATAATCAGATAAGGATAAAATATGATTGACTTGTGATTTGTGAGTTCTTGTAATGACTTGTGAATGACTTGTGATTTCTTGTTGATGAGAACTAAATCAGTAGTTAAAGCTATAGTCCATCATTTGGAGCTATCCGAAAAGTAATACTTGGTTGAAAGATAGTAAGTGGACTAAACTCCCTGTGAATTGAATCTTTCTGGCAAGCTATCATGTTGAAGTAATAAACGAAAGAAGGCCTTTCCAATGGTGCGTCTTAAGACGCACCGTAGGAAAATTTAAATTAGTAGTTCGTTTTGTTATTCGGCGCAGCGCGCGCAAGCATTGGCACGACGCACAGGTGCACGCGGTTGCTATAATTCGTCAGATCAGTGCGCGACATTGTGTAGCTGCAATCGGCTCAGTGAGAACGTGTCTCAGACGCTGAATTCAGGCCCAATTCAAAACATGATTCAGCAAATTTTGATTTGAAATTGAGATCCTAGAATGCTGTTTTTCTCAGAATATACAGCTGAAGCTGAGCTGAAACTTCATCAGGTTAGTTGTTCAGTACCCTTCTTTAGATTTTTAGCACGTTTGTTGCTTCAAACGAACAAAATGCACAAATTACAAATGATGGACTATATCTTTAAGCCTGTCTGCACTACATGTGTTTAACAGCTGGTTATGGGTTCGAGTCCCTTTCAGCTTACCAATGAACTGGCCAGTTCTCCCCTGTTGACAGTCTTGTAGAAAATGGTCTGGTTCCGCTTGAAGGAGGCCTGGTTCAGACCAGCCACAGCGACGGCCGAGCTGCCAAATATGGCATTGTCGTGGTTCTGCTCTTTGCTCAGTTTGACTTTAGACCGCGCCTGAAGAATGAAGCAAAACAAAAAACCGACTATGGTACACATTTTGAGTGAATGAAAGATTTTGTTGCTAAGTGCATGCGATGTGATGTGAGAGGTTGTCTTCAGCCAATGCCTTTTTGGGAGCCTCTGATGGTCGCCTTCCACGCATCACGGTCAAGCATCAGCGTCCTCAGCTCAGCGGTATCTTGTTGCGCTGCATCCTTCTTCAGCTGTTCGATGTACGAGAGTCTCCTCCTGCTCCTAGTTCCCTTGACGGGTTCCCACAGTACTAGCAGACTCGCAGCTAGCTCTGGGTGATGCACACAAGCCTATCGCATACTTACTTCAAAATGTTGTGCTTACAAAAGAAATATAAAGGAGGGCTTTCTTTCATTATGAGTGTGTTCGATTACCTCCCCCAGCTTATTCGCACCTGGCTCCTCGCGTGATGACAGACATGCGCAGTGGGGCTAAATATACGAACAGTTTCGGGTAAAGTTTCGTGCAAGAGCTGGAAAGTTGAACTTGACACTGAGGCTGCATTCGAATCAATACACGAGGACGCGCTGACGATAGACGTAGCCGTAGCTCTCAAAGCCCGTTTCGGACACGGCCTGAGGCGCTTGCTGGACGTCACGTTGGCAGCCATGCTTATTGCATGGCCTTGTGGGATACTTACCCAAGAAACCAGCTCTGCGGGTTGTTTACTTGGGCCAGACTCATGTAAGCACGAGAAGTCACGTGAGAGGTAAATCGAATGCTGTCGCGCTTGCAGGAGTAAGCGCGAGGAAGTAATCTAACGCACTCTATATGTAATTGTACTTACCATGCTTTGCCCAGATAGGAATGTGCTTGGCTTGAATGAGTCCTCTTCAATCTCGGCTATCGCCTTCTGCTTTTCTCGCTCCTCCGCCAGACTCAGTGGCTCTGAGTATAAAGTGATCAAGTAAGCATAAAGCGATCAACTGCTTAGCCAAATTGACTTTGTTCCACCAAATTCATTTTCAAAAATAAAAGACAATGTGTTTACCTTGTTTGACGGTTGCAGCAATAACGCCCTTTTCCTTCAGTTTATCATTAGCAGAGGCTGGGGACAAAAAAAGAAGAAAGTAATTCCTGAAATTTAAAAAGCCCAATTATTCAAGCCTGTCAGTTACATACGTATACTTCCTTGACATGTGGATACACTGACCAATGAGAGCAGAACACTTGGCTCATTAATATTCATGAGGTGTTATCATACATTTTCATTTGCAACATGCCATGGAATATCTACATACCTGCTGCCTCCAATGCTCTCTGCATCTTCTGTTTGACAGACTCAGCAGGTGTCTAATACAGAGTAAAAATACAGAGAGTAGAAATTCCGTTACTGTCTCTGTCTCAACCTTCAACAGTAAACCCTCTGCATGTTCTTTAAAATGTTATTTGAAGACTACTCTTCAGGTAGTCTCACAGTACAGTGGAACGCCACTATTACGAACATCGTTGGATCCACAGAAAGTGTTCGTAATAACGATCGTTCGGTATAGCGATTTTGAACCGCCAGTACCCTCTTTTGACCAATAGTGAAGTCACTGAACTGGCATTTCTCACATCCCGTGGCCGCACGAAGAGTCGTCAAGAAACTCAGAAACGGATGGTTTCCCTTTTATTCCTTGGGGAAATAATAGCCATCTATCGCTCTGCAACATTCAAACATGATGAAACTATGGGTTGTTTGATGTTCGGGATTTAAAAGTGGCCCAAACAGTGTTTAATATATGTACAACCAGAATGTTTTTTTGTTAATCTTTTGACTTTTTTCAACAACGATGTTCAGATGGTTCGTGCATTAAAACCGGGAGCCAAGGATGATATTCGGTATAGCCGAATGTGCGGTAAAGCGGTGTTCGGTATAGCGGTGTTCCACTGTATTACCCGTTGTCCACGGACCCCCGTCTCCGGTCTAACGTCTGATATATCTAAGCATGCAGATTTATGCGATCCCGCACCTCAGCCAATCGGAGTCGACTTTACTATAAAATCATGACTTCATTTCATTCCCAAATCAGGACTAAATGTTTGATTGGTCAATTTGAAAATGACCTAGGCACCATAGGTTGCAAGCCTGTAGAGAGAAGACAATGAGAAGAAATTACAGTTTTCGATTTAGGAGGAAAAACCCCAGGAGAATATTCTGAGGAAAAACCCATGGAATAAAGTAGGGACTGAAAACCCAATCGCAATGTAGTCCGGGCAGGAATCGAACCCGGGCCATAGTGGTAAACTAAAAACAATGGTAAATGAAAAACAAAAGTCTCTATTGACCCTCAATCTATAGGGATTAAGATGAGAATTAAATTAGTTCATTATGAAACACCTGATGTCAAGCGGAACTTCAAAACGCATGGATTCAAACTCACCACATTCAGTGAGTGTTTGTCTCCCTGGGTGTCCTTAGTTTTTTCCCGCGAGTCGTGCCGTGACCGACTGCCACCGTGGGAAGACCTGTCCACTGATTGGCTGCGAGATCTGCTCCGTCTACGACTTTTGCTAGGTGTTCTTGAGCGCGTCCGAGACCTGGGGGATAGATTATCCCATTAGTAAAGAACAAGTTGATTTGATCTATCTTCCTTAATCCTGCAAGCTCCTTCAAACCTCCTGGTGAGTTTTCAAGCATATGAGAAGGCAAGGCTTTAACAAACCGAGTCATGGGTTTATGGAGTACCGAAGTGTGACGTCATTTAGAACCAGAAAGTGTAGTGCAAACAAATGGAGTACGCGAATGTGTTGGTTCTCGGGCTGAATCACGTGCTAATGTCTTTTACACACATTTTGTTCGCGTGACATATTCACTTCGGTACTCCATAATGGTCCGAAAATTTGGGACTCTCAATGCTGTGTATGAGAGTCCCAAAACTTAAGGTTTGAAAACATGCAATACAAGAAAATAGACTGGCACATGAAACAGCCAGTCCAACACCCCTTAGTATTGCATTAATCAACCTTTCAAAAGAAACGTCTGGTACCTAGCTCTATTCCTACACATTCTCCATGGTCTTGCCACCAGACTACTAAGGTTCAATCTTTGCAAAAAGTTGGACATGTACGAGTCTAGTCTTAGGCTTCAAATTGAAATCACTTGGCTTCGCTCTCAGGTGCAACATATTGAAGAAAAGTCTCCTTTAAAAATGAAATTAAGATCTCAGACTTGGCTGGTGAAATACTGAGGACCTTGTCTTTGCCCCAATGAAAATTTTGACGAATTTTGCGGGCTAAAGAGTGAGTAAAGTTGGTCTGATCTTGTTTTGCATGTTTGTCTGCACTCAAGGTCTCAGTCCGAGTTTATAAGAGAGTGAGATGCTGTTCACACTGATATATTGACCTTCTTTTTGGCTTGCTCGCACTGCGTGATCGTGACCGTCGTCTGCGTTTGGAGTGTCTATCACGATCTCTTGAACGGCTTCGCGACTTCCGGCTTCTGTACCGATCAAATGGCGACATATAAAACATGTGACATGGATAATCATTTCATATCTAATGATGAATTTATTACACATGGGGAATATTTTACTATCTACCCAGAAATATAAGGTCAGAAACAGACAAAAAGGGTAAAAACTTGGCAAATATTTGATATTGAATCGTACTTTTGCCATCTGTACATTTTTGAAGTATGTTTTTGATCTTTTTCGAACATACCTACTCCTGGAGCGACTCCGTGATCTGGATCGCGATCGGTGACGTTGTTTCTTTGATTTTGTCCTCCGGTCGCTACGGCTGGAATCGCTGCTACTCCTGCTGACAGATCGAGAGCGAGACCTCCGTCGAGCTTTGCGGTGTCTGATTCCAAAAGTAAACAGTTAAAATGGCACAGTTATCACGGTTGGATTGAAACGCTCATCTCCTGTACAGTAGTTCTCTGCAAGTCATCGGCTTTTTTTTTCAAAAACTTTGACATTTTTGGGTGTTTGTTCTCTTTGTTTCATATTTATACCTGCGTTCGCTGCTTACACTCCGCGATCTTGACCTGTGCCGACTTTTCTTGTGTTTCTTGCTGTGGCTTCCCATCTGTACTGAAGTAAATGGCTACTGAACCTGTGTGGGGAAAACATAAAGCAAAAGCCTACATGAACCATTATAAATATAATCCCCTCCAGTAAAAAACAATCCAGCATCATATAGACATAAACATAACATTGTGGATATCGTTACGGCAGTCGTAACGCGATTTTCAACTGCTTTCGTTATAACATGTATAACGGTAATTACAAAATCACTATGCGAATCTATATCTCATTTATAACTACCCGTCCCAACAGAACGTTTTGGTAGCTTGAATGATTGGTTACACGTTCATGACCTGAGATTACTGTGCCGGGGATGCGGGTTCGAAATAATTAGTTTTCTTCACTTTCATGTTTTTAATCAAATCATTTTTTTTTTTTTTATTTAAGTAAATTTCATTTTCTTCTTCGTAATCCGTGGCTTTGGATGATTTCTTTTTATAATAAGGGCAATCAAGTCTGAGAACCCTTCGGTTGAATGATTGATACTAGTCTGGTTCCAACAGCCAATGATCCTGACGTTTAATCCTATTAGATCAGGGAACCAGACGGTTCCGTAACAATAGCAGTTGACAATCGCGTTACGGCTGCCGTAACGATAGCTACTGCGTATGATTTCACATTAATCAACCAGCTTGGTTGGCCTCTACTAGAAACACGTCGCTCCATTGCTAGACTAATCATGATGTACAACTACAAGATCTCTCGCAACCTCGTTGAAGTCAAACACGACCTTAGGCCCAAAACAAAAAGCCTTAGGAGCTCGCAGTCGCACCAGTTTTCATACCACCGACCCAACGCTAAATCCAACAGCACCAGTTTCTACCCGTCAACGATCCCCATCTGGAACGACCTGCCAAACACTATCATCACCATACCCGACTTAAACCAGTTTAAACAAGCCTTAGTAGACCACGTCATCGGGGAGGGAACCAAAACCCAAGTCAACTAGCTCCAGCACAGCCGGCCCAACTAGTTAACTCTAGCGGGATGCGGATTCTACCGTTTAGCTGGCGCAACTGATACAGATACAGATGGAAACAGATGACAACTGACTGACAGACTGAACTGTATGTCACAATCACACTGTCACTAGTGTCAGCAATATGTTCGCATATAATCATTCAGGGAACAGTATACATTGTAATAAAGCCCTAAGGGAAAAGTTCCATACTCGGATGCCAATTTATCTGCTGCCAAACATATTAATTGTCACCTCACCTTGTCATTTGAACCAAGAGAAATCCAGGAAGCTGTGTTAAGGTGAAAAAAATTTACTCAAAATGTGTTTTTAGAGCACATTTTGGATGCATACGTCGTGCAGAACTAACTTGAAGCAGCCGGTCAAAACTGATTGTAGTGGCTGAAAGACAGCGGTACGTTATACACGTGACATCAACAACCATGACGTCGCATGAGCCTGCCAATGATAGTGCAATACGTCATTATGAATATTTATTTTCTCATGAATATTTAGTTTATTTCAATGGATACTTCAAATACGTCCAAAGATTGATTATTGCAACAGCGATCGTGCGCGGCCTAGCGGTTAAGAGTCTCGTGTGTCAAGCAAGCGTCAGAGGTTCGAATCCCGATGAAGTAACTGACTGATTAATAAATAGAAATTAAGGAAAGGAGAGGGTGAGAGTAGAGGAGGGAAAGTGGAGGAATAACCATAAAAGATGTAACTTTTGGCGCTAGAAAATTAATTGAAAAAAGTGACGTCCGAGTATGGAATTTTTTCCTGAAATTATAGGGCCTTTCTTAACTTACGACTCTCGCGCGCTTAAGCGTGCACACAATTTTGAGGTGTAAATAATAGCGCCCTCATTCGGCAAGTCAAAGCAGCTGGTACTGAACCTTGTTGCATGGCACACTGTATAATATTACGGGTACGGGTACCAGCGAATGAACTTCAACACTTGACTTCCGGGTGGCCGTGTGACCAACTTCTCAAAATCTCAATCTTTTTTTGCAGACGATAATCAGGTTTTCTCGACATTTGTGCCCCCATAGCAGCATGATTTTTTGCCTCTGATAAGGAGAATTGCTGAGTTGATTCTTCATTTCAAGATGCAGAGTTTGGTGAACAGTGTGAAGGGCACTGCGCTGAATGTTGCAGAGTTTCTGACGCCAGTTTTGAAGGTAGGCCAAACAAAAATGAAAAATGACCGTCTACAAATGCATGTTTTTTTAGCATACACATGTACGTTTGCACTTAGTGACTTAAGTTATGGAGTTTTAGGGAAATTATTTTGTATCTTGACGCCACTTCTTTGGTTGTGTACAAAATCATTGGAGAGTTGAGTGCATTTTCATTTCAAAGTATTTTTTTAAACAAAATTGGACATGTTTTTTTTCACTTTTCAGTCAATGAGTCATGTCACTTGTCAGTCCCAGAATCATGTTTTTTTTTCCAACATTTTTGCAGTGACTGCAGACTGACCTTCATCTGTTCTGAACTTCTGAGTAATATATGAATGATGAAAAAAGAGTGGCGTCACTCCGTCAGGATGCAACATTTTTTTCCGGGGAAACATTGCTCAAATAAATTGTGTAGTTCAACTTAAAGTGAAACTTCATCGCTTTACTTTAATTTAAAACACCCATCATTGATCATGCTCGTTAAATAGTTTACTGAAATACGCCTACTCAGGGAATGACAACTGCACTGTCATGACTGGATAATCATTATCTTTAGGACACCTCTATTTTTACGAGTTCTGTTCAAAACTGACTTTTGCAGATGACTGTCCAGTACCAAAGTGACTTTTGCAGGCTAGTAAAGCAGTCTCTTTTTCTTCAGATAAGCTCATGTTACATGTAGTTGTAATTTGGAAAGCACTTTCAAAGAAAATGTGACTTTCCTGCCTTTTTTTGCAGTTCGCCATCTTGCTTTTTAAAAAAAAATTCTGTTTGTCATCGTCGTCTTTTACCTCTCATAAATCAAAGCCCTGCCCTCGATCTTTCCACAAAATTAAACCTGCTGATATTTAAAGGGAAAATACAACATTTGCAAACATCAAAAAATAAAACTACCAAATCATTTTGAAATACCTTGCTGGACTGTTGTTAGTGAATGACAGTGTAAAGCATCCTGTAAAATCATGGCACCTGGTATACTGTCATTTTCAAGAAAAGTGGTATTTATGTATCAATTTCCAACGCTGGTCGGCCGATCAGCGTTGGAAAAAAATGGCTTTTTTTCAAATACTGGCCCCAATTGACCATCGCACTTGTTTGCAATCGATTACACACCTATGAACGGGTACAAGCCAGCTAGACTGGTTCCCTGACCTTACAATTCTCCAATGTATGTAAACTGCTCTATTTCTTCTTAAATGGAGTCAGGGAACCAGACTACAAGAAAATGATTGTTTTTCTCGGTTTTTATAGCATTTTCGAACCCAAAACCTCCAAAAAGTCAGTGTAACTATATTTGCTATATATTTCCAACCCCCCAATTCCATCCATTTCTGAAAATTACAGCAAAAGCAAATGATGTATATTCCCTTTAAGAAGGTGTCATAGCCAACTGTTCAAATGTGTCAAGAAATATCAGAATGTCACATTTGAGTGTCATTTAGTCAACTGTTTTGGTGAGCCTTTAACCTTATAAAGGAACGGGGTCCTATAGGTAAGGATTACCATGACTGTAAATATTGAACGCAAAGTGCACAATATAGTCTTGGTATACGTATATATTGTTTCAAGAAGTCATTTGACAAAGGTTTTTTTTTTTTCATATTAAAACGAAAATACATCTCTTAACATGCTCAAAAAGTGTGTCATTTCACTTTCTTTTATATAGGCCATAATTATGTTTCATTTCTGACTATTAAAACTATTTATACATATTTTGAATATCAGCATTTATAGTTTGGATATCAGCATTTTAAGCATTGTGTTATCATGTATTATGTAATTGTTCATCACAGGAATCCAAGTTCCGGGAGACTGGCGTCATAACGCCGGAGGAATTCCTGTGTGCTGGTGACCACATGGTCCATCACTGCCCGACCTGGCAATGGGCGGCCGGAGATCCTAGCAAAAGTAAACCATACCTGCCCAAGGACAAGCAGTACCTGGTGACCAAGAATGGTGAGAAATGGGGGAGGTGGATGAGGGGGGCGGGGGGTGGGGGGGTTGTGGGAGGGGAAGGGATGGAAACAAACCACATGGTCCATCACTGCCCGACCTGGCAATGGACGGCCGGAGATCCCAGTAAAAGTAAACCATACCTGCCCAAGGACAAGCAGTACCTGGTGACCAAGAATGGTGAGTCATGGTTGACAGAGGAGGGGGTGGGGGGGGGGGGGGTTGTGGTCGGGGGACATTGATTTGAAAGAGGCACTTAGTACTGCATGTGTCCCATTTCCATTACCCTAACCCTGCTGAATCCAACAGGATTCAACTTTATCATTTACCCGATGGAGCCTGTTGGATTGAGCAGTAAACCCCTTGTGTACATTCCTGATGCAAAATGTTGGATTCAGCAGGCAACTGAACCGCATTAAATGATTATCATGCCATGTTGGACTCCGTTGGATTCAACAGACAACTGATAATAAGGCACAGTGGATTGAGCAGGAAAGTCCGGTTGGACTCTGTTGGATTTAGCAGGGTAGTCCTGAGGAACTAATAGGGGGTTAGGTTTAATAATTGGTTTAGACTTTCTAATGTGTGAATGTAGTCCGAAAATTTGGGATTCTCAATACTGTGTGAGAGTCCCAAAAGTAAAGGTACTGAAAACATGCAATACAAGAAAATAGACTGGCACCTGAAACAACCAGTCCAACAACTCTTCAGTACTGCATCAATCAACTGTCAGCTGACTGTGCCAAAAAATATCTAGGATGTTGGTTTCTATGTCACTATTTCTACGCATTTCTCCATAGTCAGGCACCAGACTAATAACGACATTTGTTCTGTGTCACTCAGTGCCGTGTCATAAACGCTGCAAGCAGATGGAGTATCAGGAGGAAAACGAGGCAATCATTGATGAGGAGGACGGTGATGGTGGATGGGTGGACACTCACCATTATGCAGGTACAGACAAATAATCATGAAGCAGTAATGTCGTTGAGTCCATAACAAGTAAAGCCTGCCGCACTCGTTTCCGATTTTACAGGTTTACTGGATCACCGGTACATATTTTTTTTCACCGTTGCGGAGACCACAAAGTTAACTCGCACACATCCCCAATTCCATCAGTCACATGATGACCAGTCACATGATGACAAAATGGCAGCCTTCAGCCTTCGGATGCGAAGAAAATCAGACATGTTTGATGTCATCTGCTTCATCCGATTTTTCAGCGCACACCTCTCTGGTCTGTTTTATGTTTTTTTTTGGATCATTTATTAGACCAATCAGCAGCGCAGACGGAGACCACAGAGATGACGGGCGCAAAGGAAAAAGAGCCAACGAAGACGACTGACGCAGACGATGATGAAGATGATGATGAAGAAGCTGAAGACATGGAAGGTAAGCTGCTAATACAGCAGAAAACATTACTAAGCAAATTTTCGTACCGAGTACCAGTCAAGAGAAGCACTCATGTCTTACAACATTTTGGCTGGCTCCTCATTTTGTTAAACAGATATTTTTTTTGCGCTCAGCAGATTTCTGTGCTAAGAAGCAATTTGGCCTTGTTATTCCAACCACAAAATTCTGCATTTTTCTTCTCCATTGTGAGAATACAGTGTTTATAGTATGAATATTGTTTGTGCTCAGCTTCTTAAAGCTCTGGATCCACAGTATGAGGTTTTTCTTTCCAAAATTAAATATAGATCTTCCTGATGATAATAATCCTCTTCATGATTTTTCTCTTCTTTTCCAGCCTATGAGGAGAGTGGTATGTTGGAAGCTGAAGACAGTGTAAGTGTTCATTGTCATATAAATTTGAAATAATCAGAAAAATCAAAGGCAAGCAAAACATAAACACTATTATAACCAGCAAAAGCTTAAAGCAGGATTTGAAGATCATCCTTAACTGTCCAGCACCATAATTGCAGTCTCCCAATTTATCAACAAATTGTTCTTGGGCACCCGTAACCACTTCGCGCCGGGATCATTTTCGATGAAAATTTTGATTTTCGCAAAAGGCAAAATTTTGCAGCCAACTTCTGATATACAGCCAAGCGGCACAAATATTGATTCGCCAGAGTCATTTCAACAGTATTTGTACGATATTTCTGGTCGAAACCTTATATGTTTCAATACTCCGGGGTGTGCACTGGAGTGCAAATGGACTTCATGGACTTTGTGTGTGTGTACAAAAGACACGAGGGATTAGCGTGTTCAGATGTCATCCCCGAGGCGAGTCAAGGCACGCTTGACGTTTTAACTCGTCAGCCGTGCCTGTGTGTAAAAACAGCCAGTGCGTGTTATCACGTCCTCCGACGCGAACTTGTTAAGATGTTGCCTCCTTGGAGTATAAAGTTGACCCTGACTTTTCACCTGTGACTCGATGACCTCTACCCATTGCTTGTGTACAGGCCGTCTTAGATACCACCAAGCTACAGAAGGAGGAAGGTGCATCGGGGGGAGACAGCGGTATCCTACAAACGCGCACCTACGACTTGAACATCACGTATGACAAGTATTACCAGACACCCAGGCTGTGGCTGTATGGATATGATGAGGTGAGGGTAGACCCATTTTGGGGCGGAGCTAGAAGGGGATCGGGGGCGTGACACCCCAACCCCTTGATAATTTTAGTTGGTAAATTATTCTCTTCGGCAAAAGGTGAACTGGGATATTGGAAAAGTATATCGCAATTTTTGAAAACAGAACCAAGATGGAAACGTGTCCTTTTTAAAATACAATGTTGTTCTCAACATGACGTCCAAAATTGAATATGTAATTCAATCCAATTCATTTTTTTATTATTCATGATGCCATCATGAAACTCTAGTTCTCAGTTTGCACATAATTAATAATGCAATAAATTGAATAATAAAACAGATGGAATACAGGTTAAAACATTCAATGAAAACAAAAGTAATTTAATAATAGAATTGTTACTTAGCCCTAACCATCCCAAATCCTCCAAAATGCTTTTTGCAAATCGGAAGAATTTGCAGGATTGAGGTTACATGGCAAAAGTGCATTGCTGATTTCGGAGGATGCACTGTGTCAAGGTATTGGGCCGGACCTTGTGTTGTTTTTGCTCAGCCATGCATAAATTTAGTCCTTGATATACTTGAAATCCTCCGCACTGCACCAGGATGTCACTGCCTCTGCCTCAGCCTATTGACAGTCATAGCCGGAGGATTTTGCAGGATTCAGGCAGTGGTCACCTCTCCATGGACCATATTCAAGAAATTATGGAGGAATTTGCAGGATTGTGGCTATATGCTATTTTCCCATGAGGCCAATTGGAGAATTTTGTAGGATTGACGCTACATCCCAGCAAAAAGGCCTAGGGAGTTAGGGTTAAAGTAGAGTTAAACCTTCACAACACACAAAATGGACCACATTGAACGGGATGGCTAGGGGATAAGGGAGAGAGAGTCAGAGACCGGGGAGAGGGAAGTAAGATCTGGGATACATACCAAGGAGAAAGAGAAAAAGGACTTGCACACACACACACAAACAAAGAGAGTGGGGAAATAAATAAAAACATTGTTTTTTACAGAATCGTAAGCCGTTGACTGTTGAGCAGATGTACGAGGACATTAGCCAGGACCACGTGAAGAAGACGGTGACAGTGGAGTCCCATCCCAACCTCCCACAGACCATGTGCTCAGTTCACCCATGCAGGTAGGTTGTGAAACTCACTGGCCACCCGAATGTGGCCGGTAATGTGGCCTGCAGAATTGTGGCCTGCAGAATTGTTGGCTAGCCAGTTGTGGCTCAAAGATATGGGCTTGCTAATGCCCATGCAGGTAACTTGTGAACCAGAGAGATACACTCCCTGGCCACCAGAATGTGGCCGGTAATGTGGCCGGTAATGTGGCCTACTGATTGCGGCCCACAGAAAATGTTGGCTTGCCAGTTGTGTCTCAAAGATGTGGGCTTGCTAATGCCCATGCAGTTAACTTGTGAACCAGAGAGATACACTCCCTGGCCACCAGAATGTGGCCGGTAATGTGGCCGGTAATGTGGCCTACTGATTGCGGCCCACAGAAAATGTTGGCTTGCCAGTTGTGTCTCAAAGATGTGGGCTTGCTAATGCCCATGCAGTTAACTTGTGAACCAGAGAGATACACTCCCTGGCCACCAGAATGTGGCCGGTAATGTGACCTGCAGATTGTGGCATGCAGAAAATTGTGGCCTGCCAGATGTGTGCTTGACAAAGGGGTGCAAGCATACCTTTGTTTGTCAGCTGTGATAACTACTGCGGCAATTTTGACTAGAAGCCAATAATTAAAACGTTTCCCTCAATTGTTCTCTCCGACAGACACGCTGACGTTATGAAGAAAATCATCCACACTGTTGCTGATGGAGGTGGTGAATTAGGCGTCCATTTGTATCCTTTGAAACTCAAATATGTCACTTTGAATATAAGATTTAACGATGGGGCTATTATTGTAATGTACACGCTCATCGTTTGTAAAATATTTCTCATAAGCTTAAGTACTGTCAACCTATTTAAGTCCATTCCAAGTGACATAGGCAGCCATATTGATAATAATAATGTGGTGCGAATGTAGCGCTTTATACCTTTCAAAGTGCTTTACAATTATTATCCCTGTTCATCAGGAATGAGACTATTTTTCTGCAGCAGCTCGAAATCAGCGCATTCTGGTCTCTACCTTCACAGGTACCCATTCATACTCCTGGGTGGAGAGAGGCAATCGTAGTAAAGTGTCTTGCCCGAGAATGCCAGCATCATGTTCCCCATTGACGTACCGTGGCATAAAAGTCGAACACTGTAACCATTGAACCACAGCGCCACATAAAGTCTTCAGTGATTAAATCGGTCGTGGCATGCAACAGACACATCACCTGAGAAAACTGTTAGTTTTGTTTTCATTTGTATGAAAAATCACCACGGTGATGTTTCCTTAACCTGAAATTCACAGATACCTTCTTATCTTTCTCAAGTTTGTCCAAGCTGTCATTCCAACTATAGAATATGACTACACTCGTCAGTTTACCATGTGATGTGCGCAGAGAGAAACCAACAAAGCAACCAAACACAAAAAATTGGCCTGTCTGTATACGGTATGCAATTATTAAAAAGAAAAGGAAACAAAGCATGAATGTCGTGTATCAAGTTCTAATCTGCTTGTAAAACTTTTAAGGAGTCATTGCAAAACTTGCACAGCTTGGAAGCACACAACGAAATTGTGCACAATTGAAGCAAAAATCCAGGGAAAATATTAAGAAGTTATCAGCAAGCAACGAAACCTCCGAAGATGAACTGTCAATATAATGTATGCAATTCAAAAACAAACAATCATAAAGCCTGAATGTTTTGTATCAAGTTACGTCCGCTCGTAAGCTTTTAATGGATCCAGTTGTTGTAGTAACTTGCATAACTTGAAGGCTCACACCAAAATTGTGCACAATTGAAGCAAAAATCCGGGGGGGAGGAATATTAAGCTAGTGCATTAATATTTGTGTCAGTTGACCTCTGCTCCTTTAAATTGTAGTCGTATTTGATGTAAAAAGAGTCAAATGAAACACTGCATTTTGAAAATCAGTCATAATAGGGCTGTCCCGAAAATGCCGACTATACCAAATATTCATAGGGCTGTTTGCTGATTTGAAATTTGAAGGGGAAAAAACAGCAAAACCCCAAAAAGTTCTCATGTACACACACATGACTGATGTTATTTTTATCATAAATGAAGCCACTTTTTGTTGTTGATGCAACTTGTTTGGCGAGGGTGGATCATTGTTCTCATTCTTTCAGCAAAGTTTAACCGGCGCGCTTTGCGTGCAACGCGGAACCTGTCGCATGTAAAACTTGATTGGTGAGATTCGTGTATTCCATTTTGAATAATTGAATAGTAATTTTTACGAAATTGGACAGCCCTAATTCATCAAAATAATATCCTGGTCAGAATTATTGACTTTGAACAACATGTAGTCATTATTATTATTATTATTATTTATCATTTCTGGTAATGAAACCAAGGATTCCTCAAAAGCGCCCTAGGCACTGTAGCTCGCTAGCCTGAAGAAACCTGTGGAGAGAAGACAATGAGAAGAAGTTACAGTTTTAGAGGCGGGAGGAAAAGTCCAGAAGAATATTCTGGGGAAAACCCACGGAATCAGGTAGGGACTGAAAACCCAATCTATATATTGGCCCAGGCAGGATTCGAACCCGGGTCACAGCGGTGGAAGGCGAGGAAAGTACCGCTACGCCAACCTGACTCGAACAACAATTGTCATTTCTTAAGACTCACAAAAATGTTTCTTTTTGACTAGGTTTAATACAAAGAACTTTGCATGTTTACAGCATTCAGGGGGCGATGGGTCTAGCTTAATGCATAATTCATTAAAAAAAATAAAGCATTGGAAAAGGTGTTTCAAATTTCTGATAGCAATTGGGTTGGTGAATCTGAGTGCAGGTAATGAAACATTTTGCCAAAGTTTTTCATATGTAAACGTGTATTGCAGAAATTTGCTCCATGTTGATAAAAATACGGCCAAAAAAAAGTCTCCCCTTAATACTTTTTTGTCTAACTCAAAAACTACTGGGCACATCTTGCTCAAATTACGACTGATCAGTGCAGAAATTCCTTAGCAATCTAGCCATACTCTTTGTTTGGCCCAAGTGGTACCGAAAAAAAGTTGCATTTTGTACACTTTAACCCTAAAAGGGCCGGAGGGGGGGGGGGTGGATTCCCCTCAACTGTTTCCGCGATAGCTGTAATGACTTTTTAGCCTCAAGCCTTGCGCATCTTTTGATACCAAAAACATAAAAATCGGACCACGGGTTGCTGCGCGGCGAAAATTTTCCGGCGCTACGCGCCATGGAAAGTGAATTTTCCCATATACGTCGTGTACACAGAGCAGAATTGCCATTCGTACATATGATTAGTTAATTAGCCACAATTCCAAAACCCTTTGGCCTATAGTCATGAAATTTCTTGGGTATGTTAATGAAGAGTTGCTCTATGTATGTACAGAGTTTTAAAATTTTTCGTCACTCGATGGCCGAGATCTTGGGGGGGGGGGGTGGAATCCGACCCCCCCGGCTGAGTGATGGTCAAAATAACCCGGCCCTTTAAGTGAGTGTGAACCACAACTTGCACGTATACAAAAGTGCAACTGTTTTCGGTATCATTTGTCCTAAATTGCATAAATTCGTACATGTTATCACTGTTTTGGACCAAGTAAAGAGTATGGCTGGATTGCTAAGGAATTTCTGTACTGGTTAGGCCTTATTTGAGCGAGAGGTGCCCATTAGTTTTTGAGTTAGACAAAAAAGTTATGGAAAGGGAGGACTTTCTTTTTTAGTTGAGTGTATGTGCACTGTATGTGCGAATTGGAAATTGTTACACAGGATGCCGTTCGCGCAATTTAGTATTCGTCATATTGTATAGGTGTGGCTTAATTATATGTGATTATAAACCATTATATGTTTATTATGTTTTTTTCCTGGCAAATACAAAACAGAAAAATACTGAATCATTCAAAACTTAACTGTCAAAATTAACTCCTTGGATAAAACTCTTTACTTTTGATATTTATTAGGAAATAATTGCAATGATATCATAAATCTCATTTATTTTATGGAATTTGAATTTACTGGTTCGCAAAGTTAAATCTTATCCTTGGTAAAAAATAACATTCTGAAATACTCTCCCCTTATTGAGTGGTTGTTTCATTATTAACCTTTGACCCTAAGCCTTTATCACCACATTTTAAACCATACAGAAAGTTACACTGAAGCTGTGAAAAAAATGTGGTTGTTCTCCCAAAATCTGTGCCGAGTGCATACTTTATGGCATTTGGCAACACTTTGGAATAACTAATTCATTCATTCATTCATATTATTTCCACTTAATCATTTTAAAGGGAAAAGGTTTAGACAATAATTTAAATAAACGGATAAGATTAAGCGGTGGGCTTCTCCAAAAAGCAAGCTTGTCAAGTGGAGAAGTCCATTATGTGTAGAAAAAAAATATATATTAATTACATTAGTTCCTTTAACTTAACTACACAATGAAATAAACTTTAAGTTGCACATACAGAGACAAGGGACCAACACAAACAGGACAAGACAAAACAAATCAAATCAAATCAAAATCTTATTAATCCTTCATTGGCTGGGTGGTTCAACATACAAAAAGTGGTGGCTGCAAAGATGTAAAATTTATGTACATTAATTTAGGTGGAATGCTTTTATGAAAATTAACAACGATAGCGTACCTGCTTATAGTGTTAACATAGATTAAAGAGAGTTATGATTTCACAGTTTTATCGCCAATTATTTGTACATATTTAAGAAGGACGGCTTCTTTTTAAAGTTCAAGTTGACGCTGGTTTTGTTTCTTTCTGTGAAGAAGCAACGAAGAATTGTGTCAATAAAATGCCACACGTAAAAAGCAATTAATCCAGAAAAAAAAATTGAGTTTGTTTTCGTGTTTTGTTTTGTTTCCGGAGTGATCAGTTATTAAAAGTACATATTTTTTTCTGTGGAGCCGAAACCTTGCTAGTCAAAGCAAACTTAGTTTCCCACTTGGCCCATGTCATAAAATATGGAGAATGATTAAAATTTGTACTTCAGATATTTAGATGATAAACATTTATGTAAATAAAATAATTATTAATTATTGCATCTGTTTCTGGTCTGATACGGTCTTCATAAATATAAGGCCCTTTATTTTGTAGAATGCATAATCTATCGATGTTGAAAAGATGGTCATTCGTTAAAACCCTAACTTTTATGTCCATTATTATGCCTGGCAAATTACGACATTATGGGAAACTGCACAATATTTCTGACTTATTTCTGGAGGTGTGCCAACCCCATGTAAAAGACTGTCAGTTTAGGGGTACTGTACCCATCCTGACAGACTCCAACTAAACATGCCGTTGGATTTGATAGGTTGAGTTCTGTTGGGGATCTAAAATTCCATTATGCATTAGGCCTATCGAATAACCTCCCACAAATCTGTCGAGGACTGGCTCCGCCCACCAACGTTATTCCAAAAGTTTGTTGACCTGAACGCGCAGTTAACGTGACCACGCACGCGCACGTAGGCTACGTCCGTACACAACCAGACCCGGGGTCGACAAACTTTACGAATGATAATAATAGTGCCGTTGCGGTTTCACTGTTTCGCGGGCACGTCATTTTCACCGAGAGCTTCAAATAGGTAACAGCGAATTATTCATTTCTGTAGTGGAATGCTAGATCATGGCTAGACTACTGTAATTTTGCAGATCTTTTTTAGAACTGGAGCTGTGAGTTTATACACGGTCACACGATAAATGATTTTTCGACGAACGTCGTTCATAGTGGACGTAGCTTTTCGTGTAAGGTGAGTGACTTAGTTATTTTGTTAATTTGGAGGAAGAAACCACGTGATTTAACTAAGGAGCTATAAACATGATAAAAATATCATTTAACCATGAAGGTCTACCTCCATGATTGGCCTATCCGTAACAAAAATGTCTCTCTATCATTGCATTTTTTTTTCGAACTTCGCCGGGCAGCACACACAGTTATTCTTCAAATAATGTGTATAGTTGTAACTTGTAATTAATTGTATGTTGCAGGATTGTACTTGTGTTATTATCAAAATATCAGCTATATTCTGCATGCATGTCACCATGGTCACATCCTCTGAAGTCTGAGATGAAATTTTCAGTTTTATTAAAATATTGATACATTGTTCAAACTTAAATTGATGTAACTTAATTAGACATTTTAGAATTATTTCAAATTCGAAAAGGCCTACATTCCATTCGCCTGATTTCGTATGAAATAATTAGATTCACTTTTATAGATTTAATTTATAGTTTGACCAATTTAAACCGTATCCTCAATTTTTATCATGATTTGTATTTTTTTGTATGTGGTGATATAGGCCTTTACATACATGTGCGTATAATTCATTTACCCTGTTTACATACATGTCACCTCGCGTGCGCCATGCAACAGAAATATATAATTACGAAAACACATATAGTCAATATATTTTCATTATGTTTTTTGGGGGGGATTTTTTGGCACTTTGTGAAAGCCGGATTTCGTTTCAAACTGGACGTATGCGCCGTAAATCCTTTGTATTTCCCATTGATGGGGCAAACAACCTGAGCCTGGCCCTTCTTCTTTTCAGCTTCACTACAAAACGTAAAAGTTTGTTCACCTTAATCCGGTTTCCTATCGTTGGGAGACGTACATTGCACCAATCTACATATTCATGAAGTGACGCGTTTCTGCCGTCTAGTTCATTCATAAATGTACCGCGCGCGGTACTGTGTGTCCGTAATTATGCTAATAAGGTCACAGTCAGGGCAACAAACTTTTACAGTGCGCCGGGGGTGGGCCGCGCCGATCTAGCTGCACTCAATCAATCATGATCGCGGCCTGTACCAGACTGCAGGAAATCGGGTGAACGAACTTCCTTATTATGGGCGTGGCGATGCTAAGAAAGGGGACGCCCGGGTCATAATTTAGGAGGCAACTCTGGGTTTTTTTTACGACTCCTTGAAGAAGTATCAGTCGCTTATCTATCAGAATTTCGCTCTTTTTTGATTGGCTAAAAATAGCGAACAGTACCGTATTTTTTCGTGCCCTTTGTTTTCTTTGAGGCCTTAATAATTTCCTTTTTTCTGAAATATCAATTAATATTATGGAAACAAATTTGATACTTTCCGTACAGTCCATCTTAAGGTGAAATGTACACGATTAAAAAAATGGGAAATCGATATCATCTACGTAGTTTTTTCTTTGACTTCCATAATTATGAACCATGTCTTTATTAATTCCCAAAAACTGTCTTGGGCCTTAACTGTACGGCCAGTCGGCCACTCCAAAATCTTGGGGAAACCCACGGAATCAGGTTGGCGTAGCGGTACTTTCCTCGCCTTCCACCGCTCTGATCCGGGCTGGAATCACGCCTGGGCCAATATCCGGGTTTTCAGTCCCTACCTGATTCCGTGGGTTTTCCCCAAAATATTCTTCTGGGCTTTTCCTCCTACCTCTAAAACTGTAATATCTTCTCATTGTCTACTCTCTACAGGTTTCCTCGGGCTTTCGGGCTACAGTGCCTATAGGGCACTTTTGAGGAATCCTTGGTTTCATTAAAGAAATAAAGAAATAAAAAAAATACCGTTTCCTTTGCGGTGTTATCCCTTTCCACGACACCGTTTATATATCCGCCCATATATACTAGTAGCCCCGGAGGGCCGAGGGCCGGCCACCGGGTCCGGGCGGTGAAAAGTTTAAACTAGTTCGACAAAACGGTGTCAGGAAAAGTTCGTATAGCCCTGTCATAGTCATGCCGTTCAAACAAGACAACCATAAAACGTTCACAATATGACGCAATACGAAACTGCACAATAGGTACAAACAAAGATATTATTTGCATTGAAAGATTAGCGATTTTGTTGTATGGTATTGCTACGCTTTTGTTACCGGGATATGGATGGTCCGTCGCTATCACCAAGTTCGTTGCGCAATAGGCTTGCGATGGCTTACGGTACTCGGCAAGTCTGTTAACCTCAAAAGGTCGTATCGATTGTATTTCATTTCCCGTATTCTAATCGATTGTGCAGCAGTTCATTAGTAGTACAGTTTAAAAGTTGATTCAAACGTTAATATTGATCACGGCTCATTATAATATGATCCGGATTCGCGCATAGTTCGTGAGGAAACCGTCATACTGTGAATTAAACTATTTTTGTGACGTCACACTATTGTGGAAATTTTCGATTGTTTTCAAGAATCTACAATTTACTGTAGATTTGTAACGAATTTACAGCAAACTGTAGGTAATTCTTCTAGACACTAGAAGATTTTAAGATTTTTTGTGTCAAGGAAAATCCAGAACTGTCGCTATATCAGACATGACATAAGTTGACTTATAATTGCTCTTGGCAGTGAACCTTACTATGCTGACGCCTTCCATTCGATGTACATTGACTTATTATGTACGCATGAGTCCTGTTTCGAATCTACACTAAAAACACAGAGAGTGGGGTGATGCATAGATCATGTGAATAAACCTTTGTTTTGTTGGGAAAAAATAGTTTTAAGTCAGAGAATAGACTCGGAACTGTAGATTCGTGCAAGAATGGGCTTGGCGACTCAGTTCCTCGGCCATTCTCCTTAACAGAATCTGTCACTGGTCAAGGAATCCTATATGACAACTAGAACCACACAGTTTAATCCCTGTAATAGTTCAGCGACCCTTTAAAGTTCAGTAACCTTGCGATAGTTGGACACAAGAGGGCGCAATTTAAAGTAAACCACAAGAGTCTCGGCACTAGAACCCCTTTAAAGCGTATATATATACAGGGACTTCGATGGGACGTTAGTTTACTCTTTGTAAAAGCATACCCAACTGTAATCACAGATATTAATTATGTCAACAAAAACAAGCTTAAGGTTAGGTGATCGGCAGTTTATATTTTACTTTTTTTAAATTAAAAAACTCGGTGTTACTGACAATTATACTAAATAGTTGTGTTTTCAATCTGTATTTTACCTCATGCAGAAACCTTTCCCGTTGTACATCGAGGGTGGTCCGAGTGATGACGAAATCGAACACCATGGACGGCGAGGGCGCTGTTGTTATTCCCAGAATGCCGACAGAAACGATCACGTGCAAAAGCTGCTCACGAATGCAGTCGGTATGTTCATTATAAATTGTATGGCAGTAATAAATAAGGTCGCTATCGGCCACCGTACGTTTATGAAATGAACATTTTATAAACTACAATCTTACCAGAACCATGCCTGCTTTAAATTGTTCTTATAACTAATGGTTCATAAAAAAGGGGGAAAACAATACATTAATTTGAATTCATTTCCAATTTCAGATTGAGTCACACAAAGCCAATTTCCGGAAAGCTATCAAGAATACGATCGTAAAATGTTGGAGCAATAAATGTAACCCTTTCAGAACACTTTTCTTTATCAGACAAATGCTATTACAAAGAGAAGCAACAAGTGCCAAGATTTGCGCCTCCATGAAAAGGTCAACATCTCCTTCGCTGGGTGTGGCTTCCTTGCCATCTACCATCTGGGCGTGGCCAAGGGTCTACTCAGGGACGGGCACCATGTGGTGTCAAAGGTCAACCGATGGGGCGGGGCCTCAGCGGGCGCCATAGCTGCCGCTGCTATGGTGTGTCTACCAAACAAACTAGGAGTGAGTAGTCCAGTATTTTAAACTGTTTGCTTCCATTGAGGTCCCGGAACCATTTTTGTTTTCCAACCCCGGGGCGCGCTCAAGAAAGAAAAGCACGTGTACCTGTAGTTTGACCAAAACATAAATAAATAAATAAATAACTACATGGAAGAAGCCGAGGACATCCAATGCAACGTATGACCTTATTAACACACATTGACCTTCTAGTATCGATTTGAATTACTAAACAGTAAATATCAAACACTGATATTCATGGTAGAATATCAGTAATCCCGAAAATATAATATTCTCAACCTAATAATTGTTTATTTTCGTTGATAAGGATTACTTATCAGTTATGTTTTTCACATTTCGGATCACTTTGATGTAGTTTCCATGGTCGCTGTATAATGTATAGGATTTGAACGTTTTCTTAAAATGGAGTTAAATTTGACCAGTTTTTAACTCAATGGTTGGAGTGATTTAATTTGGTGGATTTTTTTTTTCTGATGGGGGATCGCATAAAGATTTCGTAACGCCAAGAATTAAGATTTGATAAAATCAATGTATCTATATGCAAAAGCTGAAAAAGCTCAAGAACTAAATGTATACTATTTTTCTTTATTCTCCAGTGGCTTACGACTTTGAGTATTTATACTTTACTTTTCCTCCCAACAGGATGCGGTTCAGATGTTGCGAGACTTCGTAGACGTGATTCAGAAGAAGCCGTTAGGGGCGCTGACGCCGGGTTTCGACATGATGGGCCATCTACGCTCGGAGCTGCAGCACTATGTACCGGCTGGTTCGTACAGACTAGCCAGCCAGAAACTCTACGTGTCGGTGACCAGGGTTTCTGACGGCAAGAATGTCCTGCTGACGGATTTCAAGTCGGATGAGGAGCTCATTGATGTAAGTTTCAAAATGTACAATATTTGATATTAACGGTTCGTCTAACATTAATCTAGGCGCGACACAGGATTTTAAAACACAAAGCCCGAGAATCTTGATAGGAATTCAAGGCGAAGTCTACAATTATTTTGTCCACGTTATTTTGTTTACAACATCGGCCATACTTTTTGAGCGATTAAGGATCCGACGTTAAGAAACAATGCCATTGGTTACAACAGTGACAGTGTTAGGTTTATTGAAGCGTGGACGCTCCCAAACACACCACACTTGCCAAACAATATTTGGGAAAATTGTGCCTTTGATAATACACTCATAATATTTGTCACGCAGTCAGTGTATGTCATAAGAACGATATTTTACTTGGGCAATCGCAGACTTGTCCTTTGATACAATGAGTAGAATTGGAAAACTTCAGACATAACAATTAGATACCACTGCTTGTTATTTCACCTACATTTTTTGTTCGAAGGACGAATCTGCGATAGCCCTTTAATACAGCCAAATATCTTTTTCATAACATACTCTGTGTGCCAAATGCCATGGTTGATGTATCATCAAAGGCACAATTCCATCACCTATCTGTCGTACTAGATTTATACACTGCCCCATTTGAGATTGTGCCCATGCCACACGGGAAGGAAATAGGCCGTCTTAAAGACCAGAATTGGGAGTAAAAAGTGTATTTTTTTTTCAGTTTTGCGGTGTTTTTTTTTTGGGCAGGCTCTGCTGTGCAGTTGTTACATTCCAGTTTACTGCGGGTTCAGAATACCGACATTCCGAGGACAGGTGCGTACATAAATAATTTTTATTCATGTTTTCTTTTCATTCGTATTTAATGAAACAATTTCTGGCGATTTGAATTTAGCCTGCGGCTCACAGTCGCGACAGAACCGTACCAGGATTTATGAACGTTCCTTTTGTCTAAAAGTAAACCCTCAAAGGGAAACTATGTTGGAAATTTAAGAGATGACGACCTGAAGTCACAAATTCTGACGAGAACCTTGAAATTAAATTATTGAAACCTTGTTTTTGTTTTTTAGCTCTAGCATCATTTTTTTCAGCAACCCATTTCGTTCACTTTCGCTTTATCCCCCCCAAAAACGGAAAATTGCCGTAAATGTTTTCGACCCGTTATGGCGCATATTTAAAGATTTGGCGACATTTTGAATAGAGATTTGAAAAAAATGGTGTTAAAGCATTCCTTTGGCCGTCGTTGTGAAATGTTTTCTGTTTTCCTTTTTTTTTTTGGGGGGGGGGGGGGATAAGTGATAAACTGGCCCAAAACAGGAACATGTCCTTCTCAGTAGACTTGACGTCTAGCCTTATTACAATTGACCGATAGCGAGATATCAATGGAAGGTCAGTTACATTTCGATAAGTCCATTGCGATAACAATCATAAGACCTTCCTCGGCTATCTGGATATCTGAACCCGCCAAAAGTGATATGTTTACGAAGCCTTGTAATCCGAGTAATGCAAATAAAATGCTGGACAAGTACGGGATCAGTTGCCAGTTGTTGCGCAGGCTGGTTTTAACGAACTTTTCAAGTCAATATAGCCACTGAACTGGAGTGTAGGTTTATAATAATGTAAATATACCGCCAATCATCAGGCTTTATGGATTGACGAAGAATGTCAAGAATGCCCTTTAGGTGATAATCTGAAAGGGAAAGAAGTTTTGCTAGATCAGGTTCCCGAGACAAATCTCTGACACTCGATGTACGTCTTGAGACGTGGCTCTGTGAAGATTGTGCGCGGTAACTGCAATGGAGCCACGCCTCTAAAAAGGCTTGGGCATGTGAAAGCTACGTCTTAATGATAAAACACTAAAAGTTGGGCTGTGTCAAGAAACTGGCATGTTTGTCTTACGGCTATGGATACTTACTTCATCGTCTACGAAGGTCAAAACTAAAGTCGTAGCCGAAAGCCAATGCGAACACGGCCAACCAAAGACTAGAAATGGCGCCATAAAGTTTAAAATGGCGCCGTATGAGTCAAAGCTTAATTGGACATTAAAGGCTTCTTAATGATCCTAAAGCTAAAAATGAGGCCACGGCCAGCAGAGACGAAGCCGAGATTTGGTACATGCATGGCTTATCTTCCTATATTTTCTTTTCGATCCCAAAAGAAATACATCGACGGCGGTATGACGGTCAACATGCCCATCTACCCCGAGGGCCGGACGCTCTGCGTCTCGCCCTTCAGCGGTCACCTCCAGGACATCTGCCCGGCCGACAAGTCCTGGCTCAGCCTGAGCTACGTGGTGGCCGGACACAGCTTCCGTGTCTGCTCACAGAACGTCTGGCGGGCCATGGTGGCGCTCTTCGCTCCGAGTCACCTGACCCTGACCGAGTACCTCGAGCGCGGCTCGGAGGACGCGCTAACTTTCTTGCAAGAGAACGGACTTTTGGAAGAAGGAACCGCGAAAAGCTGAGGAGCTACTATTTATTGTAAATGGCAGCATGCCGACAGTTCCTACCAAAATTTTTGTGGCAAAAAGGAAAGTGACTGAAGTAACACCTTGAACAATAATCTCTTTGTATAACTCAGCGCAAAATGATACATGCGCTTCACGGCCAATATCCGGTCTGGCGGCTAGCCCTAACCGTAAAAGGGTCCCATCCCGGCCCTTGGGAACTTGAATCAATACAAAAGTCGTGGATGTTCAAAAGCCATGATTCTATCCCCCGGTACACATCAGCTCATGTACCGACATCCAGCATGTATAAACGCTCCGGGCCAGCAGGTGTATAGGGACCCGATACCGCACACTATGTGTAGTGTTACCCAAGTATAATGTTCAGTTTTCTAGGTTCGAAATGGAAAAGGGTACAGAGGGAATGTGACCTGTCAACAATCGAATCCTCTCAAGTATCACATCCAGCTTCTCCGGAATCAAAACTGAAACCACGATTCCTGTTGTTACAGAGTAGCATGGACCGCACGTACGTTAGATTATCAATTGGACTCGGATCATGACTCTTGGGGTTTGGATGTGTATTCATCTCGCTTCCATTCTGAACAGGAAATTTCAAAGTCAGCATTATCTAGAGTTTTAAGGGTGTCGATGTGAATTATTGTACAAAACATTTTTTGCACGTGTCTCGTTGTTTTCTTTGACCAAAAACTTAATAGACTGCACGTTTAAACGTATATTTTTGTATATATGGGATTTATTGCTTCATAAAGTTACCATTTATTTTGCAGATCCTTTAAAGATACTTTAACTATTTGGATATTGTGTTTCTTGTGCCTGCATGGGTAACAAATCATGGACCAATTAATGGTATTATATGAGTATCCATGTATGACTATATGTAATGTGATACCTCCCATTTATAGTATTATATCATTTCACTTGATAAAACTGTGCACTTGATCATTGAAAATGTCACATTAATTAAAAGGTCACAACACCTATAAGTACTTGTGTCTTCTTTCTCATTAATTGAACGTATATGTGTCTAATTGGTATCACCATACGTTTAGGGCCTATACTACTTCGGGTTAGGGTTGGAGATCCTGTGTGCACCAAACCACCCTTGCAAGCAAACTAGCAATATCGAGGTTATCTGCACTCAGTTGTGAGCGAATGACCAATCAAAGGTCAGTGAGTGAAGAAACGTCATGACACACGGCAGCCAATCAAATCACTCCGTTTACATCAAATGAGGTCAATGGGTCTCGAGTCTATAGAGAACCGTGCCAACAAAGTCTCGATGGCAAGGAAAATCCCAATCATAACTAGAGCTTATTTACGGAATGTTAAAGCCACGCGAGACTTGGCTTCAAGTAGATAGGGTGGATTTACCTCAAGTAGGCCATGTGGTATCCCAAAGGCAAGGTCGAGAAATAAACAGAAATGCGCGCACTGTTTACGTATGCCCACTTTCACGTTGATCCATGAAAAGAGAAAGAGACTTTTTCACCTAAGATTACTGTTTTCAAAATAAGAATAATCAGTAAAATCAAGTTTGCTAACTTAAGTAAGAAACTCTGAATCTTCAGTGAATGTATAATTTCTTTTCTATATCGATCCGATCGACTAGTTTGTAAATTCCACATGGGAACAAACTGAGCACCTGAACTGGACTAAACACAGTTACCATACGTCGGTTAGTCACGTGACGTATGACAGACAGCCCCACCGTGCATGACGTGTAGGACGTGTGTCTCGAAAGAAGTTATAATAACTGTTTTCATAGACCACCCTCATACACACCTCTCAAACTTGTGGATGCTACATGCCCTTCCTTCAAACGCATTCTGCCAAAACTTCAATTCTGTAACAAACAAAATATTCACTATTCGTCGTAAAACAAAACAAGTTCAGACTGCAACTGTTTTTAGTTGGATTTTGCCGTCTTTGAGGAAATCTAGACCTCCTGCAGACACACATCTTCGTGAGATGTTGATTGGAAAAGGCTTTGCCATAAAACTCCACTAAAGCTGTCGAGCTGAGGTTGCCCGCGTCGACTTTCCCCCGGAATTGCTCAATCGTTACCCGGCCTGGCTTCATACCGATAAACGCTTCGCTTGAACCCACCAAATGACATGGCTCTCCGAGGGAAGAAGCGCGAGTACTTGTTTGTTGTTTTTTTGATTTTGATGACGAGTTCGTCAAAAGCTGATATTCCAACAGTCGTGACCCATGTTGACGATGAAAAGGGAACATGTCACTATGAACTCAAGATTCCCGCTCAGTCATGCAAACAGTGCAAGGTACGTATGTTGACATTATCATTTGTCTTATACTCGCATTCTTAAAAACTATTTTTTTTCAATGGCACTACTATTCGAGTTTTTGTATTGTTTTCAAATAATGCATTACCTGTAATGTACTTGGGTGTGTTTCTTGCAATTTTAGAGCTTTTCTACCACTTAACAATTTCAATTACCGATTTTAATTACGCGTATTTATACCACTTCCCCCCCCCCCCAAAAAAAAAACCAACAACTTTGTTATGGCTTTGAAAGCTGGCAATTTGGGCCTATAGCTTAGTATATTTTGCGTACATGACTTGAAAGTTTCACTTTTGACGACACTGTTTTTTTAGTAGCGAAGTAACACAATTCCATTTCTGACCACGATGCTGAGTGTATGAGGGTAAAAAATATCGCAAGGCAAGGCAAAGCTTTCAAACCGATTCACGTAACTCAAGAAAGTCCTTCCCTGTCAGAAACTGTGTCAAGAACTTCCAGACGCCTTGCTATATCGGTTTCAAATTAGAGGAAAAGTTTGTTATTCCCTTTGGGTAAAGCAGCGTAATCATTGGTTCCATGTGGAAGTTATACCAAATTTTTGCCCCGGGCCCTGCCGGAAACAACTACAAAGATTCCAAAAAATTACACGGGTCCCGAAACTGCAAAACTTGCTCGGAACTTGATCTCGATTTCGGCGCTGGCGGCGGTTTTTGGACGCGTAACAAAGCCCGGGCCTGTTTCCAAAAATAAATGTGTCAATTGGACAATTTGGGATTGGCTACTCTGACGGTGCCGCTAGTCTTGCGAAGCCACTTATTAAACCGGGGCGACAGGTTGGTTTCAACCGATACGCTAGAGGGGTTGAAAGTGACCTTGACACTCTTGGCGACTACACGATTTCCATATTGTGACCATGGGTGGACAATAGATCATACATTTTTAACCTATGAAGATTGAATATCAGAGGCGAGATATAACCTGTGATCTCAAGGAAGTTTACTTTGGGTTTTAAGAGGCAATGCAGTGGTCTAACCTTATTTTGGGGGTAGCAGCCCCAAATCGAGGCCAGTGTGCCCTACTTCCGTCAGAATTGTAAGGCTAATTAGGCTATTGTCTGAAGTAATATCTTAATATAGGCCTACCCGAATAATGTCTGAGTAATATTCAAGATAATGACGTTCCATTAATGTAGTTCCCTTTCATATCTGGAAATGAGACAGAATGTGCACCCCCTGACACAATGGAAAAGTCATCATTCAACGAAACATGGATGCATGCATCGAGTGCACAATAATGTGAAATTAATAATAATTATATGGGGCAAATAATTTTCAGGACACCTCGATTTTTTTTAAATTGAAGTGAAACAAGTTGGTATACTACAAGAAGTGTTTTCGTTATAACAAAAATACTTCCTGTTATAATGGAAAGCACTTCTCGTTATAGCGACAACACTTCCGTTAGAACGAAAAGCATTTCTCGTAACAACCAAGACACTTCCCGGTATAACGAAAAACACTTCCCGTTATAATTAAAACACTTCCTGTTATAACGAAAATCGTTTCTCGTTGTAACAAAAAAAAACCAATTCCGGTTCAACGCATAGTACTCCTCTTTAAACCAAACATTGCCGTTATAAAAAAAAAAAACTCTCGTCTTAACTAAACACTTCCCATTGTTACGAAAAACTTCTCGTAATGACCAAAAAACACGTCCAGTTATAACGAAAGACGCTTCTCGTTATAACCAAAACAACTTCTCACTTTAGGTATTTGCACAATTTTTAAACTAATAATCCACTTTGAAATTGTTTTCAGTGTCAACCCGACAGTTTGGGTCATGTTGTTGATGAACTAGAAAGACGTCTTTTTGCTGTTGAAAAGCAGATCCAGCAAATAACGAGTAAGGGTATAACTTGTGTTCATTATTTGAAATGTTGTATAAAAGGGATTTAAAGTATTAAGAAATTGCGGAAGTCTGGAGGTGCTTACCTAGTTTTGGAAGCTTTCTGTTTTTGCATGTTTTTAATTATTTCTAAATATCGTACATTGTACATGACTATAACCAACATTACTGGCATGATAAGTTTTTTACTAGCAATGGTTATCTCTGCAGGTTTGGAGCCTCCCGATTTAGATATATCCGAATATTCGTCCACTACTCTCTCCTCTATCATCGAGAACGATGACCCCTATGCCTCACCCTTGTTCACCAATGAGGGCGCTTCGGTCGAAGAGCTCTTGTCCTCGAGCTCAGACCAGGACGATTTGGTGCCACTGCCGTCCAATCCGGAGACGCGTTCAGCTGCCACTGACCAGGGGAATGATCTGGGAACGCCCGGACAAGCTGAGATCAAGGAGGGTTTCCCCGCCATAAACCCACCTGGATTCAAGGGACAAATAGAGGCAGTTCCCGGGGACGAGGAAACCTCAACAGTCATAGGTCTGCAGTACTTTTATTTTCCTTCTATTGATATTTCTCTATGACTTGTAACACAGCAAATACGCCATGCCCAAGCTTCAGTCAACCTTATTGCCATTGTGACCCCCCCCCCTCTAAATTTCTTTGAGCGTTCATTGTGCATTGACCAAACCATGATGCTTTGCGAAGACTCTGTATATCCTAAGATTCTGTGAAAGGGATATGCGGTAACCGCTAGCTTATAACTCAGAATACAGCAAAGCTCGCATGAAGGGGAATGTCCCATCTTTAGGCCAAACAAAAAATAGTCGGTCTCTGGTCAGCGCGCACGTCGATTTTAATCATGCGCGTCAACCTTTTTTCCCTATCAAATTTTCCACGGAAGCTACAACAGCGCCCTCTATTGCTGCACCTCCTCACATGTTTGTACCAAGGAGCACCAAGGAATGGGGGGAAAAAACGCGTCGCCGCATCAATTCCGGAACTTCGGTCTGACCAGAGACCGAAAATTTTGTTTTGGCCTTAGACAAAAAAAAAACATTTTCATCGTCGATTTCTTTTCACCAGAACTAACAGCATTGGAGAAACCCTTGCCGTTGTATCCTAACCAAGTCACCGACTCTCCACCTGCCAAGGAGGAAACCCGGAGCAGGGATATGGAGCATTTCCCTGGCAAGCTTGAGGGAGATATCACCGGGACGACAGAAGCTGATGAAGGTACTCCACCAGTGAAAGGGACGGAGAAGCCAAGAGGTGCGAAGCTGGGTATACTGAGTGGGAGATCTGCTGGCGACTTGGACTCAGCTTCAAAGGCTTCAAGACCATCATCATCGGTCACCGATGTGCCGTTGTTTGGCGCTGGCGATGACAGTGACACTGTCGACCAGAAGAAGAAACCGCGTTGGAAGCTCCATGACAGACCTTCAGCGGTTCACCGACCGCCGGACAGCCGGTCCGCGCCCCGCGAGCTGCTGGGGCGTGCAGGTGCCAACTGCATGGACGGATGTAGCTGCATGAGGGTCTGGGGTTACTGGCAGGACGGTGTGTATGATATCAGTAACCCCCCAGGGTCGGGGAAGAAGGGGGAATCTGTGCCGGCTTACTGTGACATGAGCACGGATGGGGGCGCATGGACCGTCATCCAGAACAGACAGGTAATGCAAAGATGGAGAAATCAATGTCAAACTGCAAATCAATCGTAAGAGCATTAACACTTATTTGTATTTTAATACAGTTGATGGAATAACAACACATGTCCAGCATTAAAAGATAAGAAGCCACAGTTGTAATTTATAAGTCAATCAAATTTCGAGTCATCAGTTTTATAATGATCACAAGTCATGAGTTAAAACTAGGTCGGGTCGCAAGCAGCAGATGGAAAATGAACATGCAACTGTTCACTTATTGGCTAATATTGTGACTTAACTTGTAATTTATTGTCTAGCTATTTAGTGCAACTTTTTTCCAGGCTGCAATTAAAGTGACGACTGATGTGGAGACGGGCCATGTCATGTGCAACCATACGAATAAAGACTGGACAATACTTGTGAGTAACCCTTTTTATTTTCTTCCCCTGCAGGACGGTTCAAGGAACTTCTATCGTCAATGGTCAAGCTACGCCAACGGTTTCGGCCAGCTCGAGTCTGACTTCTGGCTAGGAAACAACCTACTGCACGGGCTGACTGCACGACTCCCCTACCAACTGCGAATCGGTAAAGAATTGTCTTCGATATTTTAGAATCGAATATTTGAATTATATGCACATTCCAGTCTACATGTCATGACAAATAATCACTGGAAGCAAAATGATGTTTTTATTTGATTTTTCCTCGACGTCAGAGTTCAGTGATTGGGATGATGAGCGTGGATACGCTGTGTACGATCGCTTCATGGTCGGCAGTGCAGACGACAAGTATCGGCTGGTACTTGGCGAGTACATCGCTGGTAACCGTGGGGACTCTCTCTCCTACCACAATAACAGTCTCTTCAGTACTCATGTAAGATCACCCACTTATACATTACAGTATAATTAAGAGATCCAGGGAAGAGGACGCCCCCACCGTTACCCCGAAGTTTAGTTTCCGTTATTCTTTGATTCTTCGTGCGGTATCACACACCAACTGAGCTGCCTATAATGCTAAACTTAAACATGTTTGCCAATGCCTGCAAAGGATTGTCGATTTCCCCCAAAGATACCACAGTTTAGTTCACATCACTCGAAAACTGAGGGAGTCATGCTAGCATCATAGAAATGTGTCACCCATCTCTAGGCCTACACCACCTGTACATGGGGCATATGATGCCTCGGGTGAAAGATACAAGGAATGACTGCAATGCACAGTGACGATTAAATTGAGGATGATTCCTATCAAAAATGCAAAGGGTAAAGGTCCCATATCCGTTACTAGCAGTAGGGGCAGTGGGATGTTAGAGGTTCACTGTGTGGTGGGCGCGCCATATGAGTGGCGGTGCCCAGCCCTCTCCTCTCGCCGTTCCCTGAATTATGAACGAATCAGGTACCCATTTTACTGTTGGGTCGTCAGAGTAAAGAAGAGTTAAGATTGTAATATTTTCCAACTCACAGGATCAAGACAACGATGCCTCTACCGAGGTGAACTGCGCCCAACTCCGCCAGGCGGGCTTCTGGTTCCTAGCCTGCAATCAGGCCAACCCTAACGGACGCTACATCTACAGAGAGGACGCTACCGGGCTACAAGGGGGTGTCATCACCTGGGGTTCGTGGGAAGGGCATGGATTTACCTACGCCCTCAAGACCTTCCGTATGATGATCAGGCCCGTACATTACGATAGGATTCTCTACTATTAGAATAAAAAGAGGTTAACCACGGCACATACGTTACTAAAAGTTTGAGCCGAATCGGTACTACAGGGCTCTTTTGCCAAAACTCGGCTTCGTTCCAGTGCGGTGTGAGCACTGGTTACTTAGGAGTGCATTGTGCGAGAAAGAACGTTGACATCACATCTGATTCTGACCTCATACTGCCATAATTTGACGCTAAACACGTACACTTGTTCAATCTTTTTATTGAAAGTGAAACAAAAGCATGTAAAATCAAAATTGCAGGGGAGACAACGTGACAAATATTTTAATCACAATTTGTTTCAGATTTACAGCTGGTGCTTATCAGTGGTTCGTCCCGAAAAAAATAAGACTTATAACGGATGATTAACAACTTATTTATGTACTGTTATTATTGTTACTGCTAAAATCGCGTAGGAAAATATTGTGTAGTACATGTATATTTTTAATTGAAATGTGTTTATCCCAAAATCAAAATAAATATGATTTTGTTTAAGTCAAATCGAACTTTCCTGTAATTTATTCTTTCAATGCTCTCGATCTAATAGTTAATACTATACCAAGCTAAAGTTTGGAAGCAAACGTCTCACTGCAGCTGATGACTTGCGGAGAAAAAATCCCAAAAATTAGTTGGAGTAGAATGATTTCAGTAAGCGATTGAGAAGAGAAAATTATTTTTGTCCCATCGGTAAAAATAAAGCCTGTTCGTGTAGTTGCAATTTCTGGCCACTGCATCCCGAAGCAAACCTTGGACAGCGAAGGCATGGAGAGCGAATGAATGGAAGACTGTTCGCTCGACCTGCCCACTCCACGGCACACCATACCGGCAGAAGTTGGCAAAATGCTCGCAGTTGCTGAGCATTAGGTGGAAGCGGACGCGGCACCGTGCCGCTCGCAGTTCTTCCCGGGCGCGTTCAACCACTTCTCCCCCGCCGAACGGCGTCCAGATCTGGTCCTTGGCGTTGTTGATGCGGACTCGGTATCGTCCCTGAAGCGCTCGGAGTGGCGTGTCCTCCACCACGTGTGGGGAGCGGAGGGACCGGGCGAATATGCTCGCCCGGGACCGGCGTTTGTTCTCCTTGTTCGGGTCCTTAGACGGCCGCCGACGGAAGTTGATGACCCGGAGACTACGGTCTACGTCTTGGCCCACGTAGATGCCCCAGTGTCGGAAATAGGGGCATTTGAATTCCAATAGGTCTCCTGGCTCAACTCTCGTCCTCAACTCTTCCACTCCATCCGGGCCACTGGGAAACCAGTCACTCTTTATTCCCTTGTTGGACATTTTCACGACACCCTTTCGCAAGAAGCTTGCTGTAAAAACAAAGAGCAGTGTTTTGACAATCACATAGGTCTGAAAAGCAGGAACCTAAGGAATTATTTAACTTGACAAAAAGTGATGACTAAATCTTTGATTGAGTCAACCATCTCAAGCTAGCTGATTTGGATAATTTTAACAAGCATCGTGACTGTTGGGATGATATCTTGCAAGGTCACGCACGACATTCATGATCACTTCTGAATGAACACCGACAAACTGACACACTTTAATAGAGGCATTGGGCTTGATAGCTCAGTTGGTAAAACACGCATACGATACTCCAACTGTTGCAGGTTCGACAACTCAAGACAACATTGAGTGATCGTGCCTTGTCTATGGCCTGCAGTTTCCCTTGACAAAACAGGGGAGGGGCAGCCAGACCTATATTCTAACGATTCATTATTGATAAGTCATTTACAGGAGGCATATGTCTATTACAAACTAAATGCTTTAAATTAAATATATATTAGGGCGGCTCTTACCTGCAATAACATTTCAACGTTTTTTTTTACTGTAGGTTTGATTCAACCAAATAATGCATAGACTGTCTGCAGTCAATGCACCGTACTGTAGGCTGTGTTGTTTGCCTATTGCACGGGTACGACTACAACGTGGCACTAGGCCCCTTCCTAAAATGTGACGGTTCGTTGCAACTAAATGGACCCCCTGAATTGGTAGTTGGAGTAACCGTCCTTGTAGGGATAAAAGCAGTATGTATAATGCAAAGCTGATCCGTGTACAGGTATATCAATCATCTATTCAGGGGCCATGCAACTCCTTTTGAGGCTTCAACAGAGCGTTCTGTCAATGCAATATCAGCAACCCTTTGATCCGATTGGTACATTTTTCACAAATATACGCTCGAGTAAACAAACCGAACAACATGTTGTGGCTGACCGAATATACATGTAAGCCTTCGGTTTTTCTTCTTAATTCCTAAATTATTGGCCAACACTGCCAACAGAGGGCGCTTACAATTATACATAACACGTGGATGTACATTTACCGTAGGCGAGAATAACGCGAATCCTCCAACGTTGGAGAAAATCTTGCAATTTTCACCTGCATCTACATGTACCATGTATATGGTAATTATCTGTGCTTGATTCAACTCCACACTTTACTTTCAACTCCATACTGAACTTTGCCTGGACCAAACACTGATAAAATCATATGACGCAATTGATATCGAAAGAATATAACGCCCTATGTGTCGAAATCTATTCGAAACATAATTATACTTAGGCCCTGGCCCATAAAACGAACACAATGTGTAATCATGATAATTTTGTAGGCTATATCAGGACGCACGCTTTAGAAAACCTACAAGAAAACAAGTCATATTGTACGTCTGCCCAAGGTTGATGTTTCTCATGCCAAACAAAATGAAAAAGTAATCTTATTGCGTATGTTTACATACAGTCATTTTTTTCTATTTTTTGCAAAAAAAGAATTGTTTGAAAAATGCTAGAAAGATGCCTCGAGGCCCCTTTACACATTCCCAATCGATTTCTGGACAGACGAGCAATTTAAGGAGAAATTCCGTCGAAAATTGAAATCAATGTAAAATCGCTTAAAACTTTTAACTTTTTTTTCTCCAAAAACAGGATGATTTTGGCCCAAATCTTCCAAATGCATGTTAGAGTATTAATTGATGTTCCTCTTGCTTCCAGATGAATTTCTGCCTCGTTTGGAGAAAAGTCAATTTTTGGCCAATTTTGACTAAAAAGGTAAGGTTAACCCCTTGTATTTTTTTCAATTTTGGCCAAAAAATGAAATGGCTTGAAAGTTGCTAGAAAGATGCCGTTAGGTCTCTAGAACGCATTTCCAATCGATTTCTGGACGGACGTGCTATTAACGGGGGATTCCGTCGAAAATGTAAGGGAAAAACGCTCAAAATATTGACTTCTTTTTCTCCAAAATTGAATGATTTTGGCCCAAATTTTCGAATTGTGCATGTTAGAGTATTGATTGATGTTCCTCTTGCTTCCAGATGAATTTCTGCCTTGTTTTGAGAAAAGTTAATTTTTTGGCCAATTTTGACTAAAAAAGTAAGGTTAACCCCTTGTATTTTTTTTCAATTTCGGCCGAAAAATGAAATCGCTTGAAAGTTGCTAGAAAGATGCATTAGGGGGCCCAGAACGCATTTCCAATCGATTTCTGGCCGGACGTGCTATTAAAGGGGGGATTCCGTCGAAAATGTAAGGGGAAAAAACGCTCAAAATATTGACTTCTTTTTTTCTCCAAAATTGATGATTTTGGCCAAAATTTTCAAATTGTGCATGTTCCAGTATTGAATAATGTTCCTCTTGCTTCCAGATGAATTGCTGCCTTGTTTTGAAAAAAGTAAATTTTTTTGCCAATTTTGACTAAAAAAGTAAGGTTAACCCCTTGTATTTTTTTTCAATTTCGGCCGAAAAATGAAATCGCTTGAAAGTTGTTAGAAAGATGCCTTAAGGTCCCTAGAACGCATTCCCAATCGATATCTGGACGGACGTACTATAAAATTGGAATTCCGTCGAAATTGTAAGGGGAAAACGCTCAAAATACCGACTTCTTTTTCTCCAAAATTGAATGATTTTTGCCCACATTTTCGAATTGTGCATGTTAGAGTATTGATTGATGTTCCTCTTGCTTCCAGATGAATTTCTACCTTGTTTTGAGAAAAGTCAATTTTTGGCCAATTTTGACTAAAAAAGTAAGGTTAACCCCCTTTTTTTTTTTTCAATTTTGGCCAAAACATGAAATCGCTTGAAAGTTGCTAGAAAGATGCCTTAAGGTCCCTAGAACGTATTCCCAATCGATTTCTGGACGGATGCGCTATTAAAGGGGGAATTCCGTCGAAAATGTAAGGGAAAAACGCTCAAAATACCGACTTCTTTTTCTCCAAAATTGAATGATTTTGGCCCAAATTTTCAAATTGTGCATGTTAGAGTATTGATTCATGTTCCTCTTGCTTCAAGATGAATGTCTGCCTCGTTATGAGAAAAGTCAATTTTTGGCCAATTTTGCCTAAAAAAGTAAGGTTAACCCCTTGTATTTTTTTTCGAATTTGGCAAAAAAAAAATTTTTTTTGAAAATTGCTAGAAAGATGCCTTAAGGGCCCTAGAACGGATTCCCAATCGATATCTTGACGGACGCGCTATTAAAGGGGGGATTCAGTCGAAAATGTAAGGGAAAAACGCTCAAAATATTGACTTCTTTTTTCTCCAAAATTGAATGATTTTGGCCCAAATTTTCAAATTTTGCATGTTAGAGTATTGATTCATGTTCCTCTTGCTTCAAGATGAATGTCTGCCTTTTTATGAGAAAAGTCAATTTTTGGCCAATTTTGACTAAAAAAGTAAGGTTAACCCCTTGTATTTTTTTTCGAATTTGGCCAAAAAATAGGTTTTTTTGAAAATTGCTAGAAAGATGCCTTAAGGGCCCTAGAACAGATTCCCAATCGATATCAAGACGGACGCGCTACTAAAGGGGGGATTCAGTCGAAAATGTAAGGCAAAAAGGCTCAAAATATTGACTTCTTTTTTTCTCCAAAATTGAATGATTTTGGCCCAAATTTTCAATTTGTGCATGTTAGAGTATTGATTGATCTTCCTCTTGCGTCAGATGAATTTCTACCTTGTTTTGAGAAAAGTCAATTTTTGGCCAATTTTGACTAAAAAAGTAAGGTTAACCCCTTGTATTTTTTTCAATTTTGGCCAAAAAATGAAATGACTTGAAAGTTGCTAGAAAGATGTCTTCATGGCCCTAGAACGCATTCTAAATCGATTTCTGGACGGATGCGCTATTAAAGGGGGAATTCCGTCGAAAATGTAAGGGAAAAACGCTCAAAATACCGACTTCATTTACTCCAAAATTGAATGATTTTGGCCCAAATTTTCAAATTGTGCATGGTAGAGTATTGATTCATGTTCCTCTTGCTTCCAGATGAATTTCTGCCTTGTTTTGAGAGAAGTCAATTTTTGGCCAATTTTGACTAAAAAAGTAAGGTTAACCCCTTGTATTTTTTTCAATTTTGGCCAAAAAATGAAATCGCTTGAAAGTTGCTAGAAAGATGCCTTCAGGTCCCTAGAACGTATTCCCAATCGATTTCTGGACGGACGTGCTATTAACGGGGGATTCCGTCGAAAATGTAAGGGAAAAACGCTCAAAATATTCACTTCTTTTTATCCAAAATTGAATGATTTTGGCCCAAATTTTCAAATTGTGCTTGGTAGAGTATTGATTGATGTTCCTCTTGCTTCCAGATGAATTTCTGCCTTGTTTAGAGAAAAGTCAGTTTTTTGCCAATTTTGACTAAAAAAGTAAGGTTAACCCCCTTGTATTTTTTTCAATTTTGGCCAAAAAATGAAATGGCTTGAAAGTTGCTAGAAAGATGCCTTCATGGCCCTAGAACGCATTCTAAATCGATTTCTGGACGGATGCGCTATTAAAGGGGGAATTCCGTCGAAAATGTAAGGGAAAAACGCTCAAAATACCGACTTCTTTTTCTCCAAAATTGAATGATTTTTGCCCAAATTTTCAAATTGTGCATGGTAGAGTATTGATTCATGTTCCTATTGCTTCCAGATGAATTTCTGCCTTGTTTTGAGAAAAGTCAATTTTTGGCCAATTTTGACTAAAAAAGTAAGGTTAACCCCTTGTATTTTTTTCAATTTTGGCCAAAAAATGGAATGGCTTGAAAGTTGCTAGAAAGATGCCTTCATGGCCCTAGAACGCATTCTAAATCGATTTCTGGACGGATGCGCTATTAAAGTGGGAATTCCATCGAAAATGTAAGGGAAAAACGCTAAAAATACCGACTTCTTTTTCTCCAAAATTGAATGATTTTGGCCCAAATTTTCAAATTGTGCATGGTAGAGTATTGATTCATGTTCCTCTTGCTTCCAGATGAATTTCTGCCTTGTTTTGAGAAAAGTCAATTTTTGGCCAATTTTGACTAAAAAAGTAAGGTTAACCCCTTGTATTTTTTTCAATTTTGGCCAAAAAATGAAATGGCTTGAAAGTTGCTAGAAAGATGCCTTCATGGCCCTAGAACGCATTCTAAATCGATTTCTGGACGGATGCGCTATTAAAGGGGGAATTCCGTCGAAAATGTAAGGGAAAAACGCTCAAAATACCGACTTCTTTTTCTCCAAAATTGAATGATTTTGGCCCAAATTTTCAAATTGTGCATGGTAGAGTATTGATTCATGTTCCTCTTGCTTCCAGATGAATTTCTGCCTTGTTTTGAGAGAAGTCAATTTTTGGCCAATTTTGACTAAAAAAGTAAGGTTAACCCCTTGTATTTTTTTCAATTTTGGCCAAAAAATGAAATCGCTTGAAAGTTGCTAGAAAGATGCCTTCAGGTCCCTAGAACGTATTCCCAATCGATTTCTGGACGGACGTGCTATTAACGGGGGATTCCGTCGAAAATGTAAGGGAAAAACGCTCAAAATATTCACTTCTTTTTATCCAAAATTGAATGATTTTGGCCCAAATTTTCAAATTGTGCTTGTTAGAGTATTGATTGATGTTCCTCTTGCTTCCAGATGAATTTCTGCCTTGTTTAGAGAAAAGTCAGTTTTTTGCCAATTTTGACTAAAAAAGTAAGGTTAACCCCCTTGTATTTTTTTCAATTTTGGCCAAAAAATGAAATGGCTTGAAAGTTGCTAGAAAGATGCCTTCATGGCCCTAGAACGCATTCTAAATCGATTTCTGGACGGATGCGCTATTAAAGGGGGAATTCCGTCGAAAATGTAAGGGAAAAACGCTCAAAATACCGACTTCTTTTTCTCCAAAATTGAATGATTTTTGCCCAAATTTTCAAATTGTGCATGGTAGAGTATTGATTCATGTTCCTATTGCTTCCAGATGAATTTCTGCCTTGTTTTGAGAAAAGTCAATTTTTGGCCAATTTTGACTAAAAAAGTAAGGTTAACCCCTTGTATTTTTTTCAATTTTGGCCAAAAAATGGAATGGCTTGAAAGTTGCTAGAAAGATGCCTTCATGGCCCTAGAACGCATTCTAAATCGATTTCTGGACGGATGCGCTATTAAAGTGGGAATTCCATCGAAAATGTAAGGGAAAAACGCTAAAAATACCGACTTCTTTTTCTCCAAAATTGAATGATTTTGGCCCAAATTTTCAAATTGTGCATGGTAGAGTATTGATTCATGTTCCTCTTGCTTCCAGATGAATTTCTGCCTTGTTTTGAGAAAAGTCAATTTTTGGCCAATTTTGACTAAAAAAGTAAGGTTAACCCCTTGTATTTTTTTCAATTTTGGCCAAAAAATGAAATGGCTTGAAAGTTGCTAGAAAGATGCCTTCATGGCCCTAGAACGCATTCTAAATCGATTTCTGGACGGATGCGCTATTAAAGGGGGAATTCCGTCGAAAATGTAAGGGAAAAACGCTCAAAATACCGACTTCTTTTTCTCCAAAATTGAATGATTTTGGCCCAAATTTTCAAATTGTGCATGGTAGAGTATTGATTCATGTTCCTATTGCTTCCAGATGAATTTCTGCCTTGTTTTGAGAAAAGTCAATTTTTGGCCAATTTTGACTAAAAAAGTAAGGTTAACCCCTTGTATTTTTTTCAATTGTGGCCAAAAAATGAAATCGCTTGAAAGTTGCTAGAAAGATGCCTTTAGGTCTCTAGAACGCATTCCCAATCGATTTCTGGACGGACGTGCTATAAACGGGGGATTCCGTCGAAAATGTAAGGGAAAAACGCTCAATATATTGACTTCTTTTTCTCCAAAATTGAAAGATTTTGGCCCAAATTTTCAAATTGTGCATGTTAGAGTATTGATTCATGTTCCTCTTGCTTCCAGATGAATTTCTGCCTTGTTTTGAGAAAAGTCAATTTTTGGCCAATTTTGACTAAAAAAGTAAGGTTAACCCCTTGTATTTTTTTTCGAATTTGGCCAAAAAAATAGTTTTTTTTGAAAATTGCTAGAAAGATGCCTTAAGGGCCCTAGAACGGATTCCCAATCGATATCTTGACGGATGCGCTATTAAAGGGGGAATTCCGTCGAAAATGTAAGGGAAAAACGCTCAAAATACCGACTTCTTTTTCTCCAAAATTGAATGATTTTGGCCCAAATTTTCAAATTGTGCATGGTAGAGTATTGATTCATGTTCCTCTTGCTTCCAGATGAATTTCTGCCTTGTTTTGAGAGAAGTCAATTTTTGGCCAATTTTGACTAAAAAAGTAAGGTTAACCCCTTGTATTTTTTTCAATTTTGGCCAAAAAATGAAATCGCTTGAAAGTTGCTAGAAAGATGCCTTCAGGTCCCTAGAACGTATTCCCAATCGATTTCTGGACGGACGTGCTATTAACGGGGGATTCCGTCGAAAATGTAAGGGAAAAACGCTCAAAATATTCACTTCTTTTTATCCAAAATTGAATGATTTTGGCCCAAATTTTCAAATTGTGCTTGTTAGAGTATTGATTGATGTTCCTCTTGCTTCCAGATGAATTTCTGCCTTGTTTAGAGAAAAGTCAGTTTTTTGCCAATTTTGACTAAAAAAGTAAGGTTAACCCCCTTGTATTTTTTTCAATTTTGGCCAAAAAATGAAATGGCTTGAAAGTTGCTAGAAAGATGCCTTCATGGCCCTAGAACGCATTCTAAATCGATTTCTGGACGGATGCGCTATTAAAGGGGGAATTCCGTCGAAAATGTAAGGGAAAAACGCTCAAAATACCGACTTCTTTTTCTCCAAAATTGAATGATTTTTGCCCAAATTTTCAAATTGTGCATGGTAGAGTATTGATTCATGTTCCTATTGCTTCCAGATGAATTTCTGCCTTGTTTTGAGAAAAGTCAATTTTTGGCCAATTTTGACTAAAAAAGTAAGGTTAACCCCTTGTATTTTTTTCAATTTTGGCCAAAAAATGGAATGGCTTGAAAGTTGCTAGAAAGATGCCTTCATGGCCCTAGAACGCATTCTAAATCGATTTCTGGACGGATGCGCTATTAAAGTGGGAATTCCATCGAAAATGTAAGGGAAAAACGCTAAAAATACCGACTTCTTTTTCTCCAAAATTGAATGATTTTGGCCCAAATTTTCAAATTGTGCATGGTAGAGTATTGATTCATGTTCCTCTTGCTTCCAGATGAATTTCTGCCTTGTTTTGAGAAAAGTCAATTTTTGGCCAATTTTGACTAAAAAAGTAAGGTTAACCCCTTGTATTTTTTTCAATTTTGGCCAAAAAATGAAATGGCTTGAAAGTTGCTAGAAAGATGCCTTCATGGCCCTAGAACGCATTCTAAATCGATTTCTGGACGGATGCGCTATTAAAGGGGGAATTCCGTCGAAAATGTAAGGGAAAAACGCTCAAAATACCGACTTCTTTTTCTCCAAAATTGAATGATTTTTGCCCAAATTTTCAAATTGTGCATGGTAGAGTATTGATTCATGTTCCTATTGCTTCCAGATGAATTTCTGCCTTGTTTTGAGAAAAGTCAATTTCTGGCCAATTTTGACTAAAAAAGTAAGGTTAACCCCTTGTATTTTTTTCAATTGTGGCCAAAAAATGAAATCGCTTGAAAGTTGCTAGAAAGATGCCTTTAGGTCTCTAGAACGCATTCCCAATCGATTTCTGGACGGACGTGCTATAAACGGGGGATTCCGTCGAAAATGTAAGGGAAAAACGCTCAATATATTGACTTCTTTTTCTCCAAAATTGAAAGATTTTGGCCCAAATTTTCAAATTGTGCATGTTAGAGTATTGATTGATGTTCCTCTTGCTTCCAGATGAATTTCTGCCTTGTTTTGAGAAAAGTCAATTTTTGGCCAATTTTGACTAAAAAAGTAAGGTTAACCCCTTGTATTTTTTTTCGAATTTGGCCAAAAAAATAGTTTTTTTTGAAAATTGCTAGAAAGATGCCTTAAGGGCCCTAGAACGGATTCCCAATCGATATCTTGACGGACGCGCTATTAAAGGGGGGATTCAGTCGAAAATGTAAGGGAAAAACGCTCAAAATATTGACTTCTTTTTTCTCCAAAATTGAATGATTTTGGCCCAAATTTTCAAATTTTGCATGTTAGAGTATTGATTCATGTTCCTCTTGCTTCAAGATGAATGTCTGCCTTTTTATGAGAAAAGTCAATTTTTGGCCAATTTTGACTAAAAAAGTAAGGTTAACCCCTTGTATTTTTTTTCGAATTTGGCCAAAAAAATAGTTTTTTTTGAAAATTGCTAGAAAGATGAAATCGCTTGAAAGTTGCTAGAAAGATGCCTTTAGGTCCCTAGAACGCATTCTAAATCGATTTCTGGACGGATGCGCTATTAAAGTGGGAATTCCGTCGAAAATGTAAGGGAAAACCGCTCAAAATATTGACTTCTTTTTCTCCAAAATTGAAAGATTTTGGCCCAAATTTTCAAATTGTGCATGTTAGAGTATCGATTGATGTTCCTCTTGCTTTCAGATGAATTTCTGCCTTGTTTTGAGAAAAGTCAATTTTTGGCCAATTTTGACTAAAAAAGTAAGGTTAACCCCTTGTATTTTTTTCAATTTTGGCCAAAAAATGAAATCGCTTGAAAGTTGTTAAGAGATGCCTTTGGGTCCCTAGAACGCATTCCCAATCGATTTCTGGACGGACGTGCTATTAAAGGGGGGATTCCGTCGAAAATGTAAGGAAAAAATGCTCAAAATATTGACTTCTTTTTCTCCAAAATTGATGATTTTGGCCCAAATTTTCAAATTGTGCATGTTAGAGTATTTATTGATGTTCCTCTTGCTTCCAGCTTAATTTCTGCCTTGTTTAGAGAAAAGTCAATTTTTGGCAAATTTTGACTAAAAAGTAAGGTAAACCCCTTGTATTTTTTTCAATTTTGGCCAACAAATGAAATCGCTTGAAAGGGCCCTAGAATGCATTCCAAATTGATTGCTGACAGATGCGCTATTAAAGGGGAAATTCCGTCGATTGTTTAAGGTAAAATCCGTCAAAAAAAATTAATTTCTTTTTCTTAAGCTTAGCCACTTGTGTAGGAAATTCAGAAAGTAGCATGTTTTATTGACAGACGGTGCTTCAATTTATCATAACACGTGGTTGTACACATTCAGTCAAACATTTGTTGGGTAACGCAAAATCATTCCAAGCTGATAAGAATCTGGCTTTCACTTCATTTCTGCTTATGCTTCCAAGATTGTCATTCCGTTATACTTCCAATGGCTGTTTACCGCTACTGATGAAGTAGTACTCGTTTAAATGGACTAATTATAACTTGCTACCATAAGGACAACCAGACTCTTCAAGGTTGGTATAAATTTAAGTCTTTGGATTTAAATCAACCAATTGCAAATGGGAAACACAAATATTTCTTTTAAAATTAACTTTAATCATACATATTACAGAACAAAATCTGAAAAACTTCTGTTAAAGATATCCTCTATTGATTTAAATAGTACGTCCAATTTTGTTTTGTTTGCTCAAATGAAAACAAATTCTAAGCGTAAATTAATGTACCTGTGATTTGTTTAAAACGTAAGTAAACTATGAGCTGTACTTTCAAAACCTTGAATGTTCTTCGTCTATTAAACTGTCCCGAGTCATTCATCAAGAACATTTATTGTAACTTAAATGTTAAGCAAACTGTACGAATGTGATGGCATTTCTCTTTCTGTAATGAATCACGATGCATGCAACGCTGACAACCAGGGCAACCAATAGCACGACCCCAACGACAGAGGAGGCGATGATGACAACGGGGGCGTTTTTGGTGTGGGGACTTTTTGTGGGGGCGCTCTTCGTGGGGGCACTCGTCGTTGGCATGGGGGCGCTCTTCGTGGGGGCACTCGTCGTTGGCATGGGGATGCTCTTCGTGGGGGCGCTCGTCGTTGGCATGGGGGCGCTCTTCGTGAGGGCACTCGTCGTTGGCATGGGGGCGCTCTTCGTGGAGGCGCTCATGGGCGTTGGGCCTGAGCCACAACGTTGCTCTGTGGAGAGTAAACAAACGTTAGTTTCATTGTCACTTAATTAAGGTGTGGCCTTACAAGTGTCAACCTTCGATAATACTTCACCTGGTCCGAATGTTCCCCCAGAGTAATCGGCGAACGGTTGCAGGTGCATGTCCCATAGATGCACCTGGGCGTCTCCCAAATCCACTGTCAGCTCGGCTGCGCATGTGTAGGCTTTGCCAAGTGGTACGTTGTTTTGGAGAAAGTTATGGGAGTAAACAGTCTCGGTAAGGGGATCTAAGTGAAAGAGGAATGTTAATATTTCATTAATATACTACTAATTCTTCCAGTGTTTGGCCTCCTGTCTTTTAATCCCCTTCTTAATTTGGTGTATACAAGGCATGGGCTTCGCCAGTGGGGGTTGTGGTTGTTTTAATTGTTGTTGGGAGAAGGGGGTGGGGGTAATTCCCCGCCATCAAGTGTCCATCAGTTCTAGACTCCTCCATCTTTTACATCGCCCTCTAATTTTCAATTGCTTTTTATCCCCTTGTTAGTCAGTTCTTCATGGCAAACCTTGTTTCTGAAAGAGTGATTGAATATAGAGGGCGCCGCCAAGAGGCTATACAGAAGAGGCAACCTTCCGCAACGCGGAATTGAATTTTGTTCAAAAGCACGGCAGTTTAAACAAATGTCCAACTTTCTTTTTGCAAACGTTAATGAGGGTTCCTAGTGCACCTTCGCAGTGCCATGCTGGGGTTGAATGGAAGGGTAACTGCCTGCCAGATTAAATGTTAAAACAGTGGCTGGCTTGAGAAAACACTAGGTGGCGCCTTTGTTGTGAATATATCATGCATTGAACATACATTGACTCCCTGGGCTATCAGGCCAGCTGGCAGCCACCTTCGTCATGGTGTAAGTGACGTCGGTACTGTTCCAAAAAAAGCCAAGCTGCAGTTTCCACAGATGGTTGGTTGGGTCTGGAAAAAAGTCTACGAGACGAGTCGGAAGGATACACGTGCCGTTTGGTAGGGAAGAAGGCTCGATGTTGACGACGTGATTCTGTTGGATCATATCAATTAATCCAAGATACAAAAAGGATGTAACGCTATTCCCTGTCTTGATACAAGGCTTGCCCAATGGTGACATTTGGGAGTTGCAGCTTGAAGTAGGGTTGTTAGGTCAGGGGTAGGGTTAGGTGTGGTTTAATAACGGCCCTGTTGGGCCAAGATAAAGGTAAAGCTAAAACCAAGTGACCCAATCCAAAAACTTGCGGGAATGTTTTGGTTGGTTTGAGGGAGTCTGTTGGAAACATCGGACATCTTGCACCATCAGTACCAGTACACAATAACAGGTACACCATAAACAACCAGTCAGAGGCAACCAAGACAATCACTCCCAATCCTAACACAGCCTTATTAAGGAGCAGCATCTCCAACTCTCTTCAGTCTCCTGACGATGACTAGAGCAGGCTAGTCGAAACGTTAAGATCACAGACAAGTTCTTTTAAAACTAAGCAGGACTGTTCTGATCAAAACTAAAAACTACTTAGCGAAGTTCTTTTAGAACTTAAAGCAGGACTGTTCTTATCAGAACAAAAACTACTTAGCGAAAGTTGATGATAAGCAGGACAAGTTCTTTTCAGAACTAAATATCTTCTAAGCAGTAGTCATTTCCACATGGTGTTACCGCAAACCGAAACGATACTTAGCAAATGTTGATAATAAACAGAACTTAATATCTACTGAGCGACAGTAGTCATTACCAAGTGGTGTTACCGCAAACTGAAAGGATACTATACTCCAACATGCAAAACCTAAAATCTTATTATATCATAAAATAACATCGATCTATACCTGCATATTTTTTTAAATGATACAATATCTTGGCAAATGATCATTTTGTCTATGCATTGACAAGATAAATGCCTACGTGAAATCCCTGTCCGTTGACAACATACTGAGCGGCTAAAGACAGCAGCATGCACGGGTTGCCAGAGCCATCCTTCACCGTCCAATTACCGGCAGGTGGAGGCGGGGGGACCTTACCACAATGTTGATCTGTGGAGAGTGTACAAAAATACAAAACCTGGTCATTAGTTTTAGAGCCAAGGTGTTGTCGTACAGTCACATCATCCTGTGAATATATTCACCAGCTGATGTGACTACCAACTTTCGAATACCAACTTTCTATACATTATTTAGATAGCGACGATCAGAACTGAAAGCCGGTTGGACAGCTAAATCCTAGTGATAGACCGACCGGCCGACTGATTGACTCACCAACCGACCAAATGACTGACTAACAAGCGACCAATTGAACGAATAGACTGGAAACAGTCTAATTCCAGGCATAAACAAACAGATAATCTATTTTATTTCTTTCTGGTAATAAAACTAAATATTCCTCAAAAATAGCCTAGGCAAGGTAACTCGAACGTCTTCAGAAAGCTGTAGAGAGAAGACAATGAGGAGAAATTACAGTTTTAGAGGCGGGATGAAAATCCCAATAGGATATTCTATAGGGAAAACCCATGGAATCGGGTAGGGACCAAAAACCCAATCCACATGTGGACCAGGGCAGGAATCGAACCAGGGCCATAACGGTGGAAGGCGAGGACAGTAACCACTGCGTCAGCCAGACTCCCCGTGAAACTCCCTATACAACAACCGTCGATATCGACTCGCTGTCTGACATAAAAGACGGCCTGAAATTCGATCAATAGCCGTATGAACCTAAGAGTAACCAGTAAAACCGGCGAGTAACCGACCGAGTGACCGACACACAAAACAATTGACATACTAAATGACTAACCAATAAGAATACTTGATCGACAGACCGACAAATAAATACTCACCTGGTCCGAATGTTCCCCCGGAGTCCCCGGCGAACGGTTGCAGGTGCATTTCCCATATGTGGACCTGGGCGTCACCCAAATCCAACGTCAGCTCATCTGCGCATGTGTAGGCTTTGCCAAGTGTTACGTTGTTTTCGAGAAAGTTATTGGAGAATACAGTCTCGGTGAATGGGTCTGAGTAAAAGAAGAATGTCAATATTTTAGCGCTGATACGTAGCGACCTATGCCACTATGTCTAGGTAAAACTTGCTTCTGATAAATTTATTAAATTTAGCCTAAGGACGAATTCACGATAGTATGGATTAGGGGTTGAAACAAACACATGCAAGTTTTTTTTTCGCAGCAAAACAAATGCAACCCATTTGTTCAAAGAGACGACAATATTTAACTTTTTTGTTGCGTTGGATATGAGGGTTCCGCATCGTTTTGGTAAGAACAGGTAAAAAAAAGCTGTCAGTTTAAATTATGGCTGCGTTGAGACAAACTCTTGATGGCGCCGTTTGCTGTAAAATAGCTGGCATTTAACATACATTTACTCATTGGCGAACCAGGCCAGCTCCCAGCCACCTTTGTCATGGCGTAGGTGTTGGTGGTCTTGTTCCGCGTGAAGCCAAGCTCCAGTTTCCACAGATTGTTGGTCGGGTCTGGAAAAAAGTCTACCAGACGAGTTGGAGAGGCACACGTGCCGTTTATAGAGGCCGAAGGCACAATGTTGACCACGTGATTCTGTTGATCCAAGGTACGAAAGGAGATAAGTTTATTCGTGGTAGTACTACGTGACTTGTTTAATGGTTGAAATTAGGGATGTGCAGCTTAAGGTAAGGTTGTTAGGTCAGGGGTGGGGTTAGAGTTGGAGTTAAGGTTACTGAAAGAGTCAAAATTAAGGTAATACTAAAAAGAAGTGTAGAGCAAGGGTTCAGACGAAGTGGTATATGTTACGGTTGGGGTAAGAGTCAGGTTTAGCCCATATTTCCCTAAGTATTATGAACATCGACATCATGAGGAAGGCAATTAACACTTTCAAGGGAATTTGTTAAAAGAAGCAGTACGTTGTGATAAATAACAGAAGTATATCGACAACAATATGCAGACCCTAATGACAAAATAAACACCTACGTGAAATCCCTGTCCGTTGACAACATACTGGGCGGCAAAAGACAGCAGCATGCACGGGTTGCCAGAGCCATCCTTGACCGTCCAATTACCGGCAGGAGGGGGCGTGGTCAAGGCTTCCCCACCATTCACTATACATAAGTAAAGGGGAGTGGAAGGAGACAGAAAACATTTGAGACGATTTGGATGTTAAGGAAGTTTGTAAACAAAAAAAGATTGTCAATTTACATTAACCGGCGTCACGGTTGTATGATTAGAATGTGTCGCAATTCTTGGTTAATTCGAATAACAGACCTGCGATATATTTAACAGGGAGTTGAAAAACACTTGCATATTAAACAGAAATAAGTCAGCAGCAATAATCGTGTTCTTATAAAACAAAATGTAAAGGATCTCAGGAGACTTTAATGATACTCACAATTGGAGATTGCCAACAGAAGCAACACTAGCACAACCGCTGAAGTCGCCATTTCGCTGACTGCCCATGTACAGCACTACAAGTCTGTTTATACGGTAGAGGCAAATTCGACCTTAGAACTATACGGGGCCGTTTGATAAAATGGACTGCCGTATGGCATTTATTGATGCTTGGTACAACCTATAATGTTCACTCGTTGTACAAAGTACCAACTTGACTTCTGAACTTGTCCTCGACGACCAAACGCTGATATAAAATCACATGATACGTGACGCACTTGCGAAATATACGGCAAAGATATAACAGTACTTTTCTTTTACGCCTCCTAGTAAATTAAACCCAACAGAAAAAAAAACTTATGAAAACATTTCCAAATGAAATTAGGTTGAGCTGTAGACGGTATAAAGCTTCTGAACTTTGCTTCGAATAAACACTGATATGATAAAGTCAAATGACGCTCTAAATATCGAAATAAAATTGTTCTTTACGACGAAACGGAGCAGTTTTCTTTTACGTATTTATAAAAGATTTACACTTGGTAAAACGCTAGTCATTTCCAAGTAACAATTAGGTTGACTTTCAGTTTCTGTTTTGGAGACGGTTGGAATTATTATCACGTGCACTTTATTTCAACAAAATTGGGTAATAACTGAGAAACAAATTTAAACCTTTACTTCCCTTAAAAATTACAAATAAATTGAGTCAGTCCAAAGAATTGAAACGCAGATGGTCCTCCTACATTTTTAACATTTCCCATCAAAATATTTTTTTCAAACGTTTAAGTGCTGTAGGCAAAATGAATAAAATATTAAAGGTGTATATGAACACATATGAAGATACATGCATGAAAAGTATTGCTCATTTTATAACCTATGAAAATAAGTCACTGGGTCATATCTTGTCTTGGATACTGTAATTTCATTGGTCCAGAATGGCCACGTGTCCATTCTATAAAAAACGACTGTTTACTTCATATGAATATATATGCATATGAATTACCTCATACACACGCATTACAAGTCTTGCTGACATAAAATCCTACATGAAGACAAGTCATTGTGTGTCTCTATACGGAACTGACATTTTCTCACGTCAATCAAATCGGAAAACTAATCATTTCAATGTTTTCACTTGCATTGCCGAGGAATTTGTGATAAAAATCGAAGTGTTAGTTACAGATTTGAAAAGACGAATACAAGGATTGATAATACAAAATATCCAAAACAAACAGTGATTTGATTCAACCCAAGATTATATAAAAGTTACTTTTCGTTTCGAAATATGTCTTAATTACTTGGAAAAGCAAAAATCGCAAACGGCCCCATTAGATAACAAACAGTCTTCTTAAAAAATACATCAAAAACTAGAAATTTTAACGGTATAATAAAGTTATTGACTAGCTCTGTATGCTTGTGTAAGCATGTCTTTTTCTGTACCGTATTACAACGATGAGTGCAACCGTGGCAACCAGGGCTAGGAATAACACGCCCCCAACGGCAGAGCAGACGATAACGACGATGGGGGCGCCCTCAGTGGGCTTGGGGACTGTGCCACAACGTTGCTCTGTGTGTGGAAAATTCAAAAGACAAAACCTGGTCATTAGTTTCATAATCTGGTCGGAACCTTGACGTAACTCCAGCCCAACCTTCTATATGCATGTCGATTGGAATTTATAGGCGGTTTAACCGGCGAGTATCCAGCAACCCAGTAACTTGACCGAAAGGACCGAGCGACCGACTTGTGAGCAGTCTAAGCACCAAACAGACAAACACAAGCTCGTTCCTGTGCCTGCTCGACATTCACCCGACAGATCGACAGACCGACAATTGATTGACTCACCTGGTCCGAATTTTCCCCCGGAGTCCTCAGCAAATGGTTGCAGGTGCATGTCCCACATGTAGAGCTCAGCGTCGCCCCAATTCACAGTCAGCTCATCTGCGCATGTGTAGGCTTTGCCAACGGTTACGTTGTTTTGGAGAAAGTTGACGGAAAAAATCGACGAAGTGCCTGCATCTGTAAGAAGAATGTCGACCTATTATTATTTATAACACATATACCTACTATTAATTCTTCCTCTGTTTGGCCTCGTGTCTGTTTATCAATTTATGGTGTATACAAAGCAAGGCCACTGCCGGGGTGGAGGAAGAGGAGGGGAGGGGGTAATTTTTTCGTATTGCAGTGGGGGAAAGTTGACACTTTTGCGCAAAACTGCAATCCTTTTGCTCAAAATTACGAAAGTGTTAAACTTTGTGTTTATTGCAGGCAAATAAGATTTGTGTGCCTGAACACGCTGAGTTTGTTTACAAGGCTTCCACGTACATTTGCGTTGTTGTATACTGTTCATGAAGAATGAACACGTGTATAAAAGTGCAAGGGAGCGGCCTGCACAGGGTGCCCACCCAAAAGTTAAAAAAGAGGCTGCATTGAGGCAAACGATTGGTGGCGCCCTTTTGTTATGAATAGCTTCCTTTAAACGTACCGTGACAGCTTGGGCATTCGGGCCAGCTTCCGGTCACCTCTGTCATAGCGTAAGTGGTGGCGGCCGTGTTGAGTTTGAAGCCAAGCTGCAGATACCAAAGATGGCTGGTCGAATCCGGGAAAATTTTCACGAGACGAGTTGGAGAGGCACAATCGCCTTGCGGGTAGGACGAGGGCACAATGTTGACCACGTGATTCTGTTGACAAATTTAATCCAAGATATAAAAACGGATTCCTGTAATTGTTTTTATTCCCTCATACTTGCTCAGGAAAATGGTTGAAATTTGGGGTAACAGCTTGAGGTAGGGTTATTCGTCAGGGGGGTTAGAGTTGGGTTGACGGTTACAAACAGGTCAAGGTAAAGGCAATTTCAAAACAGGTGTAAGGGCTGAGGTTAGGTTCAGAGTTCGCGTTAAGGTTGGGGTTAGGGTAAAAGATAAGGTAAAGTTAACGTTAGCCTCCATTCCTCGTTTCGTAAACATCACGTATTAATAGATACAGTAGTAAGTTATTGTGATAAATAATCATGCCTCTGGCTTCAATGTTATGTATGTTCTTTCCTTTTTGTACAATGATACTCGTAAAATTCTTACGGTAAATCCCTGTCCGTTGACAACATACTCGGCTGCAAAAGACAGTCGCATGCACGTGTGGCCAAATTTATCCTGAACTGTCCAATCACCGGCAGGAGGGGGCGTGGCCAAAGACCCACTAGCGTTCACTATACATATGTAAAAGATATAAGCGAAAGCCAAGAGAAAAGATTTCACATGTAATGTGATATGGTGTGAATCCTATAGCATCCTATGACTTCATACCAACGGACAACCGTTGCGATGGGCAGTCCAAACATTTAGGCATGTTTCGCTGGTTATTTTGCCCACATTATCCAGTCTATGTCACCAATTTTACTCCAATTGCGTTTCTGAAAGTTGACATCACGTGACCACGACATCCAATTTGTAAACAAATCTAACATCGTCTAGAGTTGATGGGAAAACGTGTTGGCCTACTTGTGAACAATATGATTGTATATTTACCATTTACCATATCATTTGGAATGAATTTGCTGCAGTTTGAGGGTTAATTTGAGTAACATTTCACCAACTTGGAATAGGAATACGAACCAAAGTGTAGACCTGTGATATTAGGACCAATGCCAAATAAATAACAGCAATAATGGCGTTCTTCTTTAATAATCGAAACATCACATCTATTTATTTTCCTAAACGAAATCAGGTCAAACAAAGTAAATTACAGTGCGATTTCATCTTTACTTCAAATATGAATGTTGGTTTAATATGTAAAAAACACCTAAGGGACTGAAATGGTACTTACAAGTGGAGATTGTCAAAAGAAGCAGAACCAGTGCTACCGCCGAGGTGCCCATTTTCGTGACTGTCCATGCACAGCACTATACAAGTCCTTTAAACGTATATGTTTTGCAGCGGAGAATTGACTTTAAAACTACAGAACTCGTTTATAATGTTGACTTTTCTTTTGGTTAGATCGTCCCATAACGCGGCGTGTCTGGTACAATAGATAATCATGGTGCGCTCGTGGTAAGTACCAACTTGACTTTTGAACTTATTTTTTTAACAAAATACTGATAAAATCCCATGACGCACTTGATTTCGACTCATAGTACTGACGGTCTACAGTAAACTTGGCTCTGGTTTTCTTTTACGCATTCATGAATAAAAAAAAAAACACCTGTCATTTGCTTTCTTGTTGCAAACACTCTCATGACAAATAATGTTTACAATTAAAGCCTTTAAGCAGATTTACTTTTAAAGTTTTAACAACTTCTTATTTTTATGTATCCTAACAAACACAATGAAATACGTATAGATCATTGTACCTATTCGCATATTTGCTTAGTGCAATCACATCCATGCCCAACTATATGGCTCGTATTTACCTGACTCAAAAGTTTACAAGTAATCTCAACACACTTTTTGAAACTTTATGTTTGGTAAAAAGTTGGACACTTATTTGCCTAATATTTTTACAGTGTAGAAAAAAAACACACACGTACACAACTATAATTTCCCAGAATCAGCTACGTTGACTTTCAGTTTTTGTTTTAGGGACTGTCGTAAATATCAAACTCACGTGCACTTTATTCATCATCAATTGGTTAAAGGGAATATACAACATTTTCAAACTTCAAAAAACAAAACTATCAAGTTATTATGAAATACCTTACAGGACTGTAAATGAATGACAGTGTCAAGTGTCCTGTAAAATCATGGCATGCACCTGGTGTGCTGTCATTTTCAAGAAAATTGGTATGTTTGTATCAATTTCCAACGCTGGGTCGGCTGAACGTCTGTAAATTGCTATGTTTCATCTTAATGGGGTCAGGGAACCAGACTACAGGAACATAATTGTTTTATTGGTTTTCCAGCATCTACGAACACAAAACTTCAAACAATTAACTAGTGTAACAATATTTGCTGTAATAGATAACCCCCCAAAATCCATCCATTTCTGAAAATCACAGCAAAAGCAAATGCTGTACATTCCCTTTAATACCTAATAAAATGATTCAACTCATTTATAATACATTAGCATTTGTTTTTCGAAATAAGTCACAATATATTGCAATATCTTAGAGCAACGTTTTATAGAAAAGGTGAAAAAAGGTGGCTTGTGTCCTTCTGTGAAGCGAAGATATTTGGTATATAATTATTGTCAATACTCAAAACTACACAAGCCATTTGGTATTTTTGACGATTTTAAAGGGTTCATGAAGTGGCTTTTTCTTTGGAACATATTTTGTGTAACTTTTTACTTCTCTTAAATGTATGAAAACAATATTTGACATCCTTTTTTTGGTTAATATATTGAAAAGTACTTCTTTGAATTTTTATAACTGAGGGCCCTGTTGCTGTGATGTCACTTCAGGAAGACACTGTTCAGCTTAGGGGTTTTCTGTTCAATTGTTGACCCCCAAAATTTTCTTATTGAAAATATTTGTGAAAAAAGTCTGCTCATTGGCTCACTGCATTTCAAAATTCTGTCAACTTTTAGTGCCGAAATAGCTGTAACATTGAGATGTCTGCCTGAAATGACATCACACTTTTGCCATACACATTAGCATAAAAAACCCAAAACGCACCAAAATTCCCCTTGAAAATACCGCAGCAAAACGAAAATTGAAAATAGAGTTAAATAGGACACAAAGGTGCATTTCCAAGGATTGTATTACAAAAATTGCATCGCAGGGAACCTTTTATAAGATTTTTTGTACACTTTACAGGCATGAAATGGAGCCTAACTACCGGAGGTGGAGGGTTGGGCAAAGCTATCATACTGTGGGTATTCTCCCCCGGCTCCTTGGACATGTAAGTGGGCATAGGCGGCGTTCCTTCTCTTGCGTCTTAGCAGACAGACGCCCATGACCAGGAAGACAAAGAAGACGCCAACACCAATCAGAGAACAGACCACGATGATCCAGACGTTGGAACCACAGGATTGCTCTGTCCAGGAAAAAAAATTATAATATATTTTTGAAAAGTTGGACAAACTTTAAAGGCATGTGTATTGTGGCCATACCAAGCTCATGGAGCTGTCAGTTGGCAGAAGGTCATATGTCAATCGATAATTTTTGTTGTGTTACGTTCAGTCAATCGGTTGAAAAATATCTAGGCCTAGCTACACTCTAAAAAGTCCCGGGTTAGAAAGTAGCTGGTGGTAGCGTACTGCTCGCATGTCACGGGGACGAGGTTGTGATGTTTACCTGGGCCGTAGACCGCAGCCGAGTACTCCGCGAAAGGTTGCAGGTGCATGTTCCAAAAGTAGACAGTCCCGTCTCCATCCGGTAGGTCTATCGTCAACTTATCGGGACAGTAATAGGATTGGCCACTCGCAACGGCGCTGCTCAAGAAATTCGTGGAAGTCTTCTGATCCGAATACGGGACTGCGAAGGAGAAAAATGTATGTATACGAATTATGTACGATGTTGGGTACACAAAAAATTAGTGACCTTGAGTCCTCGATCAGGTGGTTCTTTATAGACCTTTATCGTGCTGCATGCCACCATTTCAGTCATGTTCCCTGTATCCAATAACAGTACTGAATGATAATGTTTTTGTGTGCAAAAAGGAACCAGACTATTTTTCCTTCCACTTCACTTTGATTACGTTGATTTGAATGGGAAGATTCAAATGGCCGCATCATTGATAATGGTCTTACACTTGTGGTTGCTTTCTATCGGGTTTATGGCCCAGAAAAAAAAATACCTGTACACATTTAAAACGAAAAAAGGTTACTCACAAACTTACTGTTTTGGGTGTAGTCAAACCATTCGGCAAACACTGACGTCATGGTGTACACCTGCTTATATGGGTCCATGTAAAATGTCAGCTGAATCTGAGGAAACTGTGATCCACCGGCTGTGGCAAATTTGGCAACACGATATGGGGAGTTGCATGAGCTTGATGCTACGAACGAAGGAATGATGTCAATAACCTTTTTCTGGAAGAAAATAAAAATTTGTATTCGATTTTGCTGGACCCGAAGAGCAAGTCTATTGTCCTCTGGCTGATTGACTGATTCACTCACCCGGATCCAGCTTGCATATTTAGGGTGTTGGTGGTGGGGGTGGATGATCGACTGATCGACCGAACGACATCAACCGACCGACCGAACGAACGACGAAGTCATTGATGTCCTAAACTGACTGAGGTGCTTTCAAACTTTCCGGCTTGCTCGATGAGGCATGTTTAGTTTTATATTTTACCGAAGAAATCTAGAGTTTCAAATCTACCTCGAATTACAGTACAATATAAAAGCTTCTGTAAAGAAACAGAAGTTAAAGTGGGAACACGGTGCAGGAATGACCAGTTTGAGAAATGGGAAAAAGACCCAAGAGTTATCGTTTATTTTATCGGCATCTCCTCACCTCAAATCCAGTTTTCTCGTGTACGTCAATCTGCCCTGAGAACGACAACAGCATGCAGATGTTTTCTTGGTTGTCATACACTGTCCAGTCACCAGCGGGAGGGGGCGTGTCCGCTGATACTACATTAGTGACATCTCCAAAAACTGCAAAAGATAACGAACAGTGATACATCAAAAACAAGGGAAGGCGCAAACAAATTCTCTTCAATCGATTCAGAACCGCTATTGACTGGATGTCTATGTTAACAGGTAATCCTTTATGATGGCACTGCCCGGCTGTCTTCACAGTTCGTCACTCAGATAGGTACAGAGTCTCAGAGAGGACACTAGACTAGCCCTCTGGGACCAGCAACAAAAAAACACTTGTATACTTGTATTGTTAAAAGGACAAATCTGCGATGGCACTATAGCCAAATATCTTTCTCATGACATACTCTGACTATGCATGATATGTGAGCCAAATGCCATGATCGTATCATCAAAGGCACAGTCCCATCACCTATCTGCAGTTCTAATAGGTCAATGAGGAAGAACTAAACTAATTAAACTCAAGAGTATAATAGTACTAGGCATAACACAGGCCCTGGGCAAATGCCTTCACTATAAAAATCTGTTCCGGTCTGAATTTCATTACAACCTATCAAAACAAGTGGTGCTCAGAAAAAAATAGAGAAACTTACCGCAGACAAGCAGAAGAAAGGTAAATGACGCCGAGGAGCCCTCCATTTTGGCTACGACACAACGAAAGTCTCAACCATAAAATCAACCATCGGCTTTAGTGGTTCAATAAAAATCGTTGGGTCTCATTGACGCTGAAAGCTCGTGACTCTGATACGTGCATGCGTCGCTGTGACTACATTTAAACCACTGTAGAAATAGTGACGTTCTTTGACCCTTGGGTTTTCAAGTGTTTGCAACTCTGATTTTTATTTCAGTTTGGCGAGTGTTCGCGGAGTCTCGAAGTGAAGCAGACGAAGGTCAATTGCTGTTTGGCACCGGGGTGATAATATTTGGGTCTATACCAAGCAAAAGACGCCTTGCACGGTGCGCCCTCACCGATGGCACTGTTATTTAATTCATTAACGATGAAAGTACAAACTGTTTACTCATAAATTCAGTTTATTTTTCCACAGGCAATGAACAACAACAACAACAGTTTCAAAAATGCACATTGTGTCCCATTTATCATTATTTTCAATTTTCGTTTTGTCATTTTCAAGGGTATTTCACTTTTGCTTATGACTATGAAAATTCGCATTTAAACTCAAACGGCACCAAAATACAGTTGAAAATTGCAAAAAAGAACATTAAAATATGGTTAAATATGACACGAAGGTGTATTTGCTAAGATTGAAGATAAGAAAAAAATACATTGCACGGACCCTTTAAGAGTGTTTCTCGTTGGACACTTTACTGGCATGAAAAGGAGCCTAACTACCAGAAGAGGAGGAGGAGGAGGAGGAGGAGGGTTGGGCATCAAAGCTATCATAGGCGGCGTTCCTTGTCTTGCGTCTTAGCAGCCAGACACCAATGACCAGGAAGACTAAGAAGATGCCAACACCAATCAGAGAACAGACCACGGTGATCCAGGCGTTGGACTCACATGGTTGCTCTGTCCATGAAAAAACAATTAAAGCAATACTATTTTGAAAATTTGGAAAAGCTTTAAAGGATACGTTCTGTGGCCAAGCTCATGGAGCTGTTAGGCAGAAGGTCATGCCAATTGCTATTTTGATGTGTTTTGTTCAGCCGAATAGGCTGAGAAATATCCAGTTACAAGCAATAAATATAACATGGCGTTCTAGTCGGTAAAGCTGTTTTTGTTAGGTTCCAAAAAGAACGAAGGGAAACTCAACGTTTCGGACAGTATACTCTGCCTGACGTTTGGACACTTGGTCGTCAGTCTGCTAAAGACGGGCAGAGCGCACTGTCCGAAGCGTTGAGTTTTCCTCGATTCTTTTCAAAACAACACAAGCTAAAAAAAAAAATGTAAAAAGATCTTTGTCACATGGTGCTAGCGTAAACCATTATCTTATTGCCATCTTCAACATGCTCACCTTCAAATCTTATTAACCTATTTTTGATCAGCAATTTTTTAATGCCTCGTAAACTCAGCTCCTTCAAATTTGCTAAAGCATTCAGGGTTCGCCTCTTTCGGATGCAGAGAACTACACCATTTTTTTTTCATTTGTCCATATTCAAAACCTCTGGATACCTGATCAACTATCTATGAGTAACGCAGTAGCTATGGTGGCGCGCTGATCGCATGTCACGGGGACGAGGTTGTGATGTTTACCTGGGCCGTAGACTGGGCCAAAGGACTCCGCGAAAGGTTGCAGGTGCATGTTCCAAAAGTAGAGAGTTCCATCTCCTTCCGGTAGGTCTATCGTCAACTTATCGGGACAGAAATAGGAGTGGCCACCCGGCACGGTGCTGCTTAAGAAATTCGTGGAAGTCTTCTGATCCGAATACGGAACTGCAAAGGGGAAAAATGTATTTGTACAATTATGCACGATGTTGGGTACAAAGAAAAATAGTGACCTTTATCACGCTGCCGCCATTTCAGTCATGTTACCTGTACCCAATAACAGTACTGAATGATAATGGCTCTTGTGCAAAAAGGAACCAGACTATTTTTCATTTCAGCCTTGCTTTGGTTTATACAATGATTTGAATGGAAACAATCCAAATGGCCGCAACATGATAATGGTCTGTTGAACTCGATCTCTTATCGGATCACCAATGTGGATGCTCAGATTAGGTTTATGGCCCAGAAAAACAGATACCTGTAAACACTCAAAACGAAAAAAAACAAGGTTACTCACAAACTTACCCTTTTGGATGTCGTCAAACCATTCGGCAAACACTGTCGTCATGGTGTATACCTTCTCGAATGGGTTCATGTAAAATGTCAGCTGAATCTGGGGATGCTCTGATGCTCGGATGCTCTGATTCTCGAATTTGACATTACGATATAGGGAATCGCATGAGCTGGATGCCACGAACGAAGGCATGATGTCAATGACCTTTTTCTGGAAGACATGAAGAAGGAAATTTGTATTTGATTTTGGTGGACCAGAAGAGCAAGTATATTGTCCTCTGGCTGATTGACTCACCCGGATCCACCCCGATCGACCAACCGACCCAAGTCCAAGAGACACCAACGGAACGGACGACAAATCTCGGCCGTATAGCCGTCTTCACACTTACCCGGCCTCGCTGCAACCTGGTATGTACCACTTGGTACTTGTTCAACTGAACAAATCAACAGTTCCTTACAAATAAACAGACAGTATGGCTTGGAAAACTGAAGTATTGTAGAGTTTCAAATATTGTTTAAGTCTGTATACTATTATAATACCAGTACATTTCATACTATTTGAATGGCTGTACAATAATAAAGCGTTAAGTAAACATAACAAAAGTCCGAGCGGGAAAACGATGCAGGAATGACCAGTTTGAGAAATAAGACAAAAAGACCCAAGATTTATCGTTTATTTTTATCGGCATCTCCTCACCTCAACTCCAGTTTTCTCGTGTACGTCAATCTGCGCTGAGAATGCCAACAGCATGCATATGTTTTCTTTGTCGTCATACACTGTCCAGTCACCAGCGGGAGGGGGCGTGTCCGCTGATACTACATTAGTGACATCTCCAAAAACTGCAAAAGATAAAGAACAGTTAAACAGGAATAAAATCAAAAACATGAGAAGGTGCAAACAAATATCTTCAATCGATTCAGAACCGCTCTTGACTGGATGCCTGAGTTAAGGGGTAATCCTATACGATTGCACTGCCAGGCTGTCTTCAAAAGTGACAGTTGGTCACTCCGATAGGTACAGAGTTTTAGAGAGGACACTAAACTAGCCTGCTGACACCAGCAACAAAAAAGGAAATCTTAGTGGTGCCTTTGATGATTCAAGCATGGCAATTGGCACAAAGTCAGAGTATTTTTTGCTTTAATTAGGGCCATCGCAGGTTTGTCCTTTGAAAAAAAAAAACGTAGGTAGAATAACAAGCAATTGTTCAAAATTTTCAAATGACCGCCGGCACTGCTTGTTATTGCCAACTATCTTTCTCAAGTCTGACCGTGTGCCAAATGGGAAATGCCATGCTTGTCATTAAAGGCACAACCCCATCACCTATCTGCCTCAGTATGAGGAGGATCTGAACTAAACTAATTCAGGCCCCGGGCATGTACCTTCACGATACAATTCTTTTCAAACAAAAGGTGCTCAGAAACAAAAGAGATACTTACCGTAGAGAAGCAGAAGTAAAGCAAATGACGCTGAGGAACCCTCCATTTTGGCTACGACACAACGAAAGTCCCAACCCTATATTGGTTTTAGTGGTTCAATACAAATCGTCGGGTTCCATTGGTAGTGAGAAGTAAAGCCTACACCCTAAAACTTAGCTCGTGACTCTGATACGTGCATGCATCGCTAGTGGCGTCTTTGACCCTTTCGTTGTCAAGTGTTTGCAAATCCTATGGGCAAAACCATGCCAAACGCTAGTTGACAGCGCGCGCGTAACCGTGCGACGCGCGTTACCGCGCGACGCACGTTCAATGCATGGCGGATACGCGCTTAGTACAGTACGTACATCATAGGGCTATATTCAATGTAATATAGTTCTGTGGTACATTTACATATTACTAGCTAGTGCAGTGTCCGTCTAAATGTGCACGTTCGGGAAACGCATATTGCTTTGCCGCTGGTATAGGTTGCATACTTGCAGAGTTTTTGAGAACTGCCATACATTTTTAAGTTAAGAAAGCCGTTTTACTCACAATCCGGGTTGCAAAAGTTAAGCACGTTATTGTTTTTTATTTAGAAATCATTAAAGTACACGAGGGATTTTCTTTTACAATCGAAAAGTATCTTCATGGATTTTTTTTAAAACTAGAATAGCTAGTTCAACTGTGTGAAAAATCCTTACACCGAGAGGGTATACCATCAATCTATTTCGCTATTTATTGTGCAGCCGATTTAATTTCCCGCGCAGTGTTATTTAACGTATGCCTGGTCAAGCATTAATTGGAATTCATTTATGTGTTCACAGAAGTAACATATGAGGATGTTTGATTGAATGATTGAATAGTCATGATGATTGAACTAAACCATGTCTGGTGCAATCTTTTGAAGTATACCAACTTTTGTAAAAAATCCTATAGGGCCTATACAAATAATGGCTTCAAACAATCGTTCATTTTTTGCTCAACATTTGCAACAATCGCATCATATAACCAACCAATAGAACTGATAAAATGAGAAAGAGCTGTAAGAAATACGAAAAAGACATTACAAAGCAATGAAAGGGATACATCATTGGCCTTTACCGTAATTTTCAGAGGGGTTAATATAGTACATCAAATATTGTTTAACTGAGCAGACATTGAAGTTTTGTGTTCGAAAATGCTTGAAAAACCAAGAAAAACAGAAGTGTTTAAGTTGTCTGGTTCCCTGACTCCACTAAAGATACAATGGATCAATATATAGATGTCGGAAAATTGTAAGGTAAGGGAACCAGTCTAGCTGGCCTTCACACGTTCATGAACATGTAACCAATAGCAAACACATTTTAGACTGGAAAAAAAATTGTAAATTTGGAGCAGTAGTTGGAAAATAGTTAGGTTTTTCCAACGGTGGAAATGTATACAAAATACTATTTTCTTGAAAATGACTTCACACCAGGTGCCATAATTTTACAGGATGCCTTATACTGCCATTTACCAACATCCTAGTAAGGTATTTCTTAAAAATTGGTAGTTCTATTTTTCAATGATTGCAAATGTTGTATTCCCTTTAAGACAAAGAACCAACAAAAAAGTCAAATGATTAACATGACACGTGCTGTGTCCCCTTACTGTCCGAACAACATGCCTTGAAGATTATTTGGATTGATGTTATTTTGGTAAGACTGATATCTTTTTGACATTTCATTTGCATATTTCAATTAGGCTTTGTGTACGTTACAACAAACACATTAAAGACCAATTTGCTGATAATTACCCTCGCCTCCGGCTCGGGTAATTATCAGCACCCAGACTCTAAGTGGTCTTAAACAGAGTGATAAAAACCTCCGGATCACACATTTATTCCCTTATTAAAACTGAATGCAGAATATGTGAATTTAAATTACAACAAATGATTTTCTGCGAATTGGATTGCACATTCGTAATAATCGGCATCGCATCCGTCGAACTGAAAGCCTAATCACGAATTTTCAATCCTTTAAATGAATTTGAATGATGTAAAATGAAATCGAATGCTAGTTAATGCGAAAATGAAACGAGAATATATATATCGTTCTCAAAATCACCGCCAAATTGAATTATGTTTTACAAATTCAGATGCACATTTTCCAAAATTGTCCGAAAAAACCTATAATAATAAGAGATAGCCGAAAAACGCCTGAAGGCGCTATTACAAAGAAAAAACATACATTTAATTTTCAAAACAAATTACAGTAGAACCTTAATACAAAGACAATTTTTAAACGCCGTAAAAATCTATAAAGCTTAAATAGAATAATCACAGGCGCTGGTCTGGGGGGGGGGGCCAGATCTGACTCCATTTTTTGTCACAGAAATATGTTGAAAATAATGTGAACCCCCCCCCCCCCCCCGGTCTGACACCCAACAAAATTATGACAATTATACTAGTAATAATATCCGCCTTCGCAAAACATTCGGATAGAGCCAGCCGGGGTATGTGGGTATTTGACACTATTCTGTAATATAGTGTTTAGGATAGTCGGATTTGAGCAGCACCCCCTATTGGAAGTATGGTACGAGCCCCCTCCCACCCCTACTATTGACTTTAAAGAGGCCAAGTGTCCGGAGAAAAACCCTGTCTACATTTCAGCAGTGATTTGCTGATGACCCCTCCCCCTTTGCACAAATTCCTGGATCCGCCCCTGAATCGAGTACTCATGAAATAAAACATGATAAATAAAAGGTCTTGGCCAGCCGGCCAGACAATACAATACAAAAAACCAAAAAATATACAAATTCACTGCATTAAAGTACTGTTTAAATAGAAGAATCTTTACACGACTTTTTAACAAATCACACACATTTGAAACAATGTGTTTTACATTTATGGGCACAATCTTGCAGGCTTTGCCAGTACTAATGAGAACATGTTTCCATACACGCAGTCAATGGAAAACAATTGAATCCTTGAAAACACGTGCATTTTTGCATAGATTATCTTGATTAAAATGCTGTCGGATGAAATGTTAATATCAACAATGATATCATATTAAAAGCGTTCGCGTTCCGCCTCCTTTTAATACAATGACAATGAGATAGAAGTTTCTTTTTCATTCCGTGTTTAATGAATTATTTAATAAGGGACTAAAGCTGTTAACACATTTTGAACGATGGGGTACAAATTATTTCAAAAGCACCAACGTTCACAAAGTTAACCCGCCACCTACGCCGGAGGGTTGCTTAGGAGGAGAGTTTTTTCGCCGTCGTTCTCGTCGTCCCCAGCGCGAGGCCTCCTGCGTGTGTAACGCCTGTACACCACGTAAGCTAGGACAGCAACAAACAGAGCCCCGCCGATGACTGATGCGACAGTGATAATTACCGTCATCTTACTAGTAGAACACACCTGAACTGTTTGCGCAACAAAAAAGAAGGCAGAATGCACTTACTTATTTTTCTACTCTATACTTAACGACTAGAAAGCATTTCTTAAAAAATCAAAACAAAAATGGATATATAGGGGAGTCAGGTTGGCGTAGCGGTACTTTCCTCGCTTTCCACCGCTGTGACCCGGGTTCGAATCCCGCCTGGGCCAATATGTGGATTGGGTATTCAGTCCCTATCTGATTCCGTGGGTTTTCCCCAGAATATTCTTCTGGGCTTTTTCTCCCACCTCTAAAACTGCATAACTTCTTCTCATTGTCTTCTTTCCACAGGTTTCTTCAGGCTTGCGAGCTACATACAGTGCCTAGGGCTCTTTTGAGGAATCCTTGATTCATTACCAGAAATGAATATTATACAAATATTGAATGCTTCGAGTGGTGTAGTAAAACTAGCCTCCCGGCTCGGGTAATTATCAGCACCCAGACTCTAAGTGGTCTTAAACAGAGTGATAAAAACCTCCAGAGCACACATTTATTCCCTTAATAGTAATAATAATAATAATAGAACATCATATCGCAGCATCGACTCCATGGGCGCGTGCGCGTTCCTTCACTAACGCGCAAGGCATGATGGGAAACAACATGGCGCAGAAAGACCGTACCTATGGGGAACGAGGTTGCAATTGGTCATCATACAAAAAGACACAATATTGTTCGAAATGTGATTCGACTCCCCTGGAGGTGTTTTCCGAGATGTTTTCCTACCTTGTCCATCGGAGTCTTCAGCGAAGGGGTCCAGTCGACTACTCCACAGGAACACTCTGCCGTACCCTCCCTTCAAGTCAAACTCCAGGTCATCGTCGCATTGGTAGGCGTGTCTATAAATCACTGCATTATGAAGGAGATTATCCCCCTGTGTGAAGTCTCCCTCCATATCTTTTGAATAAAAATAAACAAGTTATCAATCGCCATTATTTTTTAATTGTGTCTTCACACAATTAAGATTCGAGTGGAATAGAATATGCGGCGCACTTCAGTACTCTACACACCGGCACAGCTGCGTTCTGCGCCACATCGCACGTCAATCAACATATAATTGTTTGCGAGATGGACATTCCATAGAAAAGCTAGAGGGTGTTTCGGGGGGGGGGAAACATGAAGTACATTTGTTGACCAAAATCGTTGGAAATTTATAATTTTTGACTTGTTTTGATTTTTGACCGAAAAGGTATTTTTGAATGGTAATGCCTGGCCGGTATTAAACACTATGTTTGTTGAAGACCAATGATGGAGTCTGAACACTGATAATATCCCTCTTCTTCAGCTAGGGTAAGTATCAGCATCCAGACTGCAACCGGTCTTAAACATAGTGTTGAAAACCCACCAAGGCACACATTTTATTCCCTTATTAGTTATTGTTGGTAAAAATCGTAGGAAATAAAAGGTATAGTATTTAAAAATAGGACTAAATGTGGTTAGCCGGTACAGGCCAAATACACATTTTATTAATTCCCTTAGTAAAATTACGTCATTAACTTAAGATGTAAGTAACATGTTGCAGTTGTTTTTTTACCTTCATCGGTCGGGTCGTACCAGATCGCCATGACATGGGTCATGCTATAGTCAACAAAACTACGGGAGAAAAAACTCAGTTGTAGCTGCGGTACACGAGTCTTTGTAGAATTCGGAGGCGCCAGAGTGAATTGGCGGAATGGCGTGGTGCAGATACCACTAGCTTGATACGATGGGAGAATATCGTACGTCTTCTGAAAATACACAATTAGAGACACACAGACCGTTTACTTAAACTTGAAGGTAAAGCCCATTCGGTATTTCAACCGCACACCACAGGACTGCATTTTGACGACTTTCGGGGATGGGCTACACAAGCCACTATGTGCTTTAAAACATAACAGGGTCAACATCGAAGAAAATATCACAATGTTCTAAGAATATATGTTTAGTATTTTATTTTCTGACTTTATGAACCTATCTTTCCATCATTGTTTAAAAGGTAGCATTCTGCTCGACGTCCTGGGGGCGAGGTTAGCTAGATTAAAGTTTAAATTTGAAAAAAAAAAATTGAAACGTCATCAGTGAATGAAGATGGAGGCAAGGTAATACTCTGTCGGTTATTTGTCAGAGAAAAAAATATCGATGGTATGAAAGTTTTTGGAAGAAAAATGTATTTGCTTACATGACGATTCCCGCTCTCGTGAAGGACTTGTATCTGCGCAGATAGGGACATCCTCATGCACACTTGCCCGTCTCCATCCCGAATAGTCCACTCACCTCGCGGGGGTGGAGCGCTGGTTGCTTCAGCCCCCGCTGCAAGAATGGTACAGACCTAGTCTTATTGATCTGGTTCTCTCGTCCCTAGCCCTATCAGGGGTGCACACCGGTAAAAAGGCCTTCAATCCATCCGCCGAGCTCATCAATAAAAGTTATACCCTCAAAATATTCTACATTAGAGAGTTCTGAGAGCCATACAATTGAAGAAATATGGCAATAGACCTCTGAGCATATTGGATGCAATTGGACTCGAAAGTGGCGCTTTTTTGTCATGTTGTGGAGGGATCGTTTTTCAAGATGGCTACTTTTCCGCTTTGGGGGAAAAAAGGGGTCGTCTTCTTTGGGTGAGAATATCTTGAAAAGTCAATGGTCAACCACCAAAAAAATGAAAACAACATGAAAGATGACATGTTGATCATCATTTTTCTCTGCAGCTTAAATACCTGTGAGAGTTCTGAGTATTTTAAAAAGAATCTTGAAGTATGGGTATTTAGCGCTAGTGTCTATGGGAAATTACCCTACTGCCCTATTCAAAGAGCAACAGTGACTCCCTATAATTATCTCTTCTTTTGTGAAGGGCACGCAGGCATCGCAAAGAGTTGTGGGTAGATAACTTGCCATAAACAATGTATATGCGGGTTTTTTTGTTTGTTTGTTTTGTTTTGTTTTGTTTTGTTTTGTTTTTGTTTTTTTTTGCACCCGGGTGGTAACTACAGAGTTATTAAGCTGCTGGAGGACCTGCTGGAGGCACTATTTTTTTCAAGGGGGAGCTGAGGGCAATGTGTAATTATATTGTTTAATGTGTGCAATTCCGTCAAGATTTCCAATGGGGGGGGGGGACACTGGAGGGGGGGTACGGACCTCCGCTGGGGGGGGGGGTGTGCCCCCTAATTGCGCCCCCCCCCTGCAGTTACACCACTGCACGGAAATGCTGACCCAGGTCACTGATTAATCAAAGTGTATCCACTGCTCAGAGAAGTTTTAGGTAGCTAGCTTTCGAGATGGATGGCTAGTCATATCCACGACCAAAATTTAGCAATTATTTTAGATTCTTGCAACACACTTTAATCAACACAAAATATGGCAAATAGAAACACTCAAGCAGTACTTTATGCCACCATTTCTGTACTCCATTTAAAATTTTATGATGAGCATCCAACACTTGCCAAATAATCCTGTGACATTTGGAAATCTCGAGCCTTCTAAGCCTCTCACAGAGCTAAACGCGCAACACGTACATTAGCCAATGCATGCAAAACCTATATGAAGTAATTCACCACAAAACGTAAAAAGTATCACACCTGTTTTAGTCAACAACGCTACTGCCTGGTATGTTTATGCATATCTACTGAAAAAGTGAAAGTTACGATAATAACTTACATGAAAAGATAAACATAAATCCGAGAACGAAAGACGACTTCATGATGATGGAAAGAAATAAACAAAACAATTTGCTACCAACTTCCTGGAACCCTATATTTATATCAATCGACGCATAGGGAAATCCCACTACGACGAGTTTAGCGTCGATCTGCGCACTTCCGCGTTTGATTTTATAATCTTTTATTGTTGTTGTGAATAGCCTCTGCAAACAATTCTATGTATAAACGGGACTAACTATAAGTAGTTAAATTTGTGTAAGTAATAGTACACTTTAAAATGAAAAGATATAGGAAAATGTTCCAATTATTTGGGGATTTTTTTACGAAACAATGGACATGTACCTGGTTTTAAAAACTCGCCTATTGCTTTTACGTTCCCTTTTAGTATTTTGGTCAATTTCTTTCTTTCTTTTTTTTTACACAAACTTTGAATGTTTTTAATTTGCCGCGCTGATATTTTAATTTAATTTAATACAGTGACGATAATAATTGTTTACTTAAAGAACAGCATAAAATATTGAAATTGTGATTTATTGTTAGTTTTTTTTAAAGTTGTTTGTATTTTTGTTTTTAATTAATTATTTAAATGTTTATGTTTAAATATTGAATTAATTGTTATCGTCTGTCTTTAAATTTGGATAATTTCAGTGGATATGACTCTGTTAAAAGTTTATGTTCACATTTAGTATGAATCTATTTAATTTTAGTTTTACCATAACTTCCTCTGTTATCAAAATACTGGCCTGTGAAAACATTAACAAAAGGACAATCCTAAAGAGAATGAATGAATAACTGAAGAAATCAAAGGACCAAACATATCCAATCAATAGTTCTCAGAATATATTCCAAAGTAAGGTATTTTCCAAACTTAATTATTTCCTGTGGTGAGTGACATATGGTGATATTCAGATGTATACTCCATTTAACCCCCCCCCCCCCCCCGCCAAAAAAAAAAAAAATTCAAGGCAAATAACGTGGTTTTCATTGAATGGACAATGACATGTGCGTGGTTCCACAAATCAGAGCTCTATGCACAAAATGAGTTGACAAGGTTTTCTTGTTGTTGGTGTTATTAAAGGGAATGTACAACATTTGCTTTTGCTGCAATTTTCAGAAATAAATGGATTTGGAGGATTAGTATGTTATAGCAAATATTGTTACACTGACTTGTTTCAAGTTTTGGGTTCGTAGATGCTGGAAAAACCAAGAAAACCATCATATTCTTGTATTCTGGTTCCCTGACCCCACTTAAGATGGGGAATTGTAAGATCAGAGAATCAGTCTAGCAGGCTTGTAGTCTCCACAGGTGTGTAATCAATTGCAAAGAAAGTGCAGACGAACTAAATATGAAAAATTAGGAGCACTTTTTGAAAAAAAGTCAGTTTTCTCCAACGCTGGTCGGCCGATCAGCGTTGGAAAAATACAGTTTTTCTTGAAAATGTCAGCACACCAAGAGCCACAACTTTACAGGATGCTTTAGACTGTTATTCCCTAACAGTCCAGTAAAAGATTTCGTGATAATTTGATCATTTCGGGTTTTTTTGTGTTTGCAAATGTTGTATCTTCCCTTTAAAATCTCCTCAGATCAAGACACCTGGGTAAATAAATGTAATAAATAAATACATAGATAAATAAATAAATAAATCAGCAATAGCATTTAATAGTTTTCATAAGCCAATATAATCCCATATACTGAGCTGTAACATACAAGTATAAACTCCATTTGGCTTTGGAAGGAAACGAAGAGTGTGTTCGCACCAAACACCAGTGATTGTGACTGTTAGTGGCTTTTAATGAGGACAGATTGCATGTACTCCTGTGCATTGTGATGAATGGAACTAACGATGTGCACCCATCCGAAGGGTTCACGGCCAGGCTGTGTTGAATAGTTTGTACGAATCTACAAGTATTCGCAAAGTGCAGCGATCTTGTTTGCATAAACAACTGTTCTTTTAAGAAAAAGTTAAGTCGGAGAATATCGGAACTGTAGATTCGTGAACACGAAACTACAGGGCGAGTAAAAACAAAACCGAAGCCCAAATGGGTATTTGAATGAAGTTTTGCCTGTACGTAGCACTTTCAAAATCTAGGATATGAAAGCCCAATCAATGAGTTTTCTTTCAGTACAAAAAATCATTCAAATCACTCATGTACTTTTCAAGTTCCGAAATTTTGAACACAAACACCATTTTTAAAGTTCTGTCCACCGATCGCAAGAAAGGGAAGTGTTGTTTCAGCAAAACAAAAACGATTCTATAATAGGGGTGCATGTGAATTGTTTCCGTTTTGCTGAAATTGTACACTTCCTCACCTATATTAAATGCACTTTTACGACTGAGTTACATGACTATACAAACTCATACATTTTGGAGTATCCTTTAATGGTAAGGCAGTCAAGAGATAATATCAAATAAAACACATTTCACATGCAAGAAGAGACTGTTGTCTTTATTTCATAACATATATTTAGGCCTACAAGACTTTTCTTGTTTGCATGTGAAATGTGTTCGTGTGTGTATGCTGCCTGCAGCTGGGCCAATTTCATAGAGCTGCTTAAGCACAAATTTTGCTTAAGCAAAAGAAAACGTTGCTTATTATAATCAGGCAACCTCGTTCCCATGGGTACGAGATCTTGCTACGCCATGTTTTTCCCATCATGCCTTGCGCGATCTCAACTTTAGTAAAGGAACGCGCACGCGCCCATGGAGTCGACGCTGATATTCAGGATACCGGCGAAATCGCCATGCAATGTACATTGCTTGTGACTGGTATTTAGCTGTTGTCTACTTAGCATAACAATCGCATGCAGTTTTGGTGGGTAACCAGTGATTGTATAAAGCAAAGTTTTTTTGTGCCTAGGCAAATTTTGTGCTTAAGCGGCTCTATGAAATTGGGCCCAGGCTGCAGGTTCGTGGTCTCCCTCTCTCCACTAATTTACCAGCACAAGATAATGCCGCAAAAAGTGTGAATTTAGATTTTATGGAGCTCTTACGTCTCTTTTCATGGCTTTAAAAGTTTCAATCAAATTTTTCCACAGGCAATAAACAACATTAACAGCATGAAAAAAATTAGTCTCACATGAATATTTGTTTACATATGGCCGCTGATTTGTCCGGTCCTGGTTTTTCTGGGACACACTGTGCTTAAAACTGATATAGTGCCGCTCAAAATAAGTCGTCACTGACGTAGGTTGTTTTTGACGCCTCGGATAATGGACCGATCCAGTAAGCAACGCCCCATGATATTCTGACCAATTACAGCCGTGATTTATGTCCGACATGCGTGCACAAAAGTCCGACATGCGTGCACGCGCGTATGATGCGCGCGGCAGGAAAATGCAGTGTGGCATTGGAGAGGAGCACGTGTTAATTTGCCCAGTGCGCAGTGGGAGGGGCTTACTGGATCGGTCCATTATGCAAAGAGGTGTTGCGTTGACACTGCATACGGCAACATGAAATCGGAATTATGAAGTACTGCAAGCAGTGCAAGATTTGGCCTAATCTTCTACCGAAGCGAAAGCGAGCAGGCCAACGAATTCCTAGTACAAACCGATATATGAAAAAAAAAACATACTCTTAACTCAAGTGGAACACGTCGTGTAATTCTTTGTGTATTTTTCAAGAAAATAAATACGATAAACAGGTTCAAAGTCACGTTGGACACGCACCACAGTAAACAAACTTACACTTTGTCGCACAATGCATTACTATAAAACACACGACAGTTCGCGGATCAGCGTTGTTCACTACACTGTTGCAGGTTGTTGTGGGTTTGTGCTTGTAATTATTTTGCCTCCATATTGCTGAGGTCGGTAAAGCAAAATGTCCGTAATCTTCCTCCTTCTGGTTTGTGGTGAGTATTTGTTTTAAATCACATGAGGTGATTCCTCTCTCAAACGAGAAGTTTCTTTGTTCATTCATTGAGGAGAGTTCTTCTAATGTTGTACCGAGTGTGCTCAGTGTGGAACTTGCGAAGTTTTTTTTTAAAGAAACAAAATAGGAGTTTGATTACAACACAACGCATTTTACAGAGACTGACGGAATAACGCCGTTTGCGAGTAAGCCACGCCCCTAGCCTTAGAGACAACATTATGGAGTTTTTGTACACTACGTTTTGTCTCAGATTTTGCGCGTTCGGCCGCGTCCATTTGTAGATCATGTAATTGGACAATATTTCACTGGCTGCGTTGACACGATTCTAACGCAACTCTAGTACCGCGATCCAACTGTAACCATTTGGAACGTCTGTTTCAGTGATCAAGACAGTGACGTCACAGCCCACAACTATGGCGCCCCCTTCCGGTGACTGGACACTCAAGGACTCGGCTGGAAATGTTTGCATGCGAATGTCTTTTGCTGCGCAGTACACCGTGTTAACTGAATCTACGGTAAAAAGTTACGAATTATGAAAGGCATTTTAAATCCTCCCAAAATGCAATTGTGTCCCATTTAATCTTATTTTCAATTTTCGTTTTGCCATTTTTAAGGGTGTTTTGGTGCCAGTTTACGTGTTCATGCTAATGTAAATTTCCATATTCATGAGCAAAAGTGTAATGTCATTTCAGGCAGAAACCTCAATAGGGCCTATTACTATTAGCGCCAAAAGTTTCCAGAAGTTTGGATATTTTTTTCCGTCATAAGTTTTCTTTGCTTTGGTAATTCTTCATTGTGTCACGGTTGCAATGAGCAAACCTTTCTCACAAAATTAATGTTTCCAATTTAGGTTTAGTCAATTTCTCAAGTTATTGTCACAGAAACATCCTATCGTTTTGTAAGAAGGGGTTAATCTATTTCAATACCCACATGACCGCACGGAAAAATACACCTAAGTTGCAAAGAGTTAAGTTTAAATGCCTGTACCGCTTCCGGTCGTTTCCCTATCTTGACTAATTTAGTAAACAATCAATCAGTCAACGTTCTCCCATGTGATGTTTCAATGCTGCCGTATAATTCCGGTTCAGACACCGTCGAAAATACCAGTAGTTTACTTGTACAGTACCAGCGTCTCGTTTCCTTCCAGCCCGTGCACGTTCACATCGACCCTTCAACAGCTGTGGTTACCAGCGATTGCGCCTCCCCGTTCCGAGCGTTTAATATTGACACCAAATACGGCAGTCCTTTTAACGACGACTGGAAGTTGCACCTGTACTTCATGAGGACTTCTCAGAAGTACAACATGACACGCATATACGTCGAGTGGAACTCAGAAGACAGTGGTGAGTATCTGTTAATAAGTAAATAAATGTGTGCTAGTTTGGCTGGTTTTAAACACTGTTTAATAAGACCGGTTGGACTGGATCTTGTTGCATGAGCCGAAGGCGAGGGCTGGCGAGGGTAACTATCAGCGTCCATAGTCACACCGGTCTAAACCAGAGTGTTTATTACTGGACCAGTCTTATTTCCCATTCATAAATGATTTTACTTCATGTTTTTCGAAACGCCCCTAGCTATAACGGGATATTCGTGCGCGCGTCGCGCGTATTGCGCGTTGTTGCGCAGAACGCAGCTGTGCCGGTGTGGTGTGAATATGGAATACTGACTCACTGGTAGTATTGCGCATGCCTACGTGGGCATTGTGAACGTTCAACCAATAGAACATTTCATGTGACACTGGAGCCACCCGGTCGGCCGTTTAAAACACCGGCCACGTGAGGCTGTCGACCAATAGCAATGGATAGAACTGTACCAGGTATTTATGAACGTGTAACTAAATCAAAACACCGCGCCCTATAAATCCGCAAAATCTTGTCCCAAATACGATACTTACCTGCCAAGCCAATATTATTTGGTGGAAGAATTGAGCCCAAAGAGCCGGGCGGAATTAGCCAAACTTTGTTCTCAAACCCTCGCCACATAGACCTTTTTGCCCATTGCGCCTTCGACTTTTTCGGTATTACAAATTTCACAGTAGTGGGACCTAAAGATCCCTGCGAAGCTTCAAATTACCGAAAGATATACATGTACATGTACATGATGAAATAACAAATAATGATCGTGACAAATTGTCTGAATGAAACGAAACTGGTTTCCCAGACTATCCAAATGAAAAAACGTCACAGATATCTTACATTTGCGATCGTAACGTACTTCAAGGTGGTAAACGGTCGACTAAGAAGCCAGTAATGCGTAAACGGTAGGCCTACCCCTTAGTTTTCAAAGCTAATTATGATCGACATCCTTTCGGCAGGTGCTCAGGGAACGGAAGGTATAATGGATAACTACCTGGACATGTCCGTAGACTTGGGCAAGGCCTACACCTGCTCCCGGCCTTTCCATGTCAACATCAATAATAAAGCGTCGGTGGAAATACTGGACATGGATCTCCAACCCTTTGCGGAGTACAGTAGCGGAGACTTCGGACCAAGTAAGCACAGGATTTGACTCGGATTTTTATATTTACTCAATAACAAACTACAGTTGAATACCTTTATAACAAGGTCCTTGGGACTTTAAGAATTACCTTGTTATAACAGGTACCTTTTATTAACATTAACGGAAAACAAAGAAAAACAAAGAAAAACAAGGACTTGGGACCTAAAATTGTGCTGGTTATAAGCAGGACCTTGTTTTAACAGTGCTCTTCTTATCAGGATTCCACTGTACTATTATCGTCCGACCTCATTGAATTGAAATCGAATCAAATCTACACTCCTGAACTTTCAGGATTAGCCTCTAAAAATGTACCATCCGTTTCATGCGAGAAATTACACCCCGGAGAAGTAGCCTTGGTCGTGGAGTAATCACCATCATTTTGTAGAGCAGATTACGGATCAAGATTCATCCATTTTTTTGCAGGAACACAAGTTCAAAGTCTTTAACAAACCCCCTTGAGTAGGGTCATAATCGGTCGGCATGGCGATATCTTGTATATGTATAGGCCTTTCTTTTGTTTGTAAACATTGGCGCCATTTTGTATGGGCTGCCGTAAGCGCATAAATTGAAGCCGTGGTTGGCAACATATTATTCCAAAGAGGTCCTCATAACGCCATCAACACATTGTAAAAAGGCATGTGTAGGAATTATTTTGTAGCTTTGTTGAAAATATATTATTTTCAAGTATCAATTAATATTTTGGTGATCTGTAATAACTCTTCTTCATTTTTGCAGTGTTGGACCTTCCATGGTTTTGCAGGCCGTGGTTGGCAAAAAATGCAGTTTGCCAACCAAGTGCAGAAAGATTTATATCTACTGCGCGCGTCAGCGACCTTCAATGCGTTTCCTGTCACTGCCGTATTTGTATGTTTTATCCCCAGGTGAAAACTGCGTGAGACCCCCACCGACTGGCAACAACGCTTTAGTCATCGCCCTCTCTAGCGTTGGTGGCGTCCTTCTCATCACCTTTGTGGTCGTGGTCATCGTCGCCCTTGTCTACCTGTCGCGCCGACGACGTTACCAAACTATTCAATAAAAGTCGAAACAAGACAAGCTCCTATAGAGTTGGCATGCAACCAACTTGACTTTTATTCCAAAAAAATATCGGTCGGAATTCACTTCCCCTTTGTAAAACCTTGTGAATATTATACACGAGAATAAAGATGTAAAAATGTAATAAGAAAACATTATCTGCACTGCAGCTTCAACAGAAGAATCCTGAGTTAACAAGCCAATTGCATAATTATGACGTTAAACCTTTTAGACAATACATGTACATTCATTTTGACATGATAAAAAGCATTTTTCTTCCTATGAACAATAGTACCCTCTGTTAATATTAAAAAAGGAAAAATACACATCACGGTTGCCTCTAAATCTAATTTTTTTTTTCTGAACATAATATTTGTGCATATTTGAATACATTGTACTGTCTCGGTTAAGCCATCCCTGGGTTCAAGTTTAGAGGTAGACGGGTTTATCAATGTCTTCGGGTTCGTTGCCGTCTGTCAGGTGGTATTTCTCATCAGCGATCTGCAGGAGTTTGGCTGTCTCCGCCTTGCCGGTCTCTTGTACCATCTTGCTAAAGATGCCATCTTCCTTCTGGAGCAGAACATAAGGCTCGTCAAACTCAATCAGCCGACCTGCGTCAAGCACCTGAAAAAAAAACCACAACTTTATCACTTCAGGAAGTAAAAGTCTTTTCACCACATTATTGTATTATTGTTTTAAGATTTGTTTCCCTCCTGATCAGAGGTCGATTATTAAATCTTACCATAACCTTAAATCTTACCATAACCTTAAATCTTACCATACCCTTAAATCTTACCATACCCTTAAATCTTACCATACCCTTAAATCTTACCATAACCTTAAATCTCACCATAACCTTAAATCTTACCGTACCCTTAAATCGTACCATACGTACGGTAAGATTTAAGGGTATGGTGAGATTTAAGGGTATGCATACCCTTATCTTTAATACCATAACCTTAAATCTCACCATAACCTTAAATCTTACCATAACCTTAAATCTTACCATAACTTTGTCGGAGTCCATGATTGTGTTGAGACGATGAGCTATGGTCAGGACTGTGCAGTGCTTGAACCGCTGTCTAATAGTCGCCTGAATCAAACGGTCAGTTCTGAAACAGCAGCAAAATAATGAAACTAAAACTTAAGCGGTACCGTACATATGCGTCAATACCAGAGGACTTAGCTCTTCGACTCTAAATTTATCTTACAGCAGGTGGAAAATGGAAACACAGTTATAAAATAGTCTTTCCTAAATTTTCTCAGGATTGGAGTAAAGCGAAAACGGGTTACTCACTGCGTATCTGATATGGTTTTCTGATATGATTGTCTGCACGAAAAATTAAAATGGTTGAAACAGGTGGATAAATACACTTGATTCAATTTGAACGGAGGTAGGTGTTGCCAGAGCATTCCTAAAGCATGACCACTCACCTGATGTCTACGTTGGCTGTGGCTTCATCCACTATGAGGATCTTGTTCTTGCGCAGGATAGCCCTAGCCAGGCACAGTAGCTGCCTCTGACCCACGCTGAAATTGGTGCCTCCCTCTGTCAAGAGTGCCTCCAACTTGTCCGGCAACTCCTCAATCGCTGGCTTCAACTCAACCTTGTGGTACACCAATAAAAAAAGGGCACACGTGGGAGCTAATGGGGAGGGCATTCGTGCATGATTCGGGACGGTGTATACGGGTATCTGATCCACTAGACTAGTAGTTGGTTCTTGATTCCTAAGATATCCCACCATCCAAAGATATTTGTTGCAAGATTTTTTTCACTGATTGTAATCCCCATTCCGTGATTAACCACCAACGATCAAAACCTCGGAAGTTAGGGATGTAGGTTCACAGTTTTGCCTATAAGTACCAATGTTTATTTGACTATCACTTACTCAAAAAAATAGATACCAAGCAAAAGCCTAACCAGTGCGGGGAGACGAAAATGGCACATCTGCGTTTTCAGAATTTTTTTCTCTCATAAATCTCAGAAACATTCATGTACCTAAACAAACAGAATATACAGTCGACTCTCGTTAGTACAAACTCTGTTAATAAAAAATTCTGGTTATAACAAACATAAAGCCTTGGTCCCGACTGTGCATTTATGTGCACAATAAATGGGACTGATGTTCCTCTTAATACAACATTCTGATATAACAAACGATTTGGCTAGGTCCGAACGAGTTTGTTATAACAAGACTCGACAGCAAAACACACCTCTTCAATAGCCCTCCATATATCAGAATCCGAGTGTGCACTGAAAGGATCCAGGTTCTTGCGAAGTGATCCGCTGAAGAGAACTGGGTCCTTCGAGCAAAGGAAACCAAGGAGATTTTTAAAATTGGTTCTACAATATCACAAACTATTTTCAAAAGCAGACACAGATAGACATGTCTTTGACATGAGTATATGAGAACTAATTACGTTGAATGTGATCCACAAAATGTAAAAAACACATGACGTGATTGAGATGATTCTTTTTCTTGTGTTAAAGAGAATGTACTTCATTGGCTTTTGCTGTAATTTTCAGAAATGAAATATTTGAGGGGTTAGTATAATAGATCAAATATTGTTACACTAATACGTTTGAAGTTTTATGTTCGAAAATGCTGGCAAACCAAGAAAAACAAAAACGTTCAAATAGTTTGGTTCCCTGACTCCACTTAAGATGTAATGGATCAATTTATAGATGCCGGAAATTGTAAGGTAAGGGAACCAGTCTAGCTGGCCTGCACCCGTTCATGAACATGTGACCAATAGCAAACAAAATTTGGACTGGAAAAAATGGTAAATTTGGAGCAGTAGTTGAAAAACAGTTAAGTTTTTCCAACGGTGGTCGGCCGACCACCGTTGGAAATTTATACAAAAATACCACTTTTCTTGAAAATGACTTCACACCAGGTGCCATAATTTTACAGGATGCTTTAGACTGTCATTTACCAACATCCTAGTAAGGTATTTCGTAACAAATTGGTAAGTTTGTTTTTCGATGTTTGCAAAGGCTGTATGTTCCCTTTAATGGGAGTATGTATTTTCTTTGTTTAAAGTCAGGTGACTGTTATTACCTGTGGGATGAATGAGACTTTCTTGCGGAGGTCGTGGAGTCCTATCAGGGCCGTGTTGATACCGTCTATCATGATGGTACCTGTGGGTTCGGCCAGTCTCATCAAGACTGTCATCAGTGAGCTCTTACCGGCCCCCGTCCTGCCCACGATGCCTACCTGAAAGCCACAATCATGATGTAAAAAGATCATTTTTACTCTCCATGAAAATGTTTACCCGATCTAGCTTCAGTACCAAGTGCTGTGGCCTCGTGGTTAAGGTCATTGGATTCGTGGTCTGCGGGTAATTCTGCAGGTTGTGGGTTCAAGTCCAGCCTGCGGTTATGGTGTGTGTGCCATTGAGCAAGGCACTTTGTGACTCATTGCTTCTCTCCACCCAGGAGTAAATGGGTACCTGTGAGGGCAGAGATGGTTATTGTGATTGAATTAGCTTGCTTGCCCCCAACAGGCTGCATCGAGCTGTATACTCCCCAGGGAGCTAAGATGGTATTTGGAATGTTTCATGGGCCCAATGAGCAGGGGTAATAATGATGTAGGGCCTTGAGCACCAGTCCTGGTGGATACGTGCACTAAATAAATACCCACTAATATTACCATACAAACGGCCTGATGGGAGATCCCCAGTCTACCTAACAGACAATTAACTTAACCTCCTTTAAATCTCATGCTGTAACAGGTGCAATCCTCCTTGAACAAAAGTTGATTATTACTGAGCTCTTCAATCGCATTGGAGAGTATACATTTGGACTCTTCTTCAATTCCTTGGCTGAAACCTGCGGCTAAATTGCTGCAAAAAGTAACAACTTAACGAGTAAAGTGAAAATTTCATTGACATATATTTTACCTTTTCTTTTGGACTGATGGCACAGCTAATGTCTTGAAGTACCAGTGGCCCATCTTCGCTGTATCTCAGGGAGGCATCTTGGAGCGTAATGCCGCCCTCTTGGGGCCAGTCAGGAGGCGGCTTGTGATCGGTCTCCAACGGAGCCTCCGGTTTGATATCGATGTACTCGCAAACACGCTCCACTGATGTCATCTGAATGTACATACAATGGCAGAGTGTCACTGGTCATACAAACAACCTTCTGTACTGTTCACACCTGATGCGACGCCAAAATAGGAAGTTCTAAAGCTCAGATGTTGTTGAGTCTTGGATGCTGTGGAGACTGTTATTACATCAAATCATCAAATTAATTGTTGGTCACCAAATCCAGCTAGTAGCTAATCACCACGTCTCTAACATAGATAGCTGATCACCTTGATAGTTGACCCCAAACATCCGACTTTAATGATAACGGAGTCTTGTATAGCGCACGTATCTACCAACAAATAGGTACTCAAGGCGCTGGAAATTATGTCTATTATTAAAGAAAGGTAAATAAAGTATATGAGAAATATGAGACCCATTATGTAGCACCTTATAAGGGTTGACAAGGTGCTGCGGCGCATATTGCAGCCACTGCCAGAAACACCGGGGCAAACCCCTTCTCTTAGCGATAAGTGTTACTGGGCTCTTTAACATGCATTACACAACACACGGGACCTACGGCTTAACGTCCCATCCCAGGATGAAGCAATAATGGTAAAGTGCCTGGCTCAAGAGCACAAGCACCATGTTCCCACGGTCAGGATTCGAACTCGTGTACCACCGCACACAGATCAAACACTGTACCATTGGACCACAGCACATAGCCATTGGACCACAGCACATAACCATTGGACCACACCACCCCAACTTTAAGTCGTGTCCAAATGCACGAGACACCAATTGTTACTAAAGCTTTGTGGTTTTGGCAAGGATACACAGTGAAGAAAAAGCCAAAGCCACGACAATGCCGTTGGCCGGAGGGATTTAACTGTCAAGAACTCACCTGGTTTTCTAACTCTGCGCTCTGTCGAACCGCCCACTGGAACGTCCCCATGAGAGTCATGGAATAGGTCAGGGAGAGACCGACAATCCCAGAGTTGAGATCAAGAACTACGGAGGGAAAAATCGAATATGCTCCTAGAACTTCTCCAATAAAATTGAATTGCACTCGCATTTGGTTACTTCCCCCACACCGACTCTCTACACTCTTGGGCGAATACCTCCAAAAAATTGGTCAATTATTACCCGAATCAACCACAATTGAAGAGGTGTAATTACATGCTAATGTTGGGCACATAACATTACCAAAGTGTATTTTTTTAAACTAGTTTTGTACTCATAGTATGAAATGGTTTAACGATAAGGCCAGTTCATCCATAAAACTTAGCTGTTGTGAACTCTTGTTTAGGCCTACTAATCAGAGTTTAAACCAGTCAATATAAGGCCCCAAAAAAAAGGCTACGGTTTCTGGTATGCGCGCGCGTTGCCCTAGCCATGCGCGTCGGCAAAATGAAAAAGTTTTTTTTTTAAATAAAAGATGATGTCTCAAAACCGCCAAACTCACTGGTTTGACTGGAATCCTGCTGCTGCACAATTTTAACGTGTTTTTAGATGGGGTTATGATCGAGAATAAGCTTTACTTGGCCTCTCTGGACTCCCAAAAATTGGCACTAAGTTTAGTCGGGCACCATTTGCAGTCATCAGCCGACATTTGAAGCAAAAAACAGGTAAAAAAAAATGGGCAAGCTCCATACCAGAAACCGGAGACTTTTTTGGGGGGGCCTAAGCATGAAATAGGCCCCCATATAGTGCACAGGTGAAATGACTGACTTACGATCTGCGGCCAAGATGCAGGCGAAACTGACTCCGGCGATAAATAACACACTGAAGAAATCCATCTGCACACCGAACCACCGAGACGTGGCCTGGAAGCAGAACCAGGCCCTGGTGTGGCCGTCCAGGTACCCTTCAAAGTCCGCCGTGAATCGCTGCTGAACCTTGAAGGCCCGGACCGTACTCAGACCAGTCAGGGTGGCCGACAGGTGGGAGAAGATGGGACTGCGAGCTGAAAACAGGTGCACACCAGGTCACATAACAACAAGCTTTGTAAATAAACTATGCGTGACCAGTAACGCATTCTGGAGTAGATCCAGGGGCAAAACAAGTGAACCCCATTTTATTTTAAAGGGGGGGGGGATTGTTTGAGGGAAAAGGTATATTAATATCAGCAGCGGTTGTGAGGTGCTGGCGCTTTCATTTCCTTAAACTAAAGTAACCAAAAATGTCCCCAGGAAGAAGTAAATGCCCCCATTCCTTCCCCCTATATATTTATTTAATTAATTCTCATTTTAACTGGGTAGCCCATTCAGCGGAATCCACTGGACTCCCATGGGGCCCAGTAAAGAGAATACAATGTGAAGAAATTACAGTTTTTAGATGTTGGAGCAAAACCCCAGAAAAATATTCTGAGGAAAACCCACGGAATCAGGTAGGGACTGAAAAACCAATCCACATATTGGCCCAGGCGGGAATCGAACCCCGTGGAAGGCGAGGAAAGTACCGCTACACCAACCTGACTCCCCTACTTGACCGCTACTGAAAGTGACAAAAGTATTCTTTGTTTCATTGTACATACATGTGACCTTGTGATTATAAATTTAAACGTTCAAGATCGGCCCACCTATTCCTTCTAATCTTTTAACGTCTCGCGAGGAGGCCAGGTAGTACTTCCTCGTGAAGTAAAAGACGATTACAATCGGCAGTATGAAGGTGAGGCAAAATGGATTGAAGATGGAGACCAGGACGACAATGGCGGTGGTAATTAAAGAAATCTGGAGAAGAAAATTAAACGACGACATCAATTAAAATAAAAACACGAATGAAGGCACTGATGATCGAGTCTTTTGATTTTGATTTTCTAGATTCTGACATGATCAATATGTTAGAAATAGAATTTGATGGGAATGGTTTTTAGAAGGCGACTCGACTGTTTTTAATATTCACTTGTTTGTGTACTGTGTACTTTACCTGAAGGAAGTCGGTGAATGTGGCTGGCAAAATCTCATCCATGTAGCCGATATCTTTAGCAAAGCGATTCAGAATCCGACCTGGAACCAGAATACACATGTTCATCCATCAGGTCCTTGTATTTCTGGAAGGTGTTCACATTTTGCCACCTTGTAGGTGTTTTTGCATTATCAAAGATCTCCCAAGAAATCCAACCCCCCCCCCAAAAAAAACCCAGGTGAAAACAAGCCCCTATCCTAGCCTCTATAATAAGGCCACCAATTACACCTGACAAACTTGGTAATTGATTGACTATGTCTCACCCACAGGATTCGTATCAAAGAACTGCATGGGCGCTCTGATGATGGAACCAAACATCTGGTTGTGAAGGGCCTTTGAGGCGGTAACAAACATGTAGAAGAACAGAAAGGCCCGCAGAAACATGGCGGCGGTGGTAGCTCCTAACAAGATGGCATATATCCTGATGTAGTATGACCGGTTCGCGTACTCCGTACCGTCCTGATAATCCTGCACGGTCGACAAAAATGAAAGACGAAAGCTAGGCCAAGGGTGTCTAGACGTTTTGTTGGTACTTGTGGGATGAGAGTCACGTCTTCCGGATGGCCAGATTTCAATTTCAAGCCCTCTTTACCTCTACTTCCTCTTAGAGCAACCTTTCTCTTGTAAGTCTCGCAGGTGTATTTTAACATCTAGCTAACAGAAACCATTGAACTCTCAAGGGATCGTTTAATAGGATTTAACCAGATGCTTGCTAGCTTTCAAAAGTCCTGCCGTTTCAGTGCACATGCAGATATTTTAAAAACAAGTTTTTAAAAATTAGTCCCGAAAAGCGGTAACATCTTGTAATATATGCTGTGATAGCTGAACTAAGCTACACATGAATCGTGTATCTTCTGATGAACGACAAAATGCTACTGCACATGCCTTGGAATGTCATACCTTTCCTGACACAGACCCTAAACGTCAACCAACCTGACTCGTAATGTTCCTGTCTACTAGATCCTTCTCTTCTTCGTTGGCCCATGTCGCTAGCCAGACATCCGTGCAAGAAAACAATGCCTTAAACCGAAAGCAGAGAAACGGAAACTGTAGATTAGTTCAGCCAAATCTATTGAATGCCAAGTTAGATTTTTTAAGTTTTTCAAACATTAATGGTAACCCTATTGCCAAGAAACGATATACCAAAGTAAGACAAGGGACCACTTCCAAGCTCATTTTTTTTATTTTAAAGTGACTTCTATTTACATTCAGAGTCATCAAATGACCAAAATCTCATGATGTATATTTAAAAAAATTGTTGCCTGCTGTGGTGTGGGCTATGACGTTTTGAAAAAACAGCACCCCCCCCCCCCAGGTGCTCAAAACGTAATATCCCACATCACAGCAGTCAACAATTGTTTTGTTATACCTCTGTCTTGACTTCTTTGGATTTGGATGTAAAAATCACGAAAAAACAAACAGCAGTAAACACAACAATCATGACAACGAACCTCAACTCACGTCGCGTGCTCAAAACAGCTGATTGTCTGCTAGTTCGCTGCTCCCACTCATGTGAGAAAACATGGTGAGAATAGCGCGGGTACCAACGATACAAGCGTTTCACACCGTACGTACATGTACAAAGTCATAGCACACTCCCTGTGGGATATCACGTACGTGATATCCCACAGGGAGTGTGCCATGACTTTTTATAAACTTAATACGTGATCGGTCTAGGCCAATGGAAATACAGTATCCAAGACAGAGGTGTAACAAGTATTGACGTTAGAGAATATGAGAATATAGGGCAGGCTGTTCTCGTAAGTGCTGACGATTTGAATCTACCTGTGCACTGATGACGACAATGGCCCAGAAGATCAGAAAGAGGACCCCAGCTGCCGCTCTGAAGTAGCGGATGTACACCGTCCACTCCACGATACCGACTGCCATCTCCTCCGGGACGATATCCACAGGTGTCTCCACCTAGACAATCAGATAATTGATTGTTACACATGTATACAATGTATACAATGTATACAAATCACATATGTACAATATATACAATCAACTGAAATAAATTCCAGTTATGGTGGTTTCCTACAGGAATCCCCGCGAATCGTTTTGTGTGTATATAACAAAGAAACGCACCTCATCTCGGTCGGGGTAGAACGAGACATCTGAAGACATGGACACCTTGTCGTCAAGCGTCTCAGGATTAACATCCTGCTCATTGGCTCCATCGTAGTCACCATCTTTAGTCTTCTTCTTCAAGAGGGAAGCGAAGTCCACGCCGTGTTCCTGCAGCTCTTGGTAGGTCCCGTATCCAGCTTCCCGGCCCTTTAAGACAAGAGACAAAATACTAATTTGTCATCTTTCCTTAAAAAAAAAGGAGACTTTTATATAAATCCCTTTTCTATCCAGACTGTGGTTATCAATTTGCATTGAATAACTTCTTCAACAGATTAATTCTCAAACCAGATGTGAGAGTTTCTATTCAACACTGCATTTTGTTATTAATTTCACTCTATCTATCTGGTCAAGAGGATAATCTCAGATAACCTCAACCAGGATTCGAAATTAGCGGTAGCCCGCTAGCCAAATGCTAGTCAAAACAGCGGCAGGCTAGTCAAACTATTCCTTAAGTAGCCCGGCTGGATACGGCAAAGATGAACGTACGGGCAGAAATAAATCATTAAATTCAGAAAGAAAACCCCATGAATTCGTGTCTAATTTTATCAACTGTTTTAAAGGGTTAAATTATTAGTTCTGTTCGTCAAAAACACTGACAAAATTGCCTCAGAATTGAGCCTGAAAATACGCCATTTTGTATTTGAGATAAGAAAATACTTCAGGCTAGTGAAAATGCCCGCAGGCTAGTGAAAATGCCCGCAGGCTAGTTCAAGGGAATGTACATCATTGGCTTTTGCTGTAATTTTCAGAAATGAACTATTTGAGGGGTTAGTATAATAGATCAAATATTGTTGCACTGACATGTTTGACGTTTTGTGTTCGAAAATGCTGGAAAAACCAAGAAAAACAAAAATATTCAAGTAGTCTGGTTCCCTGACTCCACTAAGGATGAAATGGATCAAAAATACCGGAAAATTGTAAGGTAAGGGAACCAGTCTAGCTGGCCTGCACCCGTTCGTGAACATGGAACCAATAGTTAGCAAAACGAAAATTTTGACTAAAAAAAAATGGTAAATTTGGAGCAGTAATTGAAAAATAGTTAGGTTTTTCCAACGGTGGTCGGCCGATCAGCGTTGGAAATGTATACAAATATACCATTTTCTTGAAAATGGCTTCACACCAGGTGCCATAATTTTACAGGATGCTTTAGCATGTCATTTACCAACATCCTAGTAAGGTATTTCGTAACAACTTTGTAGTTTTATTTTTCGATGTTTGCAAATGTTGTATTTTCCCTTTAAGAGTTCGTTTCAGTAGCCCGGCTGGCTAGTGAACAAAAAAGTTAAGGTCGAACCCTGCCTCAGCTAACTTAACCTTAGTTTACATCAGGCAGTGGGTGAAAACGATTTTAGCCGTCTACATTTGAAGTAGGCCTACCTCTTTAAGGATGAGAATCTTGTCTGCCTTATCAAGGAATTGCAGCTGATGGGTGACAAGGATCACAGCTTTGTCCTTCATTTGATGCAGAATGCACCTTTAGAGAAAACAAGGATAAAACACGAGTATCTTCATGTCACAGCCTGAATACACTCTAAACCAAATTAACTTATATTGGAGGTTTGTGTTAGCACACCAAATTCTACTGCGACATTTAACCCTACAAGGGCCAGGTTGTTTTGACCATCTCTCAGCCGGGGGGCTGCCCCGACCCCCAAGATCTCAGCCATCGAGTGACGAAAAATTTTGAAACTTGGTACATTCATAGAACAACTCTTCATAAACATACCCAGGAAATTTCATGACTATAGGTCAAAGAGTTTTGGAATTATGGCTTATTAATTATTCATATGTACGAATGGTAATTGTGCTCTGTGTACACGACGTACATGGGAAATTTTTTGCTGCGCGGCAACCCATGGTCCGATTTTTATATTTTTGGTATCAGAAGATGCGCAAGGCTCGAGGCTGAAAAAAGTCATAACAGCTCGTGTCGCGAAAAAAATTTGTTTAAGGCTATCGCGGAAAAAGTTGGAGGGGATTCCGCCCCCCAAGCCCTTTTAGGGTTAAACACTGTTAGCTGAATATATTCAGTCACTAAGTTTGAAGCATCAGGGTCAATCTAGTTGTCTCAAAAGCCACATTCCGTAGGTTTTCCTTACTTTTCAAAGAGGTGTCTCCCAACTGCTGGATCCACTGCACTCAGAGGGTCATCGAGTAGGTACACATCAGCGTCACTGTACATAGCTCTAGCCAGGCTGACCCTTGCCCTCTGACCCCCACTAAGGGTCACGCCACGCTCACCTACCAGTGTCAGGTCACCATCAGGAAGCAGCTCGATATCCTGTAAATAGAAGTTCAAGTTTAGACAATTTGAGTTCACAAAGAAATGGCTTATTGGCCTCGGCTTCATATCTGTAGCTTTGGAGTTTTAAACCTGATGTGTCCAAACCAAATAGGAAGTTTTTAATCTTTGTCCTCGAATTACAGAATTGTATGTTTCCAAGCAGCCTGTTTAACCTGATATAGGTCAGAGTCTTTAAGTCAGGGCTCTCAAATGTTCTAAAACAGAGGCCCGAAACGAGGCTGGGCTTTCGAAAATCTGACAACTTGGGACAGGCAAGCATGACCAGCGAGTGAATAGAGTTTCTTTGAATGGTATCCTCCCACATTACTGACTTACTCTGGTTAGCGCGCACTGTTTGATGATTCGCTGGTACTTGGCCGGTTCGTATTCACTGCCAAAGAGGATGTTGTCCCTTAGCGAGCCAGACAGGATCCAGGGTTGCTGGGCCGTGTAGCCGACCTGACCACTCAAGATGTTGACTCCGGATACAGTAGGCAGCTCACCCAGCAGGGCCATCAGAAGCGAAGACTGTCAAGGAGAAAACATCAGACGGCTTGAGATGCCATCATGGTGAAGGCTTTGCCTGCTCCTTATTTTTGTAACATTGGTGTTTTACCTCCGGGGGACTCACACAAGGAGAGCAATGATACCTCTCAAATTGGTCTTTGTCTGACCGTATTCCACAAGAGAAATTGTATTAAAGCAGGCACGGTTCTAGAACCAACATTTCTTCTTTTGTTGATTTCTTCAAAGTGACAGCTTGCCAGAAAGAATAATTTCACAGGGAGTTTACTCCCCTTTACTATCTTTCAACCAAGTATGTTTTTTAACAATAATTATGTCAGTTACTTTTTGAATAGCTGCAAATGATGGACTATAGCTTCAGAGAAGAGGGATAAAAGGGAGAACAATGTCAGAACCCCACAAACCCCATCCGTCTTAGGACATGTGTATGGTAAGGGCGGCATACCTCGTGTGTAAATATTGGAAGTCAAACTTAATATACTAAAAAGAACGTCAAGTGTAATATGAACCTTTATCTCTAGGTGGGGAATTCCCCAGAAACGAACCGTTTTTGGTTAACTCACCTTACCACACCCAACGGGCCCAATAACTGCAAGCAGCTCCCCTGGTTCCACGCGGAAGCTGACGTCTTGGAGCACGGTGTTATTCACGTCCTATCGTTTAAGGAGAAAATGAAGACCAAAAACTTGCCGTATTTTGAATCAAATAAAAGCATTTGTGGACAAAATGTATGATCGCATAAAACTTCTTTTGTTCCAGTTAAAGAAAACCAGTGGTTAAATTGATTATTATGGGCAACTCTACCTTGTTCCAAGATCCGTACATGTTCTCTACGACAATTTTTGCCCCATCTTCCTCCTCAGTATCTGGCTCCTTCAGATCAAGATTGGGCTCGTTCGGTTCCTCCTCCTTCTTGCTTCCAGCTGGTCCTTCGTATCCGGCCAACTCACCATTGCCCGCAGACTCAATCAGACAATTCGTGCTCTTTGTTCTTGTTCTGTCTGGATGCTCCGAGATGTTCGACTCATCATTTTGGGGGATTCCGTCTGCTTTGATCTCGTCCAATAGAATAACAGGTTCTTCAAGAGCAACATCACCACTGGCGTTATTATCCCTCTCCTTGGTGTGTATCTGAAGCTCCTCCATCAGCAGAAATTTCTAGTAAGATGGAAAAAAGCTATAAGCTAGGCAGGGTACACGATTCCTTGCCTTAAACTTGCCAAAAAACATTCTATGACCCCCCCCCAACAAATTTTTTTCGTGACTTGGATGTTTTGAAGCTTCAAAGTGCGCGTCTTGGGGTTTTGATTGTCATTAACAGTCCAAACACCTCATAGTTTCACGCACGTCACCTGGAGTTTTTTCAGCTTGACCAATAACAATCTTGAACTTACTTTTAGAAACGTGAACCCAAGATGCAGTGGTTGAGATGTAATCGATTGCCAAAATCCTGTCGGGGGTTTTCACTCTCAGCTTTACGATCCTATGAATTTTACGATCCTATCTCAATTTTACGAAAATGAATTCTTGGAATTTGAGTCAAGTACCTTTGAAACCCTCAAACCGTCGTTAGAATTAGAAAAAAAGTAGAACAATTTTGAGACTTTTAGGAAGTTCATCTTAAATGATTGATACTGGGTACCCATACTTTAATCTTAATATCATGGAACAGAGGTTGTTACTCTCCATTCTGCGATCCTCACCTGAATCCTTCGAATGGAGACGAGTCCCTCCGACCCGTTCATGACCGCGTACGGGAAAAAGACGGACAGGCAAATCCTGGCGCTGTAGAACAGCGCCAGGATGGGGAAGACTTTGGAGGGCGTGACGGGATTGCCCAGGGAGGCGTAGACAACGAATGTGATGAATGTCGTCAACAGAGGGCCGCTGAACAAGAGGGCCAGAATTAGCCCGCGCAAATAGGCACTGTGTAATATCTTCCGTGCTTCCTTTCTACAGATAGGAAGAAAAACATCAGAAGTACTGGTATAATCTCTAGTATTTTATCTCATATGTGACTGGCTCCACAAAAAAGGGTATTAAGTCGCGCTGCGCATTATCGTGTTATGGCCCGCTTCATGTTGAGAGGGTGTAAATCTTGTCAAAATGTGATTTTCATGTTTTTGTCACAAATGACATTTCAAAGCCTGTTTTCTCAGTTATACAATTCGAACTCCAAGGAAGTAATTAATATGCAAATACGTCATATCTCCAGAACGGGAGGGGCTATGGAGCTCTATTATATACCAAATGAAAGCATACGTTGTGGGCTTTCCAACCAAGTATAACTCAATATGCACGGTAAGTCTTATTTGTTATTCTTCAAAATGCTCACTAAACTGGTTTATTGGCCAACCACCTGTTAGGGAAGTTGCAGGCCTACTGAGCAACTTACATGTACCAGTTTTAGAACACCACCTGATGTGACAAGAAATGCAAAACAGTGGAAGAGCTACCACGGCAGCCAGTGTCCATGCACTCACAGCTGTCAGCATGTCTCGTCAGCACATCAGCTTAATGACCAAACTCCCTACGAGCAAATCTTGGCTGAAGGAAGTCAACTTACCGCCGGCTTTCGGCGACGAGATTTCCAAAGGAATGCTCCCAGGCGTAGATCTTGATGACGCGTATGCCGGATATGACCTCGTTCATGATGCGGATCCTTGTATCCGACAGCAAGGCCGTTTTCGCTCTGAATACAAAAAGGAAAGCACACGGAAGACTTTACCACGAAGATCTAGGGACTTTCTTGAGGTTGTTTGAAGAGTCATTACTTAAGGAGTGACGAAAATTTTAAGAAACACTCCTCACCTCCAAGTTTGTAAAGTATTAGTGTTTATAACGAAACATCTCACATTGTATATTGTTCGTCTCAGAAAGTCTGCAGATATGCATACCACACAATTCCACACTTAGAAGACCTTGGTACCAAAATATACCCACAGCTGTACCCTGTGGTGTGGTAGTATATAGTACATATAGCTGTTGCACAATTTAACTGTGCTAGTAATATTGAGAATTCCCATGCCAACATTTACCATTGTTAAATCTGATAAACTGTGGCAGCACGGCAGTCTAAAACTGCCTCTAACTCTAAGTGATAGTTAAGATGCATAAAATAATCGGCCTCTCGGTTATCCGATCGATCAAGCATGAGTCAAAACAGACACCACCGTGAGGTATTCCTGAAAGCATCTAGGCTCACCTCAATTTGGAAAACAGTTTTCCCATGTAACCTTGGAGGGGTGCCGTGAATATCAGAACCGAGATCCCGGCGAGGCAAGACACGCCAATCTCCCTCCATGCTAGGGCTATCACAGCAATCAGCTGAAATGGAGCTATCCAGAGATAATGGAGGAACTGGAAGGCCTGTTAAATAAGAGAATAAGATGCATTTTTGGTTATTTTGTGGAGCCACTGTGTCATTCATCATTGTCCCAGCCACGTGGTAGCCATGCCCGAGATCACCTTTCACTAGATCCTAGTATGGATCATGGTACATCCACCAGAGGGGGTGTCACTTGGCTGGCCCTAGTGGAGGGGTTAAAATTGGCAGGAAGACCTAGTGTGCTTGTGCACATTTACATTGGCTTGTATATAACTGCACTTTTCACATAGGGATTGCCTGGATTATCCCTGCTGACCAAAATAGAACAGTCAAATGACATTAACAGGGCAAGTCTGTGGTTTTAGTGGCTGTTTGGGGTCTGAAGGATACCAGGGGTGAATGGTTTGGATTTGAGGGCCGGGTGGCTCAAATTACATACTGGTAGGAAAACATTCCAGCAGGCAACGGTCAGATATGTGTAGATTAAAGGGGCAGCTCCGAGAAAGGTTTTAAGCAACTCCTGACATGAAAATTGTAGAAAGGATAAAAGTTTAAACACGATATGGGATGGATGAGGGTAGAGTTGTAATTTAACAGAAAGTGAACGCTGGCCAAATACAATATTGAACTTGGTTACCAACCAAAATCTAATACTGAATTCCTCACACTAATTGATGTATCGCCGTTTGCGAGTTAGCCACGCCCCTTAGACAACCCTATGGAATTGTGTACGTTAAGTTTTGTTTGTCTGAGATTTTGCGCATTCCGCGTCCTTTTGTATATCACGTGATTGGACAATATTTCACAAGCTGCGTTGACGCGATTCTACCGCAATAGGTTAATTCTCATCATTTTGGTTGAAAACTTAGTAGTTCTCGACAATAGTCAGCCGGTATATTCCAGGTAATTTCAGGCTTTTTTTTTTCAATTCAGAAAGTAAAAAGCAAAGGGTCAGAAAAAAATTGGAACCTCTTTGATCCATCAACAGAGTTTTACGGCAATATTTCGGTATCTATACTCTCTAAATTTCAAAGAGTGAAATTAGAAACTAGACGTTTTAGAGTGAAAATCACACTCGTTTTCGATTGACATAGCCTGAAAAATGAACCACTTCAGACGAAGCTCGAGTGAAACTTCGATCTTTACGATTGAAGAAATGTCACTCTAAAATGTCTAGTCCCTAGTTTCCGATTGTGGGAGTGAATCTTCACTTGAATGGAGTGAATTTTCACTTTTTAGAATTTAGAGAGTAGTGTCATGATTACGCACCTCTTCAACAACACACTTGCAACTCTTCAAAGTTCAATGACGCATGATCCAGACGCGCGTGTCAAACGCACACTGCACGCATGTCAGACATTAATCACTGTTGTGATTGGTCGAAGCATCATATTGGGCGGGGCTAAGTGGTTCATTCTGCTATTGGTCACTTGCAATCACTTGTATATAAGATTTGAGGCTTTGCATGGTGGAGTATCGGTATCGTTTCGGTTTGCGGTAACACCATGTGGTAACTACTGCTTAGAAGATATTTAGTTCTGAAAAGAACTTGTCCTGCTTATTATCAACTTTCGCTAAGTAGTTTTGTTCTGATAAGAACAGTCCAGCTTTAAGTTCTACAAGAACTTGTCGTTGGTCTCAACGTTTCGACTAGCCTGCTCTAGTCATCGTCAGGGACTGTTCTTATCAGAACAAAAGTACTTAGCGAGAGTTGATAATAAGCCGGACAAGTTCTTTTCAGAACTAAATATCTTCTTAGCAGTAGTTATTACCACATTGTGTTACCGCAAACCAAATCACTTGTATGTTCTGAAGTATTCTTGGTACCTACCAAATCGAATCTGTTGACGTCATTGGAGAGGATGTTAACCAGCTGACCGATCGTCGTTTCCCCTAAAGCTAGGTTGCTGAGTCTCAACGACTGTAAGATTGCAAATATAGATTAGAGACTTCTAGCATTTATAACATCATATTATGAGGAAATAATAAGATTTGCAAATTGTGTAAATATCCCCTTACCAACTGTGCTTAAATTACCCGTGCTAAGATTACCTCATGCTTAAATACTCACCATTGGAATAAAAATGTACGGAGTTTGCTACATATTGACGCAAGTCATCTTTTGTTGTTGGAATTGTGTTGTAATGACAACATGATGAGGGTGGGTATGGATAATTTCATCTTGGTTAGGCCTATACTTTATAAAGTACGGTATAGACGCTGACGTTTTCACCTTGCGGGAATTATACTGGGTTAGATTTGCTCCAATTACCTGGAATGTCTTTTAAGAATTCTTTAATCACCTTTCTGAAGATGAGACCCGAGCAGGCCGTCCTGAGCCTCATTCCCGTGATGTTGAAGCCGAAGAAGCAGGCATGGTGGGTGATGAGCATGAACAGAGCCGTCAATGATAAGCCAACAGCTTGCAAGTAGGCTTCCGTGGTCGACACGGTGTCCGTGGAGAAATACAGAACCAGACGGGTCAGCATCACTGGCTGGGCCATCTTCAAGATGACCTCCTGTTGTCCACATCCAAATAGAGATGAAAAGAGAGAGACGGCTATTTGACTATACGATATACACTGATCGAATATCAATGAGTTGTTTTAGTATTCGACTTGCAGTTTAGCAATTGTCCAAAGAGAACTGTATTAAACAATTTAAAACAATAGGCCTTCTTCTGGTGAAAAGTTGTTGGTGTTGATTCTTTTTGAGAAAATTGTCGGCGATTATCCGTCTTGGCCACCAGAGATCCTCTGATCAGCAGCAATCCCTGCTTGTAGTAAACAAAATCATAATTTGCTGGACCTCCACCACTGCGCCACCAAAGTATATAAACTGTGACGGAAAGAATGTTGCAACCTGACGACACTTCAGCAGTTGTGCACAACGTGTAAGGAGAGTCAAGAAAATTTTCGAAGTATTTCCTAACAAAATTGGAAATGTTTCTCAGTCCCAGATTCATGTGTTATCCTCATTTTTGCAATGACTGACCTTCATTGAGATGATATATGCAGAAAAAAGCAGCGTCAGGTTGCAACATTCTTTCCACTGCAACCCGTCATTTCCAATTTTGGTGTGGAAGTTATGTACCATTAGCTCCGTTTTGCTTATATGTGTTAAAAACTTGTGTAATTCCACTATCCAGTACAGGTACGGTCACTAAAACTCTAAGAAACATTTTTACCGCTTCAATTATCCTATCCCTGAAAATGTCTACCGCCATCTGTAGTATGAAAGGCAGTAAAATAAATCACACTTCAGGTGTTCTTTCGTTACCTCAATGAATGCAGGGAAGCCTTGTTTCATGTAATACCATCCAAACGCTCTAACCAACGCCCATCGAAGAGACGGAGGCCTTCCTGTGACTTTACTTTTATCAATTTCTTTATTCCACTCCCTGCATGGAGCAATGAAATGCAATCGATCAATTCAATTCAATATTTTATTTCATCACAAAGAAAAAAAAATGATGTGCACATGAAAAAAACAAAACAGTACAGTGGAATTCGGGGACAAGAATTAGGAGCTTTTACTGCGGTGGTATCATGCTCACGCTGCACGCGTTCCGTTCTCGCATTTTTGTATTCCTATTGGTCGAACTGGAGCCCGGAGTACGTGTGTACCACTGGACCCGACTCATGTGAGCGTTGCGCCACCGAAGAAAATGGCTGCGCACTGCCGGATTTGTCTGTACATTGATGTGGATGCTTTAAAGCTATAGTTCATCATTTGCAGCTATTGAAAAAAGTAACTGCCGTAATTATTGTGGAAAAACATACTTGGTTGAAAGATAGTAAGGGGACTAAACTCCCTGTGAAATTATTTTTTCTGGCATGCTGTCATTTTGAAGAAATCAACGAAAAAAGGCCTTAATTAAGACGCACCGTTTGAAATTTCGGTTAGTAGTTCTGTTTTTTTATTCAGCGAATTAAGCGCGCGCTGGCGTTCGCATGACGCACATGCGCGCACAGTTGCTATATTTCGTCGGATCGGTGCGTGACATCGCGTAGCTGCAATCGGTTTTAAGTGAGAACGTGTCTCGGACGCTGAATTCAGGCCCAATTCAAAACATGATTCAGCAACTCTTGATTTGAAATCGAGATCTTAGAATGTTGTTTTTCTCAAAATGCAGCTGAAGCTGAGCAGAAACTTCATCAGGTTAGTTGTTCAGCATCCTTCTTTAGATTGTGAAAACTTTTGTTGCTTCAAACGAACAAAATGCACAAATTACAAATGATGGACTAAACCTTTAAGTATATGCCTACGAGAATACAAACACGTTTTTCAGACTTTACCTCTCGAGTTTTCCAACCACAACATCAGCGGAGTCATCAGGCAGAACGTCGTACAAGTCTGTTTCAACGAGAGGTCTCTTGTAGCCCCGACGGAAGAAGTCAAACATCCAGCTGCGAAAGGGATAACGTCTTAATTGTATGTCAACAAGAACAAATGAGAAAATGTAGATCACAACTTGGGGAGGAATAAACTAGTGACATTCAAGTCAAGTTATTGTGTTTGCACACTTTGTAAGTTAAAGGGAATATACATCTTTTGCTTTTGCTGTAATTTTCAGACACGGATGGAATTGGGGGGTTGGAAATATATAGCAAATATAGTTACACTGACTTTTTTTAGGTTTTGGGTTCAAAAATGCTATAAAAACCAAGAAAAACAATAATTTTCCTGTAGTCTGGTTCCCTGACTCCATTTAAGAAAAAACAGAGCAGTTTACATATATATTGGGGAATTGTAAGGTCAGGGAACCAGTCTAGCTGGCTTGTACCCGTTCATAGGTGTGTAATCGATTGCAAACAAGTGCGATGGTCAACTGGGGCCAGTATTTTAAAAAAAAAAAAAGTTTTTTCCAACGCTGATCGGCCGATCAGCGTTGGAAATTGATACAAAAATACCACTTTTTTTGAAAATGACAGTATACCAGGTGCCTTGATTTTACAAGATGCTTTACATTGTCATTCACTAACAGTCCAGCAAGGTATTTCAAAATGATTTGGTAGTTTTATTTTTTGATGTTTGCAAATGTTGTATTTTCCCTTTAAGGGATGCATAAATGTACGGAACAAGTCTAAAGAATGACAAAATGTACTACGTAACTTCAAGTCTGTAAGTGATTCAGAGTTGGTTTATTTCCAGGTAAAATGACCAAATTGAGTTTTTTTAATTCAATGAATTGCAAATCAAATTAACAGTATATCAAGATGGAAAAGCGGCTCCTCACAAATTTTTCTTACAATACAGATTAAATGTTAGTTATGGATAAAGAAATAGTTGTTTAGAAGTTTGTACCTATATGCTGCTAATAATGTTAAATTTTATTCTGCAAAAAAAACTGAAAATTTGTATTTTCGGGGGGAAATAATGGGACTGGCAGAGGTTGAAACAAATTGGTTTTAAAAAGCAAAATTTAACACTCAGATTCACTAAATAACTACTTTTGAAGGAAATCTTCATTTCTTACTCAACATATATTATCCAGAAACCATTAACCTTTACCTCACACTGTGACTTTGACCTTTTGACCCCCAAACCAACCCGACTTACCTGTTCCCAAGGGCAACCCCCTACTGAAGCTAGAAATCCAAATCTCATTTCTAACTCGACTCATCATCCAGAAACATCAACCTTTAACTCACCACTGTGACCTTGACCTAAAAACTTTAGACCCCCAAATCAATCCCAACTTGCCTTTACTCAAGGGCAACCCCCTACTAAAGTTAGACCCCAAATCTCAATTCTAACTCAAGTTATCATCGGGAACCATTAGCCTGTAACTCACCACAGTGTCCTTGACCTTTGACCTTTTGACCCCCCCCCAACCAATCCCAACTTGCCCGTTCACAAGGGCAACCCCCTACTGAAGTTAAAAACCCATACCTCATTTCTAACTCAACTTATCAACTGGAAACTATTAACCTTTAACTCACCACTGTGACCTTGACCTTTGACCTTTTGACCCCCAAACTAATCCCATCAAATTGTCCTTGTTCTATGTCTGTACCCAAGGGCAATTTAACCCCCTTTTGACGTTAGAAACCCAAATTTCATTTCTAACTCAAATTATCATCCGGAAACTCACCACTGTGACCTTTTGAACCCAAAACCAATCCCAACTTACCTGTAACCCAAGGTAAACCCCCTTCTTAAGTTAGAAACCCAAATCACATTTTAACTGTGTTATCAGCCAGAAGTTGGCTTGGCATTTTTAGGAGAATACAATTACGTGGTCTTTAAAGGGAATATACATCATTGGCTTTTGCTGTAATTTTCAGAAATGAACTATTTGAGGGGTTAGTATAACGATCAAATATTGTTACACTCACAAGTTTTGTGTTCGAAAATGCTGGAAAAACCAAGAAAAACAAAACTGTTCAAGTAGTCTGGTTCCCTGACTCCAATAAATATAAAATGAATCAATTTACAGATGCCGGAAAATTGTAAGGTAAGGGTACCAGTCTAGCTGGCCTGCACCTGTTCATGAACATGTAACCAAAAGCAAACAAATTTGAACTGAATTAATGGTAAATTTGGAGCAGTAGTTGAACAATAGTTTGGTTTTTCAACGGTGGTCGGCCGACCACCGCTGGAAATTTTTACAAAAATACCATTTTCTTGAAAATGACTTCACACCTGGTGCCATAATTTTACAGGATGCTTTAGACTGTCATTTACCAACATCCTATTAAGGTATTTCGCAAAAAAATGGTAGTTTTATTTTTCGATGTTTGCAAATGTTGTATATTCCCTTTAATTATACCATGCGCGTGCAGGCATAAATTTTGTATCAGACTGCGACCTTGAGTGTTAAAAAACATGCAAAACGAAATCAGGCTAACTAACTTTACCCACTCTTCATGGCCAGCAAAATGCTCCAAAATTTTCATTGGGCAAAGACAAGGTTCTCATCAATTAAGTTTAACAAAAAGTTTGAAAACTCACTCAACTTTTAAAGGGATTTTTCTGCGATATTTTGCACAGCTAGAGTAGATATTAAACTAGCCCCATAAATGTGGCCTATTTACTGGACTGCCTCCGTAAACATAGGCCACACATCCACATGTACAAAAATCGTGTCGACTTTGCAAAATTTTGAATTTCACATTTAGGCTTAGTTTGTAGGATTTTTTTGCTTTAGAAGCATACCCACCCTCTTTATAGGCTAGTCAGAAAGTGCTGCCTTTTTCAGATGTCTAATTTTTGTGAAATTTCATGTTGAAATTTTGATACGCAAACATGTAAAAATGAATCTGGAAATTTCACGAAAAATAAACATCTGAAAAAGGCAGCACTTTCTGATTAGCCTATAAAGAGGGTGAGTATGCTTCTAAAGCAAAAAAATCCTACAAACTAAGCCTAAATGTGAAAATCAAAATTTGGCAAAGTCGACACGATTTTTGTACATGTGGATGTGTGGCCTATGTTTACGGAGGCAGTCCAGTAAATAGGCCACATTTATGGGGCTAATATTAAACCAACTGTTTGAAAAGATTAACCTCTTCAAGTCTTTATTCTAGAGATAGACATGCCAGATATAAGTTCTTTAAGTTTTACAGTTGATTATTGCATGATGGAGGAAAAATAGATATATTGCAGTACTGAAGGGTTGTTGGACATGTTTTCATAATAACGTTTTTGTGACTAGTCATACTTGTCCTAGTTTTCTGACTAATAGCCAATAATATGCCTGCCTAACGTATACAGCTGCAGCTTACATAAAGAATAATTTGGAGAAGAGACCAGCTGTCTTCATTGGATGTGGCGGTCGTCTGTCTACTGAGGGTGCTTTGGCGGCGGGTTCGCTAGTCTCAGTCTGCTTCGTATCTGCAACATGGTCAGGCAGACCTGATGTTTTGCACGACCCGTTGACTTCGTTGGCCGCCATGACGATGCATGACAGTGCAAATAAGTTAAGCTGTCTGGTGGTACCTATCTCGCAAAACTGTTACATGTATTCTGTGCAGTGAAAGGTCTTTTGTTGGCACAGCACGCATCACTGCACCAAGCAGGCCAGCCAGGTCACACCTGCACCACACACACACACTGAGTATTACAGCATCCGGTTCGTTAGTGTGACGTCACCTCCAGCACTTTCTGCACAATTGGAACCGGAAGTTAACGCAGCTCGAGCGTTTGCAGCCAATGGGCGCTAGTACTCAAGGGTGTGCGCGCGTGTATGACGTTTTTACTAATGAACCGGATAGAGCAACGAGCTTTGCGCATCTTTTGATACCAAAAACATAAAAATCGGACCACGGGTTGCCGCGTAGCGAAAATTTTTCCGGCGCTTCGCGCCGTGAAAACTGAATTTTCGCATACGTCGTGTACACAGAGCAGAATTGTCATTCGTACATATGAATAAATCATTAGCCATAATTCCAAAACCCTTTGACCTATAGACGTGATATTTCTTGGGTATGTTTATGAAGAGTTGCTCTATGCATGTGCCGAGTTTCAAAATTTTTCGTCACTCGATGGCCGAGATCTTGGGGGGGGGGGGCGGAATCCGCCCCCCGGCTGAGAGATGGTCAAAATAACCCGGCCCCTTTAGGGTTAACTGTACTGAAAAGTGGAGAACCCTGTATTTTTATCTCCGTTTTAGGTGCCATTTTATTCTGGAAAAAGAATTGTATCATTATGCATGACATTGCAAGTAAATATTATTGTTGCAAGGCTGCTTTCTTACATTTAGTAATTCCGTCGTGTATGTTTTGTTTTATTTTCCCGGGGCGGAGCCCTTATACGGCGTGGGGCCACAGGGCATGCAGGGGCTCGCTTTAAGGCCCCGAAAAATGTTGGATTCTGGATGCACTGTGATGAAATATACTGAAGTATACTGAAACTTGTAAAACCCGAAAGGATGTTTTTTGGTTTAAGTTAAAACAAATGGTTCCACTGGAAGCGGATGAATTTCTGTTCATGAACATATTCACATAGTTCTAACTCACCAAACGATGTAGCTCTCGATATATTTGCAGTGTTATTTGTTTGTTACAGGAAATGGCAAATATAAAAGACTAAAATACCATATGCATTTTTATGTTCATGATTGGTAGATGGCGAATTTGGGGCTAGGCAGGGATTTAACGGTCTACTGAGGGTAAAACACGAATAGTTTTTATTAAAACGAAACTACACTGGAATTGGCGTTAAGCATGACTAGTTTTAATGAAGCCCGTCCCACTCATATTATGTTGGGGATGTGTGTGAACCTGGCTATTTTGTTAATGTTGAGTACAGAATGCTAGCAATATCAATAAAACTTTTAAATGAAAAGAAAAACCTTCAGGGGAAAGGTATGAACATTTGCCTCTATTAAAAGATCGAATGAAAAAAATCCTGGCAAGAATAACCAACTTTGCCACCATTGTCATGGCCGAGGTTATTGCTTTCGGATCAAAGCTTCCATCGTGGTGGAAATATCATAGACGTGTCATGGTTTTAGATACCTTGAGAGAAATATCGATTCTTCACTGCCTGAAGATTTAGAAAATACCTCCTCTTGATATTTTACAGTGTTTGTGCCAGACTTTCGAAGCGCCGCACTTAGCCGCGGCAAAACTAGAAACGAACAAAACGAAGGAGATAATTTGTAGAGCAAGCATACACTCTTAAAACTGTGTTTAGCAATTAAACACTATCCTGTTATCACTTTGTAAATATGTTTAGATGCTAAACATTATGTGTCCAATTCCTAAACATCATGTTCAATTGCTAAACACTATCCATCCTCACTCTAAACATGTTTAGTATTTAAACATGTGTAGTGACTGCCCCTTTAACCATTACGCGGCTTAATGTAAATAACAACATTGGCGTCACATGTAAAGAACTCGCCAATCAACGCCAGCGAACATCTTTGACTCGACTGGGGACCCTGTATTGTACATACATGTATATATAGGCCGCTTGCAGACGCGTTCGATAATCGACGCGCGAAGGCGCGCGACGCCATGTTGTGGGTCAAGCGTATATCTATCCGTGCACATTTTGTCCCACAACATGGCGTCGCGCACCTTCGCGCGTCAATTATCGAACGCGTCTGCAAGCGGTCTATTCGCTAGTGCGTCCACGTGTGCTCTGTGTGGGTTTTTCCATGTGTTCTGTCGTTGGTGAAAAGTTACGAGTTATCGCGTTTTGACATTTTTTAGCACCAATCTTCAGCAGTATTTTATCAGCGTTTATCATCGTCTTCGTGTGTTTTTCGTCAAGTCAGTAATCGTCTGTTTGTGTCCTGAACAATCCTCGTGGATAAAAACTCTATACGAACAGTGGTTCGTGCATCCGCGCCAGGAGAAATATCGCGATCGACAGAGTCAGTATTCGTCCCGCGGCGAGAAGACCGAGCGAGTGGACTCGTGCCCAATTCACGGACAAATCTCTTGGTGAGTTGACAACAGCTTTCGTACTGAGTATAACTAAAAATATCCTACACATGTTTACAAACTGATTGCAAGAAAGTGTTTAGAAAAGTGTTTAATTGCTAAACACAGCTTTTGCAGTGTAATGTACTAGCGTTGAACACTGCTGTATGGCTGGAACTTATGTTTGCCCGGGAGTAGGGGGTGCTGGTTCGAAGCATACTATTCCAGCACCCCAATCAAAAAAGTTGGGGGTGCTGCAGCACCCAGAGCACCCCCGTTCCCACGTGCTTAGCCACAGACCAATTTTTGAATGACATTTTGCCTGTAGCACTTTCAAAATCTATAGGATATGAAAGCCTATTCAGTGAGCTTTCTTTATAAGAATCATTCGAATTTACTTTTCAAGTTACGGAATTTTAGTGAGCACAAACACCGTGTTAAAGTTTCGTCCACAGAGTGTTCTTCAGCAAAACAAAAACAATTCACATGCATCCCTCTGGCTAAAAGAATTGTTTTCGTTTTCCTGAAAGAACATGAGGGTGTTTGTTGGGGTGTTTTGGGGTGTTTGTTGGTTTGTTGGGTTGTTTGTTTGTTTGTTTGTTTTTACAATAATAGGTAATCATAGGCCTTCCCCTTTTTCCTTACTTTTCTTCATTGTAAGTTTATTATAAAACAAATAGACTTTTACTTTGTATTATAACACCAGCGAATTATACAAATGGTGTGATAGACGAGAAAGATCTGAACTCAAGAAAACCTATTTTCTGACGTCATTACACGAAATCGAGCCCTCTTACCGCAAGTCAAAGGCTAGACATTATTTAATGGTGAAGTAAAAAGTCAACATTCCCCTGACTAAATTGACCTAAATCTAAAAATAAAAAAGCTTATCAGATGTGCATGTGAGGCGAAGAGCGAACTGTTTTATCACATTAGCAGGTCGCTGGAAATACCCGTTTATACAGGGTGAGATATTTTTAACTGTTGATCAAGTAGATGTCAAGTAGGCCCCTACCTGTCCAAGATTAATTATTAATGACATCCACAATGGATATCGTATGATACCGAAACATACGCGCAGGAATGCCAAAAAACCCACCTGATTAAGTGATGAGGGATCATCCATAATTGTCAACATTTTGAAAAGTGTGTACAAAACATGATACGCTCGGATCGGGCAGCTCAGGGGGTTAAGACCCATGCACGCTTTTCAAATTTTATAAAAATGTTGATCACTATTTTAAGGAGATCAATGTTTTTTTCGAACTAAATGCCCGGCCGTAATTGATGTATTACAAAACACTGCGTTTGAATTGACCAATCAAGCATTTAGTCCTGATTTGGGAAAGAAATGATGTCACGCTTTAGTAAAATCGACACCGATTGGCTGAGTCGCGGGAGTGCATAAATCTGCATACAGGAGACTGGGCTTCGTTATAACGGGTGATACTCTGACTAAAGCCCATTGGCTAAACAAGCCACTTTGCACCAACTTCGTCCCCAGTGGCTTGGTAAGCCCTAGTAAGCCCTGGATAGGAAACTTTCTTCCTGTATCCTCATTCGATACCGCAATTGGTTAGTAATGGATTTATATCGTGTATAGTTGGTATTGTCACTTCCAACGTGCATAATACGTATTTTCACCATCATTGTAATTATAACATCCACGCCTTCTAAAAAATACTCTTTTCCTTTCCAATTTGCTCAATATGAAATGTGATATAATATATATTGGCGGGATAAGATTGCAACATGTTAACTTCGAAAACAATCGTGTTTTCGTAACTCACGGCACGACGAATTGATTGTGTTTTTACCCCAGACCGCATACAAAAACAAAAGCTATTAATGTAATGTACGGGCAGGCACCATATTCCTCATTTGCATACGTGTGCAAAAAGTTTGCACATGCAAATGATCCAATACAAGGGTGAGAGAGCAGGTAGTGGTGGGCGCGTATTGCTCGACAACGACTTTGCATCACTTCCGTGTCCAATGGTTCCAATGCTACTACATGTGGGCAGTGGGCGCAGTTTCAGTTGATATGAGTGACTTAATTACCAGGTAGCGATGAATTGCGTACGCATGTGCGTACACTGCCTCGTGTGTCTAGCAGACATTTCTTCGAGACGCTAACACTCCATAACTAATCAATGCGCTATGAAGGAACTGTTCAAGTACGTAGGCCTAAATCTTTAAAAATCACCATTCTTGAAAGTACACTTTGAGCGGGTCTGCGAACAAGAGTACACATGTGCTTTTGAAAATGATGATAGTTATAGATGACCCCTAACTGAAAAATGTGGCGGAGTGATATAGGGTCCAGAGGCGGGTTAGAGGGACTTGTGTTGCTATAGACAGACACGATTACACAAAATATACCCCTGATCGAGGTACCTGCAAAACGTAAGGTCTACTGTTACTCCATGTACTGTACGCCAGCAGGCTTGTTGCAGCTGCGTCTGATGCAGCAGGTGTGATTTTCTCTCTGAAAAGGTATTTATTTAAGAGCTTCATGATACTGTCTTCCCATTGCGAACATTCTTGATCATGTAAAGCTATTATGACTTTGTTTTATGTGCCTTTTATATTGATGCA